TGGGGAGATATGGGGAACTAAGCTCACCATCGCCACGGATCTGGCTGGCATACAGGGCATTGGCCTCGAGTATGGGAAATTCAGGCGAGTTGGCCCGTTGTCTTCGGGTAGCCATATTGACAGGTGTATCTAGCGTGGGTGTTGGACAGGAGAAGTCGGTGTAATGCAATGAGGAAGGCACGGGTGTGGGGTGACGGGGTCATGGATGAGGGTTGAGCTTAGGTGCGACAGTTGCTATTGCAGTGAGGGCTGTGCCGGCCACGCCAAGTTGGTGAAGGTCGTGGCCGGTGAAGGTGAATGTAGAATATCTTTGTGACGCGCCCGAACTCTTTGAAGCTCTCGAAGGGACACGGCGACAGGGATGGCTCAGCTTGGCGAGTCGCAGGAACAACGATCTCCGCCCTGAGTCAGGACAGCTCACGCACAGGAGCCTGGAGAAGTACAATCAGACGTCAGCCAACCAGACAAGGGGACAGTGGCTTCTTGTACTCTTCGCAACTGAGAAACTAAACGCTCGAGATGGTACGGAAAAATCTTCGGCCTACATACCTCGGAGCCTGCAATGATGTCACGGACCGCAGAGCTCCCCCAGCTAGCCGATGGGGCAGGCCCGACTGATTTTCGCGATGTACGGGCGGTGAAGAGCAAAAAAGCGCGTGCAAACATGCAAAAAACGAGTCTTCTCAATAGTCTGCACAGTAACGGGAGGGTGCAGGTGGCCGAGTACAGCGTTATAACGGACTTGCACGGGGCAAGCAGGCCATCTGGTCAGTAAACAAACCTCCCATGTGCGCACGCGTTTTGTCTCGTGTGCGGGAAGGAGCCAATAAGCGAGCAGGGGAATCAAGGCATGACACCCCGCCATCCCACCCAGCTCCGCAGCACGCACGATAGCAAGTAGCCGTCTATGATCCTACGGCACATCACAGGTGCGTCAAGGCAGCTGTCACTCTGAATCTGAAGCAGTCATCATGGCCACCTAGAGGAATCTTGTCGTGGGGTCCAGGCAAGCTCGCCTGTCGATGCTGTCATCATTCTTGAATTGCCCCTCCATGTCTGTCCCTTGTAGTAGTAGTACCTATCACACCACTGCCTATGACTCTACAACTTATCTAGTGCATATCGGGCTGCAACGCAAAGACCACACCAACACTACTCCAGAGCAGCCTATCCCGTATATCCGTAATTCAAAAGGATCCTTAGACCTGAACTGTAGTCAAGATTGTCTCGATCTCGTCTACGGCAGGCTTTAAGCTCTTTGATGGTAGACTCCAATCATGGCGCTTCAATCCTCCCTCATGCGTCAAGTACCAGAGCGTCTCGGCGGCTGCAATTCGTACCTATACCACTGTCAGCATGAAAGCAACGTTGTTAACATGTTACTCGTACCTTTGGGAACGGATGTAAAAGCATGCTCACGACCTTGGAGAGAGTGTCGGTCCTTGTCAGTGTTATGTCTCCCAAGCCACGATACACGTCCAATGCGAGATGAAGCTTTTGCATGTGCGTAGACTTGAAGTGGGCCTTTTGAGTATAGGAAAGGAGAACTCGGAAGCTGGACTTGTTAGCTGATCTGCAGACATGATACGATAGACAAGCCCTTACTTGAAAGGCGTCGACTGCAGACGCTGCATAACCTGCATGTCGAACAAGAAGGATATCACCTCTAGTAGTGGAAGCAAAACCCTATCATTGGTGATGTTTTCCTTGAGGAGCGTCAGAAAGCAGTTTGCAAAGTCGGCCAAGGTAAACCGCGGATCGTCCGATAAGTCTTCGTTTGGAAGTATGGCAACAAAATCCAGCAAAGCTGCCCGCGAATTCTGCACAACAGACTCAGAGCCCATGCCCGCAGAACTCACAAATCCAACACAGATGGCGTCCCTGATCGAGGGGTCTATCGCTAATACACCTAGTGCGCTCAGGAAGTAAGCCTTGGAAGAGACATTGTGTATGACCTCATTGTTATTTTCTCTTTGCTGAAGAACTTGATAGGCGATCATGCGCATTTTGTCCAGCTTCTCCAGAGATAACCGAGTTACGTCGGCAAAGATGTCGTACTCGCGCTCGTTGCGTCTTCCGGTGAGTAAATCACATGTCCAAGCCAATTGGCCAGTTTTCAAGGCCTCAAGTCGAACAAGTGACCCGACATCTCCCCGCTCGGTGATGGTATAGTCATTCAATGCAATGTGCAAGGCGCTTGCAATCTGATCTTGTACATCTGAAGCAAGCTGAGCTGGTCGCGAAGTCTGACTGCTAAGCAAGCAACCCAAGGCTCGCAATGCCACTGTTCGAGCCTCGATTGCTACAGCTGGAGTGCATCTGAACGTGAGTACCTTCACTATTCGTCGTTGAAGGAGTTGCTTTTCGGCATCAGCTGCTAAACTGATCAAACTACCATGTGTAGCCCCGAGAGCGATAGCATGTCCAGAACATCGCAGCCCATTGTAAGATGCCTCATTTTCCAATCGATCTAGCCACGATACTACTACTTCGACCGTTTTAAATCCAGGTGTCCCAATTAGTAGTGAAACTATTGCTGGAATAGCAGCAGCGATAGCATTCAAGACTGGCTCCTCATGACGAGCCAGACAAAGATTCAATAGGTCACAAACCTGAGTTGCTGGCAAGCTAGAAGGCCAGAGCTCACTGGGATACCCAAGAGTAAATCTTGCAATCGCTCCAATGAATGTGCATACTGATGATGCTGTGAACTGAGGCCGTAGCGCTGGTGATGTGAATGCTTTGTCTTCGAGCTTTAATTCGCTGGCGAACAATGTCCAGAGCTCCATCAAGGGCGCATGTGAGTTCTCATGTGCTCTCTTGGCGTGAGACAATCCTGCAGTGTCAATGAGAGCCGCAAGTGCAGTTACCAATCCTTGGCGCTCTTCAACCTCGCGAGGCCGCAATGCCGCAAGCTTTTTGCGGACTTGAATCGACATCTCTTGTACCACCACAGGAGGCCGAGCCTTGGATAGAGAGCCTATAGCGTCTGCTGCAAAGAGGCGTGAGTCAGAGTCCAACGACCCAGTTCCCCTCCAATCTAGCAGACCGCTGAAGAGAGCATCCCAGTACAGTGAATGCAACCCTCCCGCCTTGATAGCCACATCAGACATTGCTCGTTGACGGAGCCCGACAGCATGGAAGTCAACGATCTGTACGAGCGGTATGCCCTCTTCTATCGTGTTGGGGTGGCGACCGATGAGTTCCTGAAGCGCAGCTGATGATCCTCTTCTGATATTACCTGCTGGGTCAAGACATGCAGCCACAACCAACTCAATGGCCAACACTTGAGGGACGTGTAACGACTTGAGGTGCTCAGATGCTTTGATTGAAGCGGTCTCCACTGCCAGAAGGTCGGCTGTAGGGTAGCGGCGAGAGAGTGCCCAGATACCGAAGCAAGCCGCATCACGTACATTGGTACCAATAGATCCTCCAGTTGGTGAACGCTGCTCGAATCCGAGGGACAGCAGAAGGGCGTTGAGTACTTCCGACAAATGGCTGGTAGAGATCGCTTTGCGATAGAGTAATTGCGATAGCGTTAAGGTCAACCCGTGCCATCGAAGTGGGTTAACACCATTCAGATTCCGTCTGGAGCCCTGCCAGTAGATATTCTCTGTGAGAGAGGAAAGTATCGCTTCAACCACTTCGCTGGCCATGTCTGCATCCAATTTAAGGGTGATGATACTAAGCGCTTTGCTGGCACCATATCTGACCGGTGTATCGCCATCTGCAAGTGCTTCGAGAAGGTATTCGATGACCTCTTCCAATACCACTGTTGAGTCAAGCCCAGGAAGGACTGACGTTGCTTGGAGGCAATGTAGCACAGTGTTACGCAAACTCTTCACGACTAGTTTGCGCGCAACAGCTGACGATCTAACAAATGCAAGACTTTCTTGGTCCAGGATCTTTCTGCATGACAGATAGATGGCAGCGAGGAAAGGGCCTAGTTCCTCGTTTGTAGCGGATGCTAGAAGACCGGATAAGAACGACAGTACACCAAGACACTGGTGTATATCGGTTCTCTCGCCGTTAATATCCGTGAAAAAGGATAGCGACCATTGCACCATGGCATCCAGTAAACCTAGCTTTTGCATGTCTGGTCGCACACACGTTCTCACTAAAAGACTTGCAGCGGCAGCCCTCTCCTTTGTAGGAGATCGAAGGCCTGACATACATACCGAGAGCACTCGGAGAGTCACGCCAGGCAATTCTGCCGGCAGCCTCAGCCCAACAGCTACTGGCGCTTCTGCAGAAACTTGCAGCCCAGACATAGACTCTAAGGGAAAGGGCGCTAAGAGTAGCTGTGAGAGCCACAACAGGAGCACATAGCGCTGTATCCATGGCTGAACCGCTAAAGGCTGTATGGAATCATCGTTCTCGGACCTGGGATCCTCGCTGGCCTCCAACTCCCTCAAAATTGGTTCGAGATAACGCGGCTCGTTGTTGAAGAATCCTTTGATGACCTTCTCGCCTCGAACCTTACAAAAGGTATTCAATACAGAGCATATGGCATGCGGAAGAGTGATAAAGCCTTGTGATGGCTCTTCTTTGGCGCTCACTGATATCGCTTCCAGATAGGCAGCAACTAGGGGAGGAATGAAGGTTTTCAGATGGGTGTCTAGGATCTGTGGATCCTCCTGAAATGGCTCGACCTAGTGGAGTTCAGCATCTTGCGATGAGATAACGATACAGAACTCATACCAAGCTGCATGCTTTGTGCATATCAGTTGCTCTGACATGTTGACGGAGGGGACCGAGGGTCGCGCCATGCTGTCGTTTTCGCAGCAGTCGTGGCAGTAGCCTCTCGAAGTCTGAAAGGAGCGATGCAGAAGCTCGCTGCAATTTCAGGTCGTCGTCCTCTCCGGCACTCATCGTGAGTCAGGGTGAAGTTGTGATTCAGTTTGCAGGTGACGATGGGTGCCTTGTCGCCCGAGTCATTTTCGGTCATCATGGGCAAGCACGACGCGTGGTCCTGAGTCAACCCCCGCGACGCGCTTTCACAACTTCTTCCACGAACAACAGCCGCGCAACTACGTCAGCCACAACAACACGCACAATGGCGGAAGACAACTACAGGGACTATCTTGTCGCGAGGGTAGTTACAGAACAAAAGCCTATCACCTACAGGCTGCTCAGCAGAGTACTCAAGACCAATGTCAATACAGCGAAGCGGTCAGTGCAGTCCGTGCAACTGTTCGAATGTGAGCTTACATGATGCAGGATGCTCTTCGAGTTCCATCAATATCAAAATGCGCGAAAACCGAATTCTGTCCACGCCACCTACCTTGTCGTCGGTACACCGAAACGGACTGAGAGGACCAATGGCGCCCCCGCAAGGAAAGTCGAAGACGCTGACAAGCGCAATCCGCCCACTATGAGCTCCAAGCCACATCTACAAGGGCCTGGAGACCCTGATTATATCAGTGACTCCGACGACGAAGAGACGCCCGCGCCTGAAGGTGTAAAAGAAACCCGGATTCTGCTGGTGCCAGAGACCGATTTGGAAAGTGCGTCTCGGTACATGATGACCGCGAGACTTCGCTGACGGCCTGCACAGAGACCCGATCAGAGCTTGAGGATGGATCCACGGCTCATATATACAGTCTGGAGGCTGGTGCGCTTAAGGTATGAGGCCCCCGTACACTTCAAGGCTTCTACTAAAGCAGGCACAGCTTAGCATTCTGTCTTTGTGCAACCACGAGGTTGTAGCAGAGTATACAGACGAGGATCCTCTGGAGCGATGGAGAGTGTATGGTTCAATACGAAACCAACACATCAAGGTATGAAAACTAGTCACATATACTTGGACACGCTAATTTGTTTGTAGAAAAGGACTGCAAAGTATGCCCCTTCTACTGCTTCATCCAAGCCCGCTACGAACCCCGTTACGATGCCTGTCACAAAAGCTGCAATAAGCCTAAGCATGAAAGGAAAGGAGAGCTCGACATCTACAAGGAGAGGAAGCGCATCTGAAGATAACACATCCGGTCGTTCAACACCACAACCCTCTGCCGGCTCCACTACACTCAAGAGGAGCGATTCAAAGTCCGGGGCGAAGAAAGACAAGGCAACGGGTGATTTGTTCAAATCCTTTGCAAAGGCTAAGCCAAAAGCGAAAGAAGCAGAGAAGTCGCAGGAGTCTACGCCGGCTCCGGTTGAAGATGGTGCGTAAACATGCCGTCTTTTCTGATTGTATACGACTAACTTGTCTAGAACCCATGCAAGGCATGTCCGAAGACGAAGGCGATCCCGATGACGAACCTGAAATCAAGATCGACGAGGAGAAGAATGAAGCAGCCCGCAAAGCTCGAGAAGAGCGAGCCGAAAGGCTACGCAAGATGATGGAAGACGATGGTAAGTCCTCGGAGCTGAGGTGGTTTTTGTCGTCTAACGTTCGTAGACGAGGAAATGCCCGATGCGCCAGCCACAGCAGATTCACAGCCAGAAGCCCCCTCTACAGCGGCCACGGATACAACTGAGCCAGCTGAGGGCGAAGCTACAGTTACCGTTACGAACGGTCGTAGACGCGGCCGAAGACGAGTGATGAAGAAGAAGAAGGTCAAGGACGAAGATGGCTATCTCGGTTAGTAGTCAAAGCGTCCGCAAAGCCTTCCAACTAATTGCGCACAGTAACTAAGGAAGAAGCCGTCTGGGAGTCCTTCTCCGAAGAGGAACCCACGACAAAGAAGGCCAAGCCAGCATCTGCCAAACCATCAAGCTCAGCGAAAGGAAAGAACGCAGGCAAGAAAGGACAGGGGAGCATTGCCAGTTTTTTCAAGAAAGCTTGAGATGTCCATAGACAGATACGCTTGCTAAGATATTTCCATGTATGTCACGATGAAGACGGGAATGTTCCTGAAGTTTCGTCTGGACAGTGCGAAAGTCGAGCATAGTGTAGTGTACAATCATTCAAGCTGTCCCCAGGCATTTCCAATGACAGATATTCCATTCATACCGGCCGAATGATTCGGCCGTTTTGCAACGGTAAATGCCCTGTAATTGATGCAGCAAACTCCTGCAAATCTCGCGAAGCGACGTTGCTCAGGTCGCCGACTTGGACGACTTCATACGCCCACCGTACCGGATGTAATGTTGTACACAGATCTTGACTTGTTGAACGGCTCCGTGGCGCTGTGATGTTATACGACACGGTTGGCTTAGTTCAAAGGGAAATCCTCCTCATTGACGTGCGTGCTATATCCGATTCGGATCCACCTAGTGTTGTCTTCGTGTATCATCCAGCTTGCTGGTCCCCTGCATGAGATTGTCTGTGTTCTGGAATCGCACTGTTGGTGATGACAGATTCGGTCCCTCCTCGGATGCCCCGCAGAACCGGGGAAGTATGTGCTTCGCCAACATCTACTTCTTCGTAATTTGTACAACCATAAAACCGTGTCAACATTCTAAGCTTCTCTACGAAAGGCGGGTTAAGAGCTGCACTGGCACTTGCACTAAGCCATACAGAGGCTACTGACCTCATTGAATCTGCACGATTTGGCAGGTACAGATCTGGTTGATGACGACATCATTCTTAGACAACATCAAATAGTCTGATGCTTCGCAACTCTTAACTGCTTCAAGCGCATCGCAATCAATCAATTGTTCTCTCACAATAGCAACCATAGCTTCACGCACAGCATCCCGTCGCCTTTCGCGATTCCTACGCACCATGTCTACTACAGCACCCTCCGCATCGGCCCTCCCGCCCGCGCCATGGAAGTCGCTGTTCAGCGAGCATATCTCCAAGATGAAGTCGCCCGAGTTTGTTCTCGGAACACTCGATTCAGCACCCAAGGGCTCACCCACCCCTTTCGTGCCACGCGTGCGATACTGCATCCACCGCGGCTTCTGGGCTGAGCTACCAGAGAACAAGCACAACGATGCGGAGCGCAACCCTCAAGTCTACCAGAGCGATTGTCCTACATTCACAACAGATGTTCGAATGGAGAAGGTGGGACAGATATTCGCAACGAGTGCCGGACACGCAGAGAGCAATGCTCAAATACAGGGTAGTGGTGGTGGAGGCCCTGTGGAGGCTGTTTACTGGAACGCTGATACTGGCACACAATGGAGAATCAAGGGAAGGGCATTCGTCATCGCCGACGATATCGAGGGTGATGAGGAGAGCAGTGGTGTGAGGACTGTCAAGAGCGAGGTGGGAAAGAGGATGAGAATTGTTGATGAGGGCAAGGAAGACCAGTTCAGTTGGCAGAGGGAGCTGACAGGATTCTTTGGCAACCAAAGTCCCGGCATCAAAGGTAGGAAATATTGCTGTGTTTGAAGCTCTGGAAGACTCTAACGCGAATTCACAGGCTCGTTCAAGAACCCCCCGCCTGGTCAGCCTACATCCAAACCTTTCGACGACAAGAACCTCGCACTTGGTTCCAAGGTAGATGACTTGAAGGACCCCGTTGCACGCAAGAATTTCCGCCTTGTGGTCATCGTACCAGACTCGGTGGAGCAGACCGATCTCAGCAACCCTGAAAAGGCACGGAGATTTAGATATACATTTGACGAGAGCGCAAAGGCCAACGCCGGATGGAGGACTGAGGAGCTATGGCCTTAGAAGCGCTGCGAATAGGTGTTTATGAGTACGCATGAACGGACAATCGAAAACAAATTGGCAACCGAATGTTCGAAACAATACCACAGAGTTCCCTGATGTTATTCGATTCCTTCGTAGGGCCGAGTGTATGCATTGTTGTTGTGTAACTCGTTTGTCGCAGCGACCCTTGCTCGCTGCACATGCATGGTTTCGATGCAGTCTTCCCCACAACGTGGCTCAGGTCGGCGACCACGACCGTGGCCCTTGTTGGTTTGAACAGTCGCCTAAAGGTTGCAAATTTGTTGAGCGTGCTTCAAATCGGAACGTGGGATTTTCTGGCTCAACATTAGTTCCATCGAACAAGCTGCTCGCTGCACATTTCTTCGTGTTCAAGTACGTTGGATCAGACTTGGACGCGAGTTTCGTGAGTCACAGCGTTCTGGTCTGACGACATCAGAAAAGCAGAGGTGCGAAACGAAACGTGTGTTGAGCAGGCCCCTTATCCGCATACTATTTCTGTCGCGTGGTTACCCCAACGGGAAATCGATGCGTAAAGAATCGTCGGCAGCCTAGGATGATCCCGGAACGCTAATCTAAATAATGCTACGTGTGTTAACGTTCACGCTACAGCTGTTTGTGTGGTAAACTTCGACAGTTGGAGATCCACTGGCATTGGTGCATATCAACAGGTCAGGTGCGCGCACCCGCCTTCCTAGGCTGGCATCGTTCGCGAGCACAGCAGGTCGGTCACTGGACTGTGCACAGCAAATCATCATCTTACACAGAAACAAGATTATGGAAAAAGTCTCCGTCACGTACGTGTACTGTGCGGACGATTGGATACGGACGGCATGGACGTCTGCATTCACTCCTTGGTCGTTTGAACTACCACTTTTGGTATGTTATTCGCAGGTTGAAAAGAACACAAAGGGCGCCACGGTTTCGATCCGGCTGAGGCGCTGCGGCACGGGTGTAGCTACGCCGCACTGGTGCTTATTGGGAGTAATAGCCGCCGGGCGGAAGTTCCATGCGCGCCATCGCCAAATCGATGAATGGGGGGTGAGCTGGCAACCGTTAGGCCGGCGGCGGGTGTAGGCGGTGATTCGAGCTGTCATCGCAACTGGAGGAGTGGAGCGAGCCGCGACATGGAGGGAGATCATGTGCAAAGCGCAAAGGACTAAGAAGCGATCCCCATGCGCGTCTAGCGGGTCACGACAAGTTCGGTATGTAGATGCGTTATCGTGGAGCCATGCGGAACACCATGACAATGGCATCGATCTTGTACTCGGTCGGCCATGTGGCAGCGCAACGACAAACTCCACCGTGCAATGCTCAGGAGTGAGGCAATTGAATCTTGTAATCTTGCGACTCGTCCCTAATAAGGCCGAGCGCCCTGTTCGATCACCGCCAAGGGTACGGAACCGTTGCTGCGGTACCCCATACCTGTTCAGAGCGGAGTATCTTCCTTGCACCTTGCACCCGCACCGATGCAAGTCCGTGTCTTTGCTTTCTGGCTGCCCCCTCTTTCTTCTTGATGCAATGCACTGCCGTGGATTTGTACCTCCGTCGTCCCACGCTGCATGTCGGTAGACAGGACAAAGTTCAGTCTGGCCCCGCTGATCGCATCTCATATCAGGCGCATTCCCCTGCTCGCCAGCCCGTCCCTCTCCATAAGTAATCGCTGATCGTCTGCCACTATTTCTCCGCCGACCGCTGGACGCGCAATTACCCCGACCATATCCTCTTTCCACTGCCACTCTGCACACCTGCCTCGTTGCTCGCTGGTCGACGCTCACATCGATATCGTAGCAGTCGCATGCAATCGTCCGTCTGCACCATTCCCTGCCACCATCACCCCTGCCGCCCTACGCCGGAACTCGGATCCTCGCCAACCAAGACGCCCGCCATGTCCGACATCGAGAAGTCGTTCACGTACCTCCAGGACAGCATACCGCAATGGCTTCAGGATATCGCCAGCGTTGAAGAGAAGGTCACGGCCATGCAGAATGACAACACAAAAGTGCCCATGTCACAGTCGCCATTCGGAAAGCGGAGGACAGACTCGACCGCGTCCATACGACCAGCACTAGATGCCATCGCCGAGGACGCAGCGCCTTCGAATGCAACCCCGACAGACCCTGTGGGCAGCCGCAAGCGCAAGTCCCTCTCCGTCTCATCCGGTCGCGTGTCAGGCCCCTCGCGCCATCGCCCTCGCACAATGGTCGTTGTGAGCTACGATGGAGATATGCAGAAGTCTTTCGAGCTGCTGGTGCGCGCAATAGGAACAGGGCGCAATTTGCTGAGGAAGGCCAAGATGGAGGCTCGGATGAACGAGATGGCTACTCAGGCAGAGTCGAGTGAAGAGGACGACGATGTCGACGACGATGATGATGATGAAGAGGTCGATCTATCCAAGATCAATTACCGAGCACGTATGTCATCACTACGCGCGAGGTCAGCAGCTAGGAGAAGCGGGCGGCTCGGTGTGAGCAGCGGAGTAAAGACACCTGCGGCGCTATTCGACACCTCTGATAAGACACTGGAACAAGCCCAAGAGTCGTGTGAAAGGGCAGCGCATCTTACACTACGCGACGGCGACTGCAGGAAAGAGTTGGAAGGAGTACGGAAGAACTTCGAGGCTATGCTAGAGATCGCAAGGGCCGAGGTTGAGAAGTGTAACGCACGCAAGTCACAACATCCACCTGAGCTGCAGGCACACGAGACCTCCGACACATCCATGTCATCCCTGGAACCCGAAACACTACATCGAAAAGACACACCACAAGCCGCACTGCCGTTACCTGAGTTAGGTGTCCAACCGAAGACGACGCTACCACAAGAATCCTCCAGTGCGCCTCAGCCCCTCAAAATCGTCGATATCGAGGTTGATGAAGAGGATGACGATGACGATTTCGTATTGCCGCCTGTCCGACTAACATCGCGACTCAACCGGCGAGACTAAACCTTCATGTCCCATTCATTCGTTACTTTTCCATGCGTTCAAGCGATTCTCGTCTCAGTCACTGCTTTTGGTACGGCGTTCTCATGGTACTAAGTGAGCAAGCGAGCCACTGTTTCTCACGTCATGCTGGGGATGAAAAAGGGGCAAAGGGTATTATATCCACATACATCATCAAGCAATTATTGTGCATCGGCGTCTTATAGCGAGATATTGTTGCTGCTATTGTTCAGCGGAGTCAACCTGACCTGAAGCTCTTTGTGCTTACAGTTGAGAGAGCAGTGTGTATTCGCTGATGTCTTTTGTGGTTTGTTTACATTATATTAATCACCGTCGTCACACGATCGAGGCCTTAAGTCACGTACTTCATTCTCATCTTGCTTGCATTATAGTTATTCGTTTAGCTGCGGGCTGTTCTCTCATTAAGCCGATATTTTTGACCTCGTGGTACATGATCAGTGCTTTCCGTTGTTGTCACTTCCTCGCTCCTGCCCAATGCTAAATGCGCACTTGAGGAAGGAACAAAAACGAAACGCAAGGTGCTCCACTCAATGCAACTGCCTTCTGATGCTTAACGTTTCTGCACGCGCCTGATGCTCTCTACCGCTATACTCACATAAGCTCCACTCACCTTCTTTAACACGGCCCTACTATCGGTGGGCCTGAATGGCTTCTACGTAAGGGAATACAATCACTTCGTTTAAATTTTCTGCCTACTTAGAAGAGGCTCAAATGGCGGGTGGAAATGCTGTGCGAAGCAGCGCTGTAAGTGAATCCTTTGTTTTCTACCTTCACTCTCATTACTAATGCGACGCAGGTGACTGCCCCAGAGAGAGCAAACATCGATGAAGGGCAAAAATATGCTTCGGACTCGCATCAGACTAATGAAAATCTCGAAGACAGCAGAGAATCCTCCGTCGTACCTGACGAGACTGTTGATCGATGTGGATCTAGTGATACTAAGGGCGCAGTCAACATCGAAAAAGTTGTCTTTCGGACCCCAGACGAGAACAGCGGAAATTTCCAAGAGCCCGTCAAGAGACCAGTAAGTCTATTCTCGTTCGACCCGAAGTAGAGATTGACTATGCTTCGCAGCATCTTCCTGAGGTTCCCAAGAAAGACCACGGCGCCAACCTTCCGTCTGATATCGACCTTGAGAACTTTGCCGATTCGAAGAAGTCAGATTTGACTCCACCTACCTCTACCATCTCCGTATCCTCATACGATCTGCGCAACAGAACGCAGAGCAAGCTAGTGTACGATGTCAAGTATCACCCCATGGACGATACCATCCGGCCTTCTCAAGCAGCGAAACGTCGTATAGCCCACAGAGAGGTGTCAATACTCGATTCTGATGATGCGAGTGATGCCTTCACCCTAACTGATACCGCAGCTAGCATTGGAGAGTCGAGCGATACGCGAAGCGAGGATTATGAGGAAGCGCCAATGCAAAGCAAGCAAGCCAAACGACGCAAGCAAACCAAGTTGCGGCCGTTGCCTGCTAAGGGCACAAGACGTTCCACACGTAAGGTCTCAAATCAGAAGACATCGTACAATATGGATATCCACCCTCAAGACAAGTACCTAGTCATATCCAGCGATGATGACGATAAGCAGACTCCAAGCAACAAGCGTAGGGAGATCATTCGTAAGCGTCCCAACGCCGACGATAGTTCTGTACCCGACATTAGAATGGCAAAGAAGCCCAGAGTTTCTTACCAGGATCGATCGCGCCGCACAGACCTTGGTACTTCTGATAGCCTAGACTTCAGTGGTGTGCCCATAATGCATAGTGTGGAGACTGGTGGAGCTACCAAGCACAGTACGTATATGCAGTTACAATATCCTCATGCGAGCTTCAACTGATCGTGTGCAGCCATTGATACTACGACGTTTTCACATTCTTCGCTTGTTAACAGTTTCCCTGACCATTGCATTCGGCGCCGGGAAGGTATGGACGTCTGGCACTATCCTCCCGGAAAGAGATACCTTAACCACGATCGGGATTATTGGCCCACTCTTCCAGATCAGGCGTTTGAGATCTTCCACGAGAAGCTCGAAGATCAGCTAGCACGCGAAGCTATGGAAGTATCACCACCCAATTACGAACATGACAACAAGGAAAACATGAGCAACGCAGGCCTTGAGCCGGGATCTGATGACTACGGTGGCATGTCTATCATGCCGTCTGCGCAGTATCTACAGTCAAGCGATGAGCAGCAGCTGGCAGATCATCGTGCCCTTGTCTCTGAAGCTCTTTGTTCTGACACCGCTCCGCAGTCATATGGGCTGGATGGAAGTCATGGCACCTGCGAAGTACAGAAAGATGGCCCGGTAGAATACATGGATATCCTCATATCTGGTGGACACTTGCCCCCCAGGTCCTGCACATGCTGAAGCACAAGCGGAGACCCAGGATTCGGTACTCGACTCCGACTCTGTAAGCGAAATCTGAGGGTCAGAGTTGTAGGCCTGTCAGCGCGCCACACACCAAGAGGTCGAGTCGGTCGCCTCACATGGTGTTTCTGTCAGCTGTATCGACTTGTTTCTTCAAGGATCAGCTCTAATTGCATTGTCATGCTTGCTGACAGCTGTATCGCTATATAGCTAAATGTACACTTGCAACTACCTTGTGTTCCATTTCTTATCCTCACCATATATACTATGCATTCCATAAGCCATTTCCGGCACACATCATATATGTATGACTGAAGCTTAGCTCACTTCGTGCTCATTGTCTGCAGGCATGGGAGGAGTGTGTAGTTACAAAGTACTGTGTTTTAACGTACAGCGGAGCACTGCACAAAGCCGGCCAGTTTCTTAACGTTTCGTAGTCAAGTTGTGTACATCCAGAATGCGATCTAAGTCTTTGGCAAAGAAGAACGTATAGAGCAGAGAAGACGTCCTCTAGTCAAATCTGGATACATGCTATATCCAGTATAGTTGATCGACCTTGATGGCATCGCCGATACAGTCCAGTATGCAGGACCAGAGAGACTCTCCATATGCCTTCTATGGTCTCGTATAGCGAAACAGATCGCCAACTAAGAAATAATATACGTATGTCTCCGTCTACGTCATGTTAGTACAGCACAAGCCAAAGTTTGTTATGGCGCCCGTTAGATACGAACGCTTGATGCTACTCGCCGATATCACATGCAAACTTGCTGCATTTCCCTGTACCGTCATAGAAGGTTGACAGCGTTCTGTATATGCCGTGTTCCGGTGACGGTGTTAGTGGGCTGTCTACAATGTCAGATCGGAGGTGATGGAATTCAGGCGTTTCAGCCTGTGTTGATCTCTCATTAGTAACATGCTTTTGGCATATAAATGAAATCCTCTCAAAAAGGACGCATGCTCTTACTTCTGCAGTTGCATAGTGCTTATGAGGAATATAATCTGTAATGGACGCCTCAGGTGCGCTGTTGCGGCGCAGCCGTGAAGTATTAGAAGATCTGCATGGAAGGACGACGTTGCAAGCTCAGGAACTACATCATGGGTCACCTTGCAGTGCTGATCGCATGTGGGAGAAATGTCATGCTGCAAATTATCTCCGCTCGTTCGGAGGTTTTCGTATGGCCGATCTCATCCATCCTCGAGCTCGTATGGGTTTTGCTCACCTAAACTCTAATTTTCCATGACGTTCTTCCACAATGAAGATCGTCTTCGGCTTTGAATCACGATTCGATACGTTAGTCTGAACAGTCGTGTCCCGACAGTGTGTACCTCTTGCGTATGTAGGTCAGCCGAGCTCTGTACCAATTCATCATTGCAGTGTTCCAGACACATGATAGAGTCCCTGCATAGTGTACCTGCCCACGAGACTTGTATAAGTGACCTCGAAACTGCAGTACGCCGATACAGAACCAAAGTCCTGTCTACAATACGAAAGCGAAACGCGTCTTCTATATTTGACCGTCCGGGCGAGCCCGGACGCCCGGTTGCCAGGAATAAGCGATGGCGCGCTATTGCCAGCGGAGCGGCCGTCTAGTGTCGTTCTGGGTACGATCTACGCCGCGGTCTAAGCGCAAGGCTGGCTGGAGACGATCTTGGTGTCGGTTATGGTGTTGGTGTTTTTGGGACGGAGGAGAGCGAATCTCGGATACACGGATAGCTTGAAGACGGCTGGCTGCCGCAAGTTCGCAAGATCGTCGTCGGGAGCGCTGGCGCAACTACACCATGATGCGTGCGGACCGCCAGACAACAGTGTTATCGTCTGTCCAACACCGATTATGTGAACTTTGCCACTTCTGCGCATAAATGCAGGTTGTAGCACGTGGGGACGCTTTACTTCCTTTTCGGGCATAGAGGATGTATGGCAACTGTGTTTAGCGAACTGGCTTAAGCCACGGAGGTTGATCTTGTCCCGTCACGACCCCACACCCCATCGTCTCTGACCAAAGGTCGATCAACACCACGATGCCGTACGCCGCCGGTGAAGCTGGTCGGATATCGTCATATCGTATCGTATTGCGCGGAGTTATCTGCGATTTGGGTCTCAACCTCATTCCATGGTACGGACAGTCTCGTGGGACGATGTACTGCACCGCGACGTCGAGCGCGCGAATAGCTTGCTTGAATACGATGGCGCTTGAATAATTTGGCCTAGAAATTGTGGTCTCGAGGAATCTAGTCTGTCGTCCGATGTCATTGTAGGTTTCCATCTCCGCTGTTGCATGGCGGAGCGGCCGTTCTGTCAAGCAGAGTGTCATGCACGTTTCCTGTCGACCGCAGATGTGTTTCCAGTTCATCCTTGCTTCTCCCGCTCTCAGCCAAGTGGTAGCAGCGCAACGTCGCAAAGACCAATGGGAGGCCCTCCTCCTACCACAACCTTGAGCACATCTTTGCTTGGTCTTGCGCTTGCTGTCAGCCTTTTTGCACGCTTGTGCGCCCTGCAGCCATACTAAGCTCATCTGCCGACACGCAAGCTTTCTCATCTGGTTAGAATGGCGTTGCACGCATGGTGCTTCCTGGCAATCTATGACGGCAGGGCTAGACTTATGAGACCCTGCAGACTCAATTTGGAGGAGCTTATGGAAGATTGAGGCTTGTAAGTGGACGTGGAATTGGTGATGGCTACGTGATGTCTCTGTTGTTGTCTATGCCAAATCTCACGTCCTCTGCTACTGAGCGTATAGCATGAAGAGATGCACACCGTTCATCGCGTTGATGACAACACTCACTGTCCCGCGAGCGGCTCAGTGTATTCTGGGCATACATTCTAGTCCCTCGTCTCGCCGATTCGAGCAAGCGTTTCAACTACTCTATTCCCAAAAGGGCTTTGACAGGGATCACACAGCCAGCCCTGCTCCAGCCAGGCACAGCCGCTTCCTCCTGCTACGGCGACTAAGACATCGTACGCCGCACACCGTCACTGTATCTCTGCTCTAGTCTACGATCACAATGGATGACGGCGGGTGTGGAGTGAGGGGCTTAGGCCTAGAAACAGTGGTCAGTCTTCGGCTGGCTACTCCGCCATCAGTCGTCTGATCACATCTAGCGTGCACCACACTGCGTCTGGGAATTGGATATAAGGTGTAGGTCCATTTCCCCAGGATTTCGATATTACAAGCAAGCATCGATCAAGGTTCTACAGCAACTACTGCTACTACTAGTACCTCGAATCTTGTAAACTTATATTGATTGGTCTCCTGACTCACTTCCTTTTTCAGTATATTTATATACTCGTTTACGGGAATATTCACACGGACCTCTCGAGTTCGGTGACTGTTATATACGTCTACATTACTTCCGGTGTCACGCAAGGCTCCTGCCGCCTTCCAATTCATACCTTACCTGGTAGCGCGATAACAAACGGAAAAACGGACGAGGACTTCTCACGCGCACGGAGTTCGCCACCGAGGATTCATTGCACGCCGCTATCATTACCTGATACTGCGAACTTGGGCCTCTCGAGTTCCTTTTCTTAATTACAGGATTACTCGCCGAACGACTGCGATACAACTACTCCACCACTTCACCACTTCTATACATCACCCATATACAAGATGGTCAAGTTCTCCACTCTCGCCCTCGGGCTCCTCGCCATCGCCGGCGAAGTCTGCGCACAGAGTAAAGTAAAGGTCATGCCCTTTGGCGCTTCCATTGTTTCGGTACGTCCTTCGCTTTCTTCACTCAACCCTTACGCCTGCTAACCCTACCAAAGCGATGCTGGCGCGCCAATCTCCAGACTAGTCTTAGAGCTGGTGGTGTTACGAACTTCGACTTCGTTGGTAGTCAGAAGAGCAGTTGCGCTGGTACCGACATCGATCAAGACCACGAAGGCCACCCTGGAAAACAGGCCGCGGAATTCGTAGCAAAGGGTAACCTTACTGTCTGGCTCAACCAAAACCCCCCGGATGTCATTATCATGCTCCTCGGTACCAACGACGTCATCATCGGAAAGAGGTCTGTCGACGACATTCTTGCCTCGTACGACATCTTAATCGGACAAATGCGCAAGAAGAACCCCAATATGCAGATCGTCTTCTCTAACCTACTGCCTCTGGACCCAGCGAAGTGGGCTGCGTCTGCCGTAAAAGGAATCAAGGACCTCAACACTGCCATAGCCACCTACGCGCCGAAGAAGAGCACCACGAAGAGTCCGGTGTACTTTGTAGACAACTTTAGCGGCTTCGATCCAGTCAAGGATGCCGATTCGGACGGCGAGCATCCCAACCTGACTACGGGCGTGCAGAAGATGGCAGCCAAGTTCCTTGACCCTACCAAGACGGCAATAAGGGCAGCAGCTGCATTGAAGGCGAAGAGGGTCAAGAGGGCTGATAGGATGTTGAACTTGTCTGAGTAATAGGATGTTGAACATATCAGAGTAAACAGAGACAGATGTACATAGTAACGAATTCATGATCTTTCATTCTTTTCATAACTGAGCCTGGCTATCTTCAAGTACTTTTTCAAAGCAACAGGCCATTATAATTGCGCCGCCAGACGGATACTACGGCCCGAGGGACGACTACGTGCGTGTGTCGATATGGCGAGCGGAGGTTTTCAGGGCTTTTCCGTAGTGTCAGAGTCGCCCTCAGACGCGTATGTATCCGTCTGCGCGGCGGCTTGCTCCCTGGCGGCCTTTCGCGCGGCCAGAATGCCACGAGATTTCTTACTCCTAACCAGCTTGGCTTCGGCAGCCTCAGCAGCCTTAACGGCAGCGACTTTCTTTGATTGGTCAGTATGATAGTCGATCTAGGAGATAGTCAAATACTTACGGCTGCCTCCGCCACCTTAGCAGAGTGCATTGCAATGGCTACAGCCGCCGCCGAGTCCTTCTCATTACAGACGTAGGTGGTGTCGTATCTAAAGACCGGTGTACAAAGTCAGTACGTCTCTCATGCAGTTCATACGGGGGCATTACTAACGCGCCTCGGCCCATTTGGTGAGGATGTTGTAGTAGTGAATCGCCTTGGTGACTATGTTGCAGTCCAATATGGCTATGGCCATTAGCAAAAGGCATTGCGAAGCCATGCGACATGCTTACAGTGATTGCGAATGTGGTGATTTTTCAACGACCACGGTCAAGGCAGAAATTTTGTATACAGCTCTTTCTTGTGTTAGCGCCATGGTGAAGGGCAGTGTCTCGAGACTGCCCTTCACCTCTAGTGAAAGAGGAGGCATAGCGGCGAGGTTCATTTCAACGGTAAGGAGAAGATTGACGAAGGAGCAAAGGGGACTACGGGGAGAGAAAAATATATACGAGAGTCAGCTCCAAGCATTGGTGGTCGATAAACTCGCCGTGAATGAGGAATACGGAAGATGCAAACGCTCCAAGAGGGGTAGTATGGCAGTGACCAGGCGATATGCAGGGACGCTGGAATGACAGAATCACAACAGAAGGAGCCGGGAGGAAGATATTGAAAATCTAAATCAATGCAGTATGTACGCATGCTATTCCACGTCTGCCAAAACCAACTCTTGGACTCTTATTTGGTGAGAACGATCTTGAGCTTCTTGGGGCTGTGAGTAAACAAGTTGGCATAGGCCTTGGGGGCGGTCTTCCGCTTGTTAGGCTCCTGGACAAAGTACTCGTAGCCCTGCTTGTTAGCAAACTTGATGGCATCCTCCTTGGACTTGAACTGTATCCGGTGGCCGTTCATGAAGTCGGCCGACGACTGCCAGCCCATGAGCGGGTTCTCCCATCGGTGGCCCTTGGGAAGGACGTCCCAGTCCATCAGCCAGTGTGAGGCGTTCCAGTCGCCGGATTGTGTGGCTGTCTTGGTGGGCTTGTAGATGCTGCAAGAAGTCAGTACGGGGGGCGGCGTCGGATGCGGGGGTTGCCGTACCGGACAGTACGCGCCTGGAGGTCGGTGGGAGCGCCGGAGAGGACGGCAGCGGCGACACTCTCACCGGGCTCGCTTCCATCCATGACACGCTTGGGTACGGGGGAGAAGTTGCTGGGGACATATTAGCCATATGCTCCCGTGGTTATTCAAGTCGCGGGTTGACGCACGAGGTCCGGTAGTCGATGGCGACATTGTAGTCTGGCTGGTGCCTCATGCCCTCGGCGGCGGACTCTTCACGGATCTGGGTCGAGTCGCTGTTGAGCTTGACGGCGGGCGCATCCTCAGAGCTCGTCTTGTGGCCGTGGGGAGTGGGCTCGTTGGTCGCATATGTGCGGAACGACGGGGCCATGGCCCTCGTCGCAGAGGGTCGCAGGGCAGGGGCGAGGACGCGCGATGCAATTGACCTCGGTAGGGCAGACATGGTGGTTGTGTCGTCGGGGTGGCGGGCGGGAATCGTGAATGTCGGTCATGTCGACCGGATGAAGCTGGGGTGGTTGCTTGGCGAAGGCGCCGGCATAATCCGTCGTGCAGCTTTCTTCCTCGAACCTCACCACCGACCGCACGCCCTCCATCTCCACTCCATCGTCTTGCCCGCCCTGGTACGTCGCCCGAAGCGACCCACTACGCGGAGAGCGTGCAATTGATGCTGACTGAGCGGTAGCCGTCAAGATGAGCTTCATGCAAAAGCGCGGTCTCTCGACCCTCATCCCCCCCAAGGTACGCCCTTCTATGCACCCCTCCAATCGCCCACGGAACTGACCATCCTCCCCAGATTGCTTCTCCCAATGTAAGAGCCTTCCAAACCATCGCCTAGGACGCCCTGGAACCCCCGCAATTGCATTCGCGCAACCGCCGGTCCACCACAAACGCACGCATTCACGACCGCAACTCCCCAATGGCAGACTCAATCGCAATCCCAGAACTCTCACCGTGGCGATTTTGGATCTGGGCTGATTTGCAAAATAGGCTATCGGCTCCTCCCCCAATGCTGTCCGCATGCAGAAGGTCGTGAGCTTCTACGAGAAGCTGCCCCGTGGCCCAGCTCCCGAGCCCGAGGCCAAGGGTCTTCTCGGACGCTACCAGAAGAAGTACATGGGCAAGAACCCATCAGGAAGGCGTGAGTACACCCGGCCGGAGAGGGAATGACAAGAGCATTGTCCTTGAACATGCGACATGCGCGTGAGAACACCAGACTGACCCTGTACAGCTCTCGTCCACGTCATTGGCTTCCTGATTGCGCTCGGCTACGCACAGAACTACTACTTCCATCTCCGTAAGTCGAATAAGATGCGCTGATGAGATGATGTGACTCACCACCTGCAGGCCACCACAAGAACAACGAGCACTAAGCGGGTCCTCTGGATGCGCTGTGTCGCCACGAGCGAATGGACAAGATGTGTATATGTAAAGTGTAGTTGGTGAATCAAGTCTCTAGCCAAGACCGTCTCTTCTCCTATCGTGCAAATGACTGTTTCCTTCTGTTTCAACATATCCACGTGTGCAGTGGTGGAGCCTCGTACACCTCTCGCTACGCCGACATGGTCATCTCGAACGGGGGAAAAGTGGTGTATGATCTGCGATGCTATGGAATATGTAACAGGGCTTGTTGCAACACCTTCAACCTGATGGACGTTGAAGCACCGCACGTGCATGCCATGAGCATGTGTCGTCAGCTTCCCGAACCTAGACGTGCATCGCCGCCAGAATTCTCTCGACTCATGAGTCCGCTCCCCATGTGTGATGCAAAGGTGCCGCGGCAGCAGTATGAGATATAGGTTCCACAGCACGCAGACTCTATATATACAAGGCCCCAGCCCGTGCCAAGACTTGCGCCTCTCACCATCGTGGCTACTCAAGCTACCCGCCTTAACCTCCTATAAACCCCATCCACACCCGCGATCCGCCCCACCACGAAAGGGCCCTTTGTACCCAGTCACCCCTCCCGAGCGCGACTCCACGCCGTTCGGTGAATCAGCGCGACTCAGCACGTGTCCGCGACTGCCTCCAGCCCGCGCATCCTCCAGCGAAACACTCCGAAACCTCCGCACTCGCCGCGTCACCTCAGCAACTTGCAGAACGCAACTCTGCGGAAGCGCCGACTTGACATCCGTGGCGACTTGTAGCATCTGACATTAGGTGATTATCCCCAACTTTTCTTTAGCCCTCATGTCGCATGTCGACGATGTCGGGCGTCCGGCCGGGCTCGACTCGCAGCAGTCGACGCCGCTTACGCCAACGTCTTTCTTTGGATCAGATCAAGGACAGCTTTCTGACATTGGGTCTTGCGCTACTTCAGTTCCGGAAACTGTTATGGCAGAGCAGGTTGCCAACGATGTGGTAAAGGAAGCACAGTCGGTGGGTCGTTCTGCGCCCATCGACGACTCTGCGTCAACTACCAACACCCCCGCCGTTAACGGCGAACCGCCCTCGGGCACAGCGACTACCAAAACGACCACATCAGAAGCGTCTTCTACCAAACCCATTTTGAATGGCGCAGATGCACCCTCGGCTGATAGTGCACACGTGTCAGACAAGACCCAGGGACATGCGGCAGCTGTGAGTAGAGATTATGCCGAGTTTCGACGCGGCCCTAACAGTAGCAGGGCGAGAGCAAGCAGCCAGATGCATCACGGCAAGAGTCCAGACAGCCCCACCTCAACGGCCTATCCAGTGAACATCTGGCAGCCGAGTCGCAGGCTGTGGCAGACGCGAGTGGTGGCTCAGATACCGACATTAGCCGTCCTGGAAGCGTAGACCAGTCGAAGCGGGATGGGACTCATGTGCGGACCAACTCGACCGCGAAGAAGCAACCGTTCAAGTCAGTATCCGTAACCAAAAGCTTTCTAGCCAAGACAGTCCCCTCAACACCTGCTGCGCGACCTGGCGAGAAGGCAGCCCCAGCAGCCCCGCCCAAGACGTCAGTCCTCACCGCGAAGCCTCGCCTCGTAGCCAAATCTGGTGCTGGCAACACCCCGCGTGCGTTGGGACAGACCAATGGTGCAGGCGCAGGTCCAGATGCGAGCAAGGTTTGGAATAAGAACCAGCCGGTCCCAGCTCCCCCGCCCAAGACGTATACGGACGACGAACTCAAGCAACAGTACGGCATTCATCTTGCAACACGCTTACAGGCCGACGAAGGGGGCAAAGAGGCCAAGTGGGCTGACATTGACGACGATGAGGAAGACTGGACCCCGGAAGCAGTGCAGTGGATGGATGGAACCAAGTCCTCAGTTGCAGTGCCACAAGAGACGCAGCCACCACCTGCTGAGGAACCAAAGGCTATACTCAAGCCAGAGACGCCTGCCGAGACACCCAAGCCCACTACATCACCAGCGCCTACTACGAACACGCCCAAACCAAGCGTCACCGGCGGTACCAAAACTATCCTGAAGCCCGGCGCACACGCGCAGCCGACTACTGGAAAATCAAGTCTCGTCCTGAAGGGACAGCCGGAAAGACCAACCCTGGTGGCCAAGCCATCAGCCACAGAGAAGAAGTCACCATGGGCGCCCTTGCCTCCAGTCGAGAAAGTATCGCCGATTCAGGTCAACCCTCCAGTACAGCAAGCACCTCCGCAGCGCTACTCGCAACGAGACTCTTATGGCTACGATTCCATGCCCCCACCCGCGAAGGAAATTGCCCCCGATGACTTCAACCGCAACTGGCGCAACGAAAGTGGCAGTCGGGACAATCGAGACGGCCGGGAGCTGTACAATTCACAGAGTGGTCGCTATGAGCCTGTACATAATGATATGAGGCGGAGTTCGGGACGTGATAGTGGTAGCTACCGACAACAGCCGTCTGCCGTGCTGCAGAGGCCGTCTCACGATAGTGGTCCAGCAGAGCCGTCAGCAGCGTTCCAGACATCAAGAGCAAGCGCAGATGGACCTACTTGGGGCAGGAGGAGGAACTCGTCCAACGTCAGTGGAACAATGCCGAGGCGCATGTCAATGGACCCAAGAGGAACAGATATGCCTACTGGCCCTATGAGCACAGAACGACGTGAATCACACTCGATCAACGGCTTCGACCCGTCTTCTTCGGACCCTGCAACTTCCAGACACTCTCCCTTCCAGCAAATGAGGTCCCCAAACGTTGCCCAAGCTCACCCGGCTTCTCCCTACGGATCAGTAACTTCACCAGCTGTCCAAGATGCACCAGCGCCTGTTCCAGCACCGCCAGCAGAAAACCCTGTCGAGGTACAGAAACGCCTCATGGCCGAGAAGATCGAGCGTGCTCGTCTCAAGAAGCAGCAAGATCGTGAAGCCGAGCAACGTGCAGAGGCAGAGAGGAAAGAGCGACTTGCCAAGAAGCTGGCCGCTATGGGACCGCCTGAGTCGAAGACTAAGAACAAGGACCAGTCACCTACACGCCCAGAGCAGTCCCCGCAGAAAGGCAAGGCTGCTCCTGCTCCCGTGCAATCACCGCCAAAGCCACCTGTCCCGACTGCCGATGGTGAGGTCACACAGTATGGTATGATGAAGGTCCACCAGCCTCACCCTGTGAAGAAGTCGCCTCAGACCGAGCATGCCCAGGTTTCTGGGCCGGCATCCCACGCAGCAAATTCCTCGCCGGCGGCTGCACCGTCGTCACTCGATCAGCAATCGGCACAGCCGTTTGACTCCTTCACGCGTGACAACGAAAAGTCCAGGCTAGCAACTGAACAATCTCAGACGATCGCTCACCAATCGGACGGCGCTATCCCTTCTGGGCCTAGGCCACAGGCACCTCCAGCATGGTCGCAGGCGTCTTCCACAGCGCCTCAACCTAGACCTTGGACTTCGCAGGTTTGGGGTCCCCCGAAAACGCAAGATCGAGCTCTTGGTAACGGTACCTTCGACGCTGATTACCGAGGTCAGTCCCGCTCTGGTGCCCAGCAGCAACTTCCTGTCCAGCCACCTGCCTCGACAGTTCCCATTGGCACAAGCTTGGCCCCTCAGGCTCTACCGGCACAGCCAGGAAGGCAGATGCCTCCGTCGCAACAGATGTACTCTCAGCGACCATCGCGTGCACAACAGCAGCAACAGGCAGCAGCGGCTAGAGCGGCTAGACCTTCTAGGACCATTGCTGGCGGTGGTTGGGATACATTTGGAGACCTTATCGAACGCGATGATGCCGAACTTGCGGCAAAGAACCACCAGGATCGAGAGCGCCATGGTGACTTCCGCCCAGAACTTCGAGAGACATACAAGGACCAGCGGGGTCAAGCACAGGTAACGCTGCATGACAAAGTCGCTGCCGACATGACTCTTGCCGAGGCGTTGAAAAAGGACGACACCACAAAGCCTGTGATTGACGGCTCGTCGCCTCAGCAAGGTTTAGGTCAAGGTTCTCTACAGCAGGCTACTGGCCCTCGTGCATCTCGCTTCTTCCCTCGCCCGACTGAGATCTCGACCGAGGCGACACCGTCATCATCAACGTTTGCATCAAGTAAGGCTGATTCTCCTCCACCGCCTCCGGAGACAGAGACACACCCTGTTTTCGGCAGCGAAGCCGGCCACCCGTTGGTAAGGCTCCCGAAGCCGTCGCCTGTTGTACGACTCCCTCCGTCGGCGTCAGGTAGCGGACCGGCTGCTGCTTCCCATGTGAACTTGCCCTCGCGTGGCCAGGCTTTAGGTGCCAGACCTCTTGCAATGAACCCGGAATGGCAAGCTCGGTTTAACAAACTCCTTGACAAGCCAGGCTCCAACCGTCCCGCAACCCTTCCGGGAACATCACCAATGCTGCCTGTCGCTGTCCCACAGCAAGGTGCAGTCGCCCCGGCTGCCTTGTCAAAGGCTTCTCTTGACGTCAGAGCAGGTACTGGTCCTGCCACTGTGTCCTTGCCTAGTATGTCCCAGACGAAGACCTTTGCAGATGATCGTGGAAAGGACGTGGTCACCCGCAACGGCGCTGAGGCACTATTCGAAGATAGAGAATTCGGCTCGCTGCCTACAGTCAAGTTGTCCAAGGTCCCTCATCTCGCTGCCAACCAACCACCCAAGGCCGCGCCTAGAGACGAGCAGCAACCAAGGTACAAGAAGTTCGAAAACCCTTTCACGATCCGTCGACTAGAGGCTTTCGACATCGAGAAGACTGCACAAAACAAGACAAAGTTTGATGTCGTTGTGCGCCTTGTTAACATGCGCGAGCCGGTGATCAAGTCGGTACAAAGGAAACACTATGGCCCTAAACTCACCCGCCAGCCTAAGCTCAAAACGACTGGTCCTCCAAGCACCACTTCTGCCAACAGTACGAAGGATCGCCCGCGCAAGCCGTCGCAACAGAGTCAGGCAGACCGCTCTTATAACAACAGCAACAACACTACTTCCCGTCCGTCTGCACCCAAGACTTGGTCCACGAGCAACAACAACGCTCCTCGCTCGTCCCCAGCCCACACAGCTACGACTTGGGCTAAGGTTGCGACAGCCTAAGTGTCTTCTATAGTTGCTTCGGCTAGCTCCAACAATTACTACACGGCATGATCAAGGCGTGATGTTCAGTGTTCGGCGTTACAAACAATTTCAGTTGCGGGATCTGCTCTACGACAATCAAGAGTTGACGTTGGAGCATTGTCGGATAACTCTATGAAGTGTTTCACTTGGTCACTACATGTACTGTTCTCATCACAGCACACCATTTCACCCTTTTCCCCCTCAACAGCAGTATATATCGCGACATCTTGTACCACAACGATTTGAGTGGACCACAAGGTCGCTTTTCTTGGGAGGCAGTGTACTCCCGGCCTTTTCTTTCACTGGACTCTTAGTCCTTTCTTCTTGTCTTGGGTGTGACATCACTTTCGGGTCTGCATGTTTTTTCTCAGACCTTCGTTCATCTCCTTTTGCCATGACCGGCGTCAGGACGCGAATATGGGTATTGATAACTACGACGGGATATGACCTCGTGGATGCGGAATTGGAACGATGATAGAGGATTCGTGTACTGCTAATAATATTTTGAAAACTTCATGCTATTGTCACATATGGATCTTGTAACGATGAATCGGTTTATTGTTGCTCATGACCTGGAGCTAAGCATCTAATTGTCTGACAGGGAAGTTTACTGCCTCCAAGTTGGTATCTTCAACCTGCTTTCCGCTCGCTGCGGTGATGAGACCATCCAACCAATCCTGATGTCCCAACAACATCTTGTTCGGCTTCTTTACCTTCCACTCCTTGAACACTTGTCCAATTTGACTCTCCTGCGTCAAGATTCTCACTCTCTGTCCCTCCAGGTCCTCCACAACCCACGCATGATAGATTTCCAGCCCATCCGATGTCTTGGAGCTCCATGCCAACCTTCCAGCACGCCCATTACTCTCTGGAGGCTCCGACTCCTGGACCGTGCAAGTCAGCGGTGGGAAACCGAAAGTACTGAATTTGAAAACGTCATCTTTGTGCAGGAAGGTGCTGTCCGATGACGGAGGCGTTATCTGAGCGCAGTTCTTGTAGTAAGATTTCCATCTCGAGATGTTGGCTAACAGGGCCCAGATTTGGGTGCTGGTTAGATCTTTCGCGATGCGTTCGTTTGAGACAAAGTTGTCTGTCGTGCCAGGGAGGAATTGCTCCGGCCAGTTGATCGCTGACTGGGTCGCCATGTTGATGGATGAGTCTGTGATTGGGTATGGGCTCTTGTCTTTTTTGTAGATATGGGTGTAGAGCGGATATGCAGGTGCTTGGTCGTTCAAGTAGCAATGGATATCGTTGACGCTAACATGTGGCGCTTACACATCATCATACCTGGGAAAGACTACTCCCGGGTGGATCTACAGAATACAATAGTCTGCACTGTTACACCGTAAAGTAAAGAATGATTGGTAATCTTTTGCACCTTGCTCCAATGCTTGAGAAGGCGATGGTGGCTAAACGTTTCTTGTGGTGATCGACTTGTCGACGTCATCATGAAAGCTCGATTCCGATGTGAGTGATTACACCCTGGACAGACTAACCGGATAGTAGAGAAGTAAAGAACACCAAATACTGACAAAAGTAGAAAATATGAGATCTTCCAGAAGTGACTACTAACGATGCTGTACGTTCTTTCGGGCAAAGCATCACCCACCCGAAGCCCGGTGACGCCTCAGGGAGTATTGTTAACCAGGATCGCGTTGTTGAGATGAAAACTTGTAACAGCCACAATAAGCTCATCCTCTGGACCACTCATCTGCAATACGTTGGCCTCTATTAATTTTGAGCACATCTCATCCAATCGGCAATTCCTGCGGTTTCCATGGATCCCCGCAGGACAAAGAACAACAGCAGCCTTCCTGACGACGTATTTCTCAACAATGACATCGCCGGCAAATTTTTGGTCATCTTTTGCGCTGTACTTGTGTAAAGTTGTTAATACTGCCTGGAGGTACTTGGCTTGTCTGATCCAATCCGGCAGTCCCTCCAACATGAAATAATCCGCTTCTGCTTCTACCCGACAGTAGAGCGCATAGTCAAAGCCGTCTTTCTTATTCCAGTAGAGAGGAAATCTCGAGGGCCGGCGCATGAAGTTTAGGATATGCTCGAAGGTATCGGCATCCGCGTCGACGTAATAGGAGTCGTCGGCCTGCAAGTCTGCACAGTCTTCCCATCGTGTGAGTAGACTTTCAAAGTAAGGCGAGACTGAAAGAACGGATTTTGAAGTGCGAAATTTGCGACCGGAGACATCGAGGATGATGTGATTGTCCGCCATGACAAGAAGAAGTGGATGTAGCTTGTCTGTTGATAGAGAATTTGTAGAAGGCGGGGTATCAACTTGTGTGCAACACGACATGCACAAGATCCTGTCCTCATATTGAGTCCTCGCGTAACATTCTGTTTAGATCCACGAGTGCGCGGGCGGAGCCCAAAGCCACATTTCACATCGCGCTTTCAGTTGCAACTTACAGTCAGAGGAAATTGGCTGCTTCGGGGAGACTCCCGCTTCTTCAAAGTATCTTTAGAAGGCATTGGTCACATTGTATATAGTCAACTTAAGTAACGCCACCAGTCGCAGGCTATGCGCAATCTAAGTCTGTATCGATATCTGCACTACCTCTTAGTACACATGCACGCACTACATCCGGTTCACTTCGGTATAATCCCTAGCATTTCCACGTCCACTCATCGTCTTCTTTCCAACATTTCCTATCATATATCGATGTATGCGATCCCCAGACAAGTCTTGGAAATGTCGGTGCGTAATCGTTGCTCACAGGTTGTTGATGTGGCGGAGTGTATTGGCAATGGCACGCTGCGTCCATACACTGCGATGACTGGACTCGAGTTTCTCCCACAAGGGGTACGAACTGTGTTTCTAGGAATTGCATATCATGATCCGGTGGCTGTTGATATGGCTGAACATGGTTCCACGATACTGGCTTTGTCGGCAGCGAATAGCCCGTCTCATGATTCGGAATCCACTGGGTAAACCTCTCACACTCGCAAGCAGGGTAGCTCATGTCGTTGTCAGTCACAAAAGAAAGACCGAGCCCTGGGTTTTGATGAAGGAACTGGTCGAAAGGTTGACTCATGTGAGGGTTTGAGGGAACCGCAAGGAATTCTTCGTACGGATCATGACGATGGGTGTTTGAGCTAGGTCGGTCGACTACATAGGCTGAGAAGGTACTTTGCGACAAGGATGGCGCCATGTTGGACCGAAATTGAGTTGTATTGACCGGCCGCTCTCCGTTGATGGGGAGTAATTTCTCTATGAGACGGGCACCCCGCTCTGGAACCAAGTCCATTTTACTGCGCATTGGATCGATGTTATTTCCATCATAGCCTGGTCTCAAGGCTTCCGAAGTGCTCACAAGAGTTGCGAAGTCGACTAGAAAATCGAGGGCGTTCATATTGCTGGTTGATCAAGAAGAGATATTCGGGCGAACAGGGAAGAATGAGTGAGAGTTCAGATAGAGGACTTCCTAGCGCATCCTGACGGTGATTGTCTATACCAGTAAGTTGTCACACTCATGGTACTCGCACCAAACGGGTGTAGCATAACGTCGCCTCGTTGTACCCGTGGAGATGCAGCCTATCAGGAGTGAGCTTCGTGTCTGAAAAGCTCTCGTGATGCGATGTGATGATTCAAACGTAGTTTGATGCAAGAGGAGATGTGGCTTGCCCATGAACGTACACAAGCTGCCTTTCTTCTTGGAGGGCATTGCCCTCTAGTTCTGTCGATGCACTTGTGACAAGAATGCTACCATTGCACAACAGCTTCACAGAGCCATTAGCAGAGCTATAGGATAGCCTTGACTTGATCGAAAAGGCGAGGTCCTTGTTTGCTTGAGCGTAGCTCGTTACGAGATGCTGGGCGTGTTCCATTAGCGAGCGGTGCCCTACTTTTGCACAACGGCGCCGGTTCGCGTCGTCTCTAACCAACAAATGTATGGGTTAGTGTGGTAAGACTGCCTGTCTTATGTTCAAAGAGCGGAATCCGAGATGCGATGCGGCTCGATCGTGACAAATGCATGCGCTGGGGTCAGGAAGCAGCTGGCAGGTTGTCTCTCAAGAGACTGCCAATGCGTTATTAATGCGTTTTTCATTTGAGAAATGACGGCAAACGTTGGCGTGCAGTCAGTATGTAGATGCAAGGCGCGGTGTTGTCTGTGGGAGACTTGGGTCATCGCCGTCGACTGTGCCGGGCGTGAGCCTGTCGCTAGCGCGGGGACTTGTTAACGATCAACCTTGGAACCCACTCATTCATCCACATCGAGTAATGCGCGTAGCGCGACGCGTTCAATGTGTCGCTTCGAGCTCTTGAGCTTGCTTATTGTGTTTTTCGAGCGACTGGCGGCACGGAAGAAGCAGTTCCGCGCATCCAGCGATCTATCAGCGCCACGACCATGCTCCACGAAATCCTCCTCTCGCTCTCCGGGCACCCGTCTGCGCTCTTCGATGCCCCGGACCACGTGACAGCAACCGCACATCGTCTACTCTCTCCGCCCGAAGCAGAGTTGCTGTCTTCCATCGGCCATCTGTCGCGTCTGCATCGAAGTACACGCGATCATGTCGCCAGAATTGCCGCGTCTCACCCTTCAGTCATCTGTAGGGCAGTTGCTACTTCGATTACTTCTTACCACCTCGAACGGTTCCAACGCAAAGTGCTGGAAGTCGAGAGTCGTATTCTGAAACAAGATGCTTCTATCGTGGGCGCGTACAACATCGTACCTTTAGCTGGGGTCGTGAGTGAGTTCTCCGAATGGACTAGAGTCATGGAATGGCTGCGGGACATCAGCAACTACATGTTACCATCGGATGTTCCTGCAAAGTTCGAGAAGATGATCGGACAGGCTGCCTCTGGAGCTGCTGTCATCGATAAGCTGCGGAGTGAAGCCCAAACAGGCTACCCGGATATCGAAGAGGCCGCTCGAGGTTTGAGCAAGGTTGCAGAGACATCGTGGCTGCGACAGCTATCCACCTGGTTGCTATATGGCCGACTCCCATCGTTTGGCCGCTCGGACTTCTTTATTCAGCAAGACGACGAAGACGCGGACGAGCAAACTTTTGTTCTACAGAACAAGCTACTACCCAAATTTGTCACAAGGCAGACGGCTCTTTCTATTCTCTTTGTTGGTAAATCGCTCAACCAGATTCGCTCGTTGCCGTCGGCTGTGAAGGTGTTGGACGCATCGAACTCAGTTTCAGAGCTTGATCTGTTGCCCAAGCATGTTCAACAACTCTCTCGAGTGAGCGCACCAGTATCAACAGCCATGCTTTCCGAGGCAATTGCGAACATCCGTCTCTCACTATCTCGAAACCTTCTGCAGCATCTTTTACCGCGCGAGAGAATTGTCGAGACACTGACGGTGCTACATCAGTTCTTTCTGATCGGAAGAGGAGAGTTTGCCTTGACACTGATCGCAGAGGCAGATGGCAAGATCTCGTCCCGGCACAAAGGCTCACAAATCAACAAGCCTGGCCAATCCGTCAGGGGCGTCATCATCAAAGAAGCGGAGATCAATCAGGTCCTCGCACGTTCGTTCTCTATTCTCTCAACCCTATCTAGCGAAGACGAACACACGGACGACATTCTGGATGTCGCAACTCAACTCTTACATCTCAGCACCAGCAACACGTCTAACAACCGTCCGGGGACACCAGGGCGCGCCAAGGATGCGGACTCGATGCTTCCACAGCTTGCCAACATGTCCTTTGACGACCTACTGCTATCAGTACCAACGTCTTTGACGATGGACATACGCTCACCTCTTGACCTGTTCATAACGAAGGCAGATCTTGATGTTTATTCATCCATCAATGCTTCCCTACTTGCTGTCCGAAGAGCCCATCTACATCTAGCTGAGCTTTGGCGATACAGCTCGATACGAAGGGATCATCCTTGCCCGCCCGGGTATCAATACAGCAACTCCCCGCACGGTAAAGCAATGCTCAAGCGACGTCGACAACGCACTACGAAGCGAGCACAGGACATGCGGAAGATCTGGGCGACCTGCGCAGCCGCTATCTTTTTCTTTGCAGAGAGCGAAGCTTACTTTCACGGAGCAGTCATACAGCAAACCTTTAGCCATTTTATCGCATGGGTCACTGTTCCCCAAGGATCTTCGTCAACGGAAACAGTAACAGCAGCCTTCGACCGTACAAACACAATTAGCTTCCGCGAGTCCGTGACAGAAGGGGATCTACAGAAGCAGCATGATCCAGAAGCGCTAGCTTCAGCACATCGCCGCTTTCTGTCTTCGGTCGCATACTCTCTTCTCCTTACTGACCAGCCATTCACAAAGGCGCTGCGTACACTATGCACCCACGTCGACGAGCTAGTGGCATACATCACACGTCTCACAAAGATACAGCAAAATCTGGATCTCGAAGAAGATGAAGGCATAGAAGATTACTCGCAGAATTACAAGAAAGAAGAGAGTGAGGTCAGTCTGGAGATGGATCGTGCGAGGAGAAGGCTGGACAGCGATCTTAAAGCACTTGTAGAGCGGCTGCGTGAGATTGACAGTGAGAGGATCGGAGCTTCTGCGCCAGGTACAGAAACTGGAGCGGCGATGGAGGAAGGAGCCTACGAACCGTTGAGAGTAGGTGGTATTGATCGTCTTCTGATGAAGCTGGACTGGAGCGGCGAAGACGAAGAAGAAGAGCATGAGGACTTGATATGATGTTTTACACACGAGTCCTCTCCTGCTGTTAGGATATCCAAGGCTAAATTTCCGTGGTCTTGGCTCGCTTTTGGTGTTTTTTTATACCTACATGATGGTAGAGGAAGTTGCACCTCACGTTCTGTTGCGATGCAGCAGTACAGAGCGGACCTTCTCCAGACTTCTACCAGCCTACTTCCACCGCCCCATCATCACGTTAATTCACCACACCAATTTACTGCCTTATCAGTATTACTCTGTCGCATCAATACTTCGTGAGTTCTCATGATGAAGCTCGCAGTCCTACTGCTGACAGGACCAGACCTCTCGCTCGAACCGCAAGTTCCTTCGAACTCACCATCATATAGTACATAACCCGACGTGCTCGCTCTGCCAGTATGAGGGATTCGATAAAATGCTTTCTTCATGACGAGGTCCCGGATACAATGGAATCATGTACTGTGGACGATAATCAAATCCAGTCGTCCCATCCTTCCACGTGGAGGTCTAGAATCCGAGCTGCCACTGATAGCTTCGCCTATCCACTGCCTCCTTCGAGGACGTCAACCGAAACGCCACGTAGGCGACGGTACTACATCTGTTCTGAAATAGATTCCGGAGTTTACATGCCGTCGGGTCCATTCGACAGAGTTTCAGGTCATCCTACATCACATCATCGACCCGAGGCACCATCAAACCCTGCATCCAATCTTCCGACGTCACATTATCGTCCCCAGGGACTATCGACCCTTACTTTCAATCATTCCCAGATACCATCGAACCCTTTCGAGGATCCCCAATATGTGATCGGCGTAACCGTACCGAAGAGACGGCCAATGCGCGAATGGCAGGATGTCCTGGAAGATCAGCGCTCTGATGCGTCTGCGGGTGCAGTGAAGCTGAGATATGGCAAGGTCTACCTCAGACGCCAACGAAGTCGCGTCCAGGCTGTGTTCACAAGCGCCAAGAAGACTGGCTGCGAAAGTCAGCAGCGAGCTGCATCAACTTTGCTCAAAGGGCAAGGTACACACCTTGGGCGTGACACTATGCGAGGACTACAATGTCCAGACTGTCGGCGGGAGATGAAGGCCAGGTCGCTTGCGAGGTGATCTGTGAGCTGTGAGCTGGCTTGACGCCAGTGGTTTCTCGTGTACTACAGTTGCAAAGCTTGCGTTCGTTCGTACTCGTCCAGTAATCAAGACTTCTTCTAAGCAGCTAGCGATATCCTGATGCGTCTGACTGCGGGTGATGATTGGCAAGATCTCGGTATTTCTCCATTTGATAAGCACGGTTGTTCGCTTGGAGAAGACACCCCTTCGTATTGTATAACATACGACGATTAGTACGAATAGATCCGCTATTGCATCGCCACACTGAACTAGTGCTATCGAGAGACGAATGTTTGTTCGACCGAATCGAGGCTAAAGTGGCAGCAAGAGAGGGCAAAGAAACAAGCTGCGCGCTGCAAAAAAAAGTTTTATCGTATTGGAACAAAAAAGGTCGTGCCCGGGTTCGAACCGGGGTTACCAGAAGGTTGATAGAAGTCAAAATCTGGAGTGATAACCACTACCTGTATTGGCGGTTAGACAGACTTCATGTTAGAACGAGTTGGGTCAACGTACACTACACAACCATGTTGTTCTGTTTGATGCCTTTTGATTCTCTTGTCACGCATATATTGCCGTTTGTGTGTGTCCATGCGGACAGGTCGCGCTTTTTTAGTTCAGTGGTTTCAACCTCGGGCGCAACTGGGTGGCGTGTGGGGCCGCTGAGGTTTACGAAGCGGGGCTTAGGCAGACACACGTCAATTCGTAGTCCAGCCATCGCGCACGCTTTGGACCTGAACACTGTCAAAGCTCACTTCTGCCCTGCTCATAATCCTCTGCGAACGTCAACTACCCCGCATGCTGCAATGTAGGGTCGACATATTGTGAAGACTCCGCGACGCTGTTGTACAGCGAGCCCTGAGGCAGTTTCAAATTCATCGCGACGCTCCCTCACCAGACTTACAAACTTGAGCCTCTAGACCAGGATGACGTCGCGAAAATCTGTCTTGATTGCTCGGGTACAACACAACCTTACCGACTGGTCTCCATCAAGGAGAGCAAGCGATCATGCAGGCCGCGGACAGCTAGCAAAACAAGATTCAGCCTCAAATGCACGCAGGGGCCGCCCTAAATGATAAGAACGGACGGGTATCGTATCCTAAACTGAGTGCCAAGACGTACGTCAGACAATGGTAATTTGTAGCAAGCATCGTGCCTGCGACACATTATGTTAAGTAACAAGGAAGAGCCATGTACCTTCAGGCATATTTACGCGACCTTCGATATTCGCTATACAAGCCGATTGCACGATGACCATCCATATTGATACCTTCTCCGCCAAGGCCACCTTCGATTTTAAGGACAATGAATTGGCTACCAGCGGGCTGGAGTGTGCAGAAGTTGTCGATAAAGATGATGGTGATGGGAGGTTCCGCGGCCAATCGAACCCGATTCTCAAGAAAACTTTGGTAGATGTACACCACAATCTCAGTACGTTGAAGAATGTCAGTTGGCTCCCTGGAGTTGGCGATATATACAACGGTACGCCAGGAGGAGGCGGCGGCGGCGAGGGCATTGCCATTTCCCATCCATACGAGAGTAGGCACTGCCTTTCCCCATGGCCCTCTTCCAGCTTAACACGGAGAGGAACTCCAATGCTAGACAAAGGCCGTCAGCCTGAAGGTGCAAAAGACACTCGACGTAGTGCACTCCGACGGCACTGCGATTTCTGGGATGCCGACCAAGATGGAGTGATCTACCCTTGGGACATATTCATAGGATTCCGCAAACTCGGTTTCAACATCGCCCTATGCCTATGGGCAGCGGTCACCATGGCTGCATGCTCGTCGTACAGCACACAGAAATCCTTTCTCCCACATCCTTTGTTCGCCATTTATCTCGATAATGTCAATCGCAATCGGCATGGAAGTACTACTGGCGCGTACGACTTGGACGCTGAACTGGACACACGGCGTTTCGATGCAATCTTCGAAAAGTACGCCAAAGGCAAGGACTACCTAACATGGCGAACTATGTACGGTGTGTGGGTAAGTTGCTGTTGTAAAAACTTCATGCGAGACATACACTGACTTCGTACCCCCCTCCTACAGGCAGGTCAATGTTGCGCAAACGATTTCTTTGGATGGTTTGCTGGAGGCTTAGAATGTGGGTCATAGCGCACGACCCCAACAAATTATTCTGCAATCATTAACGCTCGATAGGGATAGCAATGTACATCCTGCTTTGGCCCCAAGATGGTCGAATGCACAGAGACGACATCCGAGGAGTATACGATGGTTCCATCTTCTGGAAAATTGCCGAAGCTCGCGCTCAAAAGTTGCAAACATGAGACTCTAAGCAGTGGAGAAGACCTTGTTTAGCTAACTGTAACATAGTAATCATAAAAATAGAATTACCTTGTACAAAGGACAGAGCGAACTATTACAGCGACAATAAGTGTTTCATTGCAGGCTGCATTAGCTGGTTGAGAGGAAGCCTTTGAGGAGCATCAATCACTCGCAAGAAGTGAATCTAGCCACTAATTGCGTTGATGAAGGGGTATGGCTTACAACGCTTCATGTGCACAGGACGGGATGTTAAAACTACTGTTACCACGTGGGTTGCAGTAGAATTAATATTGGAACGTCTACGATTGGCTTCACTGCGAGGACACACAACCCATGGAAATCTATGAGACCGAGATCTGTGTGGAAGGACTACGATAGGCTTGCGACGTGACGAACTTAGACATTTGGACGCAAGCTCTTCTCAGCACCACTTCCACTCTTAGTTCAATAAAGAGCATACGATACGAAGCACTGCCATCAAGTCAACTGCCCTCGACAGAGGATACAATTTTGGCAGATGCAGCTACGAGGACGGCAAACAAAACCCAAGCTCTGGCGCTTACTATTGACGAGACGAGTCAGCAGAACCATCATGAGCGGAAGGTTGAGCGGAAGTAGAGTAATATCTTCTCTAGGATACTTGGACCATTAGGTAACTAAAAAGATTGAACTGCATAGTTCTGAGATTGAAGACGAAGTAATATGTGAAACATTGTCACCTTCATAATGTAATAGGGCTTAATTTAGAGATGGTCGGAATGGTAATTCTTAGAACCTTGGCAAGAAGTCATGCGAGGTTCGCTCATTAAGTTCATATCATGTTTCAAATCTTGACTTTGCTAATTTGTGTACTCTTTTGTTTTTACATCTAGATTTCGTGTCCGCAAGTTGATAGGTGCATCTCTCCCTCCGCAGGCAGCGTCCATCTGGGCTCAACGCCGATGATACCGCGCTCAGTAATCATGCTTGCGTTAACTGGGCTCTTGGGGATGATTTCCTCACCCCTGGTAGCCAAGATCGAGAGTACGTGCGCAGCAGCCTTAGCGTTGATGGTCAACGTCTCTGGGTTGGGGTTGTCAATGGTGTCGCAAGCCTGGTGGTAGCAAGGGTCCTGCTCGACACCTGTTCCGGTGTGAAGACCACCAACAGGTTTGCCGATGTTCATAAAGGATTGGTAGTCACTTCCACCAGTGAAGCGTGCTGCTGTGACATTTACGCCTTCCTTCTCGAAATGCTCAACAAAAAGCTTCTCAATGGCAGCTGATCCTGGGGCACCGGTGAGGTTGAACGTGCTGCCGTCACCATCGAACACACCAAAGTAGCCGCGGGAGACCATGTCAAAGTTGAGGTATGTGAGGATGTTGTTGGCCTCTGTGGCGTTCAGATTCTGTGTGTAGTACTTGGATCCAAGTAGACCGTTTTCTTCAGCACCCCACCATGCGAAGCGTACTTTGTTCTTGACACCGAATCTCCTCAGTGCCTTGGCGATCTCGAGGATCAGCGTGCTGCCTGAGCCGTCGTCGTTGATACCAGCACCAGCCTGAACACTGTCGAGATGTGCGCCAAGCATGATGACGTTGGTTGGGTCGCCATCTTTGGTCTCGGTGAAGACGTTCTGCGTAATGCGCGTTTCTACGGTTTGGGTTTGCTGGAAGTACGCCTCAATGGTCTCGCCAGCCTTAAGGCGAGCAACCAGGGGTTCCGCATCGGCGAGGTTGATATAGCCAGTGGAGACGTATTCAGGGTTGGGGTTGGATAATGTACCGCCAGTAACATTTGCTGTGTCGCTTGCGTAGATGATTACGGCAGAAGCGCCGGCGGCAGCGGCAGGCTTCATGCGCCCAGCAAGGGTTGTGCCATCGGGGCATGCTCCTCGCTGTACCAAGACGATCTTGCCTTCGACATCCAAGCTGTCGTAGGCTTCGTTTGTGCAACCTTCAGCTCCTGAAGGACCCAGGACAAGCGGCAGCGTCAAACCTTCCGGAGTGGTGGATGGCGAGTATGAAAGTCCAATAACGCGGTAGGAACTGTTGCTCACGCTGAACTCGATAGAATCAACTCTGTTGAAAAGAGCAGGAAAGTCCTGAGTCCATGTCTTGAAATGTGTGTTCTGGGTTTTGGCGAGCATGTAGTCAACAGATGCAGCATAACCTGGGAGACCGAAAGCACGATTGCCTCCATTTGCTTTTGCGATGGAGTCAAAGGCCTTGAGGTTGCTCATCAACCTGAGATGGTCAGTTTTGTCAAATTTTGTGACTTGGAGATCTTACTTCTCAGTTTTGATCTCAGCCTGGATGGGGCCAGATGACACTAAAGGCCGGGGTCGCACAGCAGCAAATGCTTGGGCAGCGCCCGCGAGAACGATAGCACTTGAAACCTTCATCTTGGAGTTTCGATTGACCAGCTCCAGTAGCAATTATGAAAAGTATGCAAGTAATATCTTGAGGTGGTAGCCGAGCTCATATACACATGTTCCCCGCCACTTGCTGTTCCGGCCTCCTGGGCATATGCAGCTCATTTGTGCGCGCGACACCGTTCCTGGCCCACTCTTATCATGGCCTTGCAGGTACTGTGTCCGGAAAAGAAGGTAACAAGAGAGTAGATCGTTCTTTGCCAAGTTGCCAAGGGGCGGACATTGATACCTTCCCTAAGGGCGATAGACTGGCTTGGCGTGAAGGTTAATATCGCCACGGATGTTGTGTCTTCTACCCGAAAGTGACGAGAACAGTCGAGATGCTCAACATGTTCTTAGACAGCTGGTTAAAGAGACGCAAGCTTTGCCAGTGAATATGGTCTGCTCCATGGCTCTTGCGTAGTGTTGGTATTTGGGCTCGTTCAAGTGTCGATCCAAGAAGAAACTGAATACGAATTTAGGATCCGAGGTATTGCATAATGATGCAGGTGTAGTACCCTCGGTTCAACCTGGTACAGTTCTACCAGATCTTGCCTTGACGACGGGTGTAGGGAATCCTGACCATGAGTGTAGCGAGACCAACATATATAGCTCGCAAAGGGAGCGAGTACCTGAATGTCAGAGTCCATCCCTGGGCGCGTCCAGTTCTTCCTGAACACAATATGTATAGGGAAGCACACTTAGTACAAGACCAGTATCGAAGAAGAGTGAATGTGTAAGCATTAAGATTATGAGATGAAGCTTTATATCAACGAGAACAAGGATTCAACTATTACCTTTGGCCATGCAATAATGGCGCCCTCTCGCTGTCTCCAGCAGTATCACTCCCATTAGCATCGTCGAGTTGCTGGCTTTTCTGGGCCTTTCTGTCTCTCAAGACAAAAGAGAGGCCCATGACTAGCAAGAAGCCTTGCAGGATACCCGTAAAGATGAACAGGCCCCATGCACTCCAGCCCCCAGGTCCCAGCCTCGCATAAAGACTGGCTGCAAAGACGAAGCTCCCCGGTGTTTGTATGCACATCATGGGAATAGACAAGCTGCCAGTTTCTTGCAGTCTCCATGTCATGAAGATCTGAGGGATGTACTGTATTGCAGCGAGGACCGTGGCAAGCAAGCCGAGGAAGTTGGCCCATCCGCGAACGTGTGAAGGAAGCGCGTATACGAAGACGACGGAGCCGATGAATGCAACGACGAAGAAGGCGAGCGACACACCCAGAACGAGCACTGCTTCTTTCCATGTGGGCATGTCTGTATCCTGTCCTTCTTCTACGTCTGGTGAGGAGCCTCGAGGGAAGAAGATGAGAAAGAGTAGCATACTGCTGGTTGTTAGAATCTGTAGTGCGCTCAACGGTTGATCGGGACCTACATGAAGAAGAAACAACTCCACTGCACACCGATTTGCACTATGCCGAGCATAGCGGCTGCGCATGGGAAGCTACCAATTTCTTTGCAGCATCCCATGTCCCTTGTGCTCTCCGGTAGAGTCAAGATGTTGGCGATGCTGGCCGTCCCAGACACAGTGCCCAGCAGGACAAACATGGGGCTGAGACCACGCGATGAGCGACGTGCTATGATCTTATAGTGTTGTGGAAGGTACGATACGAGGATACCGACGACTATGAAGCTAAGTCACGGGGCGGTTAGTTGTGTTTACTATGCGGCGCACCAGGTGAGCTTACACAGATACGCCGAAGTTGACCAAGTCGGGATACGCAAGTTCGGTACATCTTGGGTCGTCGGGATACATATTGACAGGACAGAATATTATGGAGGAGGGATGGCCGTTGCTACATTTGCTATGGTTAGAAGACAGAGGTGACGGTCGCCGCCTGGGGATGCAAGCATGTGACGTAGGAAGGAGCTCGCTCGCACGCGTCGAGTGAACGCGGAGGAGGCGGCTAGCCCCGAGCGCTCCTGCCTCGGCTGCGCGTACCTGCCGCATCAACCATGGCCGACAGATGATGCTACAACAATCATCAACCCCATGATCCCCCGGATTCCCCGTCCTTTCCACAGGCCGACATGGAGTTCCTCCCAGCACTCCAGCATGGCATAGACGACCTCAAGCCCTCGCTCTTCGAACTCCTTTCCGAGCAGCAACTCGCATCGCTCCTGCCCCCATCGCTGCGCTACCTCCTCGCCATCACAACACCCCGATATCCGCGATACCTACTTCCCATACTCAATTCCTTCGATGAGGTCTACGCGCTGCTTATGCTGCTCGTCGAACGCCACTTCCTGCGCACATACGGCGGATCCTTTACCGAGAACTTCTACGGTCTCAAGCGCGCTCGGGTGCTGAGAGTGCGAGGAGGCGAGATACCGCGAGCACAACTAGGTGCATCTGACAGCGTGCGCGAGGCTGTCAAGCTGGGCAATGGCGATATCTGGAAGAATCTTGCCGTGCTCGTTGGCCTGCCGTGGCTGAAGAGGAAGTTCGACGAGGGCTACGACGTTCACGCTGCGCATGCGAACCTCCTGGGCCCTGGCTACAACCGGGATAGAGAAGGATTACAGGTCGGAGCGACTGTCAAGGAGCGACTGATGCACTACTACAAGTGGTTTCTACGGAACATATACCCCAGTGTGAATGCCGCCTACTACTTCTCCTTGCTGGCATTCAACATGGCATACCTCTTTGATGGCACAAAGTATCACTCGCCCTTCATGTGGTTGATCGGTTCACGGATACGGAGATTGGGCGAGGCAGACCACAGGGCGATTGAGATTGCAACCGCACCAAGAAAGGTTGGGCCTGCGCGGCCTGGAGAGGGCGGATCCATCTTCTCACCAAGAAACATTGCGAGGAGCATCGAGCCGCGGTTGTTGAGCTCGCTAAAGATACTTCTCCCGACCAGTATCTTTGCGCTCAAGTTTCTAGAGTGGTGGCATGCTTCAGACTTTGCCCGACAGCTATCGAGGAAAGCCGCTGAGAACATCGATCTCCCACCACCGATACTACCATCCCTTCCACCTTCTGCAAAGCAGCAATCGTCGAAGCAGGCAGAATCCTCCGAGAAGGCGCGTCCAGCATCGTCTTTGTCAGACAAACCCCAACGAATCGACCCTCCGATATCCTCAACCACCCTCCTCCCCATCCTCACCGTACCTACACCACCCTCATCAGCCTTGTGTCCGATCTGTGTTACACCCATCATAACTCCAACAGCCTCACCCACAGGATTCGTCTACTGCTACACTTGCATACACCGATGGGTTGGAGGTGAGCATGACCGCCAGCTCGCCTTCATGGAGGGTGCCGCAGGATTCCGAACGGGAGACGACGGGGAAGCAGAAGACGAGGGCTGGGGCAGGGAAGAAGGAAGCCGTGAAGGAAGATGGGAGAGCGGTAGAGGACGGGATGCTGTGACTGGAAGGAGAATCCTGGGAGGTACTGAGGGTTTGAGGAGAGTGGTTGTCTAATGTTCTTTTTGTACAATGATCATACCCTTTTAGCGAAATGATTTCCAATACTAGCAATGACACAATGCTTCTGGACCTCCAGAACCTCTGTTGTCGATCAATTCTGTTGTTAGGATCAAGAACTACATCTGATCGAGGTTGGGACTGGCATTTGGAAATGATGATTATCTGCCCTTCGGTGTGTTTACGTCCATGAAAGACTTTCTAGCTTTGGTATTGAGGTTGGCCCTTGAATGCTATGGTACTTGATGGCGCGTTCAAAATTGTACATCGGCCTTGTACGACCCATGGATCCGGTCGCAGCCTCATACGCTTGTGCATCAGTGCTGAATGATAAGATCAGCATGAGCCGATGATATCCTAACAACACCAATCGGCCCTGATCCTGCAGCACCACCAAAGGAATATAATCGTGCAGGTTGGAGTCACGACATGCGCCTTTTACTGCACTTGTCATGTGTCAAGCTATCTCGGCAAGGCGAAAGGGCGGAAGCTAATGTGCAAGTCGCTTTTTTCGCTTGTAGCTGCCGCATTAGACCATGCCGAAATCTGTCAGCCAATGCGATAGTCATAATGAGTGTTCATATCAGTCATTCCCCACTCTTTGACATTTTGGTAGTCCTGCCTTCTACACTTCTTCCTCTTCTTCCAACCACCATCCATATGCCATTGAGTGGCACATTAACTCAAGGTCGGATTTGAAAGCCATGGCCCCACCAATGATACCACCGGAACAGCCGGTCAATGACTTTGCAAACGATGTCGCATCACAGATGGAGGGCTTTACCCAGTCGCAAGATATAGCAGAAGAAGCCATTGCACGGGATCGTGAAGAAGACAACTCGGCGTCCGAAGATGATAACGATTCTTCCTCGGGTTCGGATACAGTCAGGCAATATTCCATGATAAACTCTTATCGCCGGCCTTCCTACGTTAACCCAGGATCACGCGGTACAGCTATAATGTCTACCAGCGTACCTGAAAGGAGTCACCTACCAACGTCATGGAAGAAACACAGTCATTTGTCGAAGAAAGAGAGGGAGACCGTGCGAGACGAGGAGCGGAGCCTGCTCCGCGATAATCATTTGATTCCACCCAAGCATCCAAGAGCTGGAAGCGAAGGACCCTTTGACCGAGTACGATCTAGGATGTCTATTTCGGGGCTACGAAAGGTCAAGAGCACTCCGGACGAGGAGAGCGCAGTGGAGTCACCTTCTGAGCGCACGACGCTACTCGGAGTGTCAGAAGGCGATCCAAGCCAACCATATGGGGGCCTAGACTCACCAAAAACGATCAACAAGAAATGGAACGAGGCGGTTGCAGCGGGAAAGATCAACACAAGTTGGCAGCGGGAAGCAAAAGTTTTGACGAAGAGCTCCGCACCGCTCATCCTGACCTTCTTGCTACAATACAGCTTGCCAGTGGCGAGTATCTTCACAGTCGGGCATATCGGCAAAACTGAACTAGGAGCCGTGAGTCTGGCCAGTATGACTGCGTCCATAACGGGCTATGCAGTGTATCAGGGCCTGGCTACTTCACTCGACACGTTGTGTGCGCAAGCATACGGCTCTGGGCGTCCTCACCTTGTCGGTCTGCAACTGCAACGCATGTTGTACTTTCTGCTTTTGATTACCATCCCGATATCACTCATATGGGCTTTCGGCACACAGATTCTCTCGCTTATCGTTCCAGAGAAAGAGACCGCACGCTTAGCCGGACTGTACCTGAAGGTTCTTATTGCTGGAGCACCTGGGTATGCAGCTTTTGAATCTGGGAAACGCTACGTACAGGCGCAAGGTATCTTCAGCGCGACCATGTACATTCTACTTATCTGCGCTCCACTCAACGCTTTCTTGAATTGGTTCATGGTCTGGCATCTCGGCTGGGGGTTCATCGGAGCACCCATTGCTGTCTCGATCACGGAGAACGTCCTTCCTCTGCTGCTCTTTCTCTACGTCAGATTCATTGACGGATACCAATGCTGGGGCGGTTTCGACAGAAGAGCGCTAAGAAATTGGATGCCCATGGTGAAGCTTGCGCTTCCTGGTCTGGTCATGGTGCTTGCAGAATTTCTAGCTTTTGAAATCCTGACACTAAGCTCGTCATGGCTTGGTCCAACTGAACTTGCAGCGCAGTCTGTACTCGGATCCATTACCGGTATTACTTTCCAGATACCCTTCCCAATGAGCGTAGCAGCCTCCACACGCATCGCCAACCTCATTGGAGCTACACTAGCAGTTCCAGCGAAAACAGCAGCTAAAGTCGCTGTCTGTGCCTCAATCGTCGTCGGCATCTTCAACCTCCTACTCCTTTCACTTCTTCGTGAGGCTATACCTCGCCTCTTCACACCCGACGAAGAAGTCATTGACATGGTGGCAAAGCTTCTCCCATTGTGCGCCACCTTCCAGGTCTTTGATGCTCTAGCGGCCAACTGTAACGGCATCTTGCGTGGCTTGGGTAGGCAGGAAATTGGCGGCTATGTTGGACTTTTTGCCTACTATGTCGTTGGTATTCCAATCAGCTTCGGTACTGGATTCGGGTCGCCGCATTGGGGTCTGTATGGACTTTGGAGTGTGAGTCTCACTAGTCATACCACCATCGGACTACACTAACGTATTTTAGGGACCAGCGATTGCACTTGGTATCGTGGCTGCCATCGAAGGCGTTTTCATATGGCGGACCAGTTGGGACAAAGCAGTAGAGGATGCCAAGGTGCGAAATGCCGCAAACTAAGTTTGGTTACTACAGATATATTCGTATCGCTGCATAATATTAGTTGTCACAGCTAGACGGATCCTCGATCACCACAAAACGCAGAGACACATTCTGGAAACTCGTGTAGTCTTGCGTTACATACTTTTAAGTAATACATTGATGTGAAATGAATGGTGGTAGGCTTCGGAGAAGCTTCATACTGGACACGAATGAGTGGCCGAGTTATACTTGCTCGCTATAACAGCGTTCGTTTTCGGTAACGACTGCCTTTGCCTCATAAAGTATGCCTGAAAGACCTGATTCTCTTCTTATCTTCACTCTCAGTCAAGAAGCTTTTGGGCCCACGCCGCGCTCTCATACCAAGCGCGAATCCTCTTGCCAAACACATAGAGAGGAAGTGCAGCACCAGTAACAATGGCGGCTGCCGATGCCAGCGTTCCAAAGACGGCCATAGGCCCATCGAATTCGAGCCAACCAATCATCGGAGTCAGTCCTACCGTGACAGCGCCTGCTGAGATCATGTTGATGGAAGAAAAGGCCTGGGCGGAGTGCTCAGGGTGACAGTCGATGACATACGCGATGGCAATTTGTACTCCAGCGACACTACCCATGTTGGTGACTGTCATCCAAACAAGAATCCAAACTAGAGGCAAACTGTTTTGGAACGACGCGCCCACACCGATGAGGCCCGCCATAGTGATTGGGGTAGAAACCAGGAGAAGTACGAGACGGAATTCGGGTTCGACCATGCCTTTGCTTGTTCCGTTGTGGCGCGCCATCAGATTCACTGAAGCATCAGACATCCAACCAAAGAATGGCCCAGACAGTAGGCCAGCTACAAAGAGGGGTAAGTTGGTCAGTCCGATCTGACTGGGTGTTAGATCGTATGGGGGAGAGGATAAGAGGATTGACATGAAGGTTGACATGCCAGCAAGGAATAGGAAGACCGTAGTGTTCAGGAAGCAGCTGTAGAAGACAATCGGCGAAGTGATGAGGCCTAGGGGCTTGATTATCCCTTTGAAGAACGACTTCTCTGATAGTCTGCCACGGGACAAGACTAGCCTCTCATTGTATGTTTGCCTAGGAGGTCGAACAGAAGACTTGAGATCTTCCTCGTCATATTCGGCGCTTAGCTTGTCCGCCTGAACATGAATTGTTGTGACATCGTCTGTTTTCCGTTTGAAGTAGGCCGACTCGAAGATTGTGAGGTAGAATACCGGGATCAGAGCAGCGTATATGAAGGCAGTGATGAGGAAATTTGCCGATACGCCGAATGCGTCAGTAACGAAGCCAGCAATGATTTGACTGAGAAGGATATTATGTTAGTTGCTGGTACGATTACAGGATATTGTTGTGGCTCACCCAACTTGCGCCCCAGAGTTCAACATCAGATTCCACACAGCAATAGACCGACCTCGCTGGTGAACGAAGAATACATCGCTGATGGTCGCGGTAAGGAGTGTAAATAGGGGTGCCGAAAAGAGACCCCCAGCTGTTCGAGCAATAGCCAGCATAGGAAATGTTGACGAAAGATAAGCAGCAAAGTTGGTTAGAGCAAGTAGAACGACGCTCCATACGTAGAATGGTCTTCGCCCCCAGACATCCGTTCCCGCCACCGCAACAAAGGCTGCAGCTGAGGTCCAGAAAGTCGGTGCTGTAAGGATCCAAGTAGATATGTCGCTCTCATTGCTCTGAAACTGCTCAGTAAGAGGCTCCAACCCTGGAGTGAGCATGGTAGTGGTTCTATGACAGATGAGCATAAGTCCTGATTAGATCAAGTAATTCGGCGAGATCTTACGCATTGGTGACTGCAGAGCCGAAAGCAAGGATGAGGAGATGGAGGCATTTCCACTTCAAACTCCAGTTGAGAGGATCGTTCGGGTCATCACTGGGCTGCGGGGAGAGTACGATACCGCCACTTCTCTTAGAGTTATCGAGCTCGGGTACTTTATCGTCGCTTGTGTCCTTGACTCCTAATCTGGAAGTGCCTCGAGGGAATGCTGACCGTCTACTCTCTAGTACACCCCACCCCATCGTTAGCAGCTTGGATGTCGGAATGAAGTCGATACGAAAAGGACGGCCTGCGTCTCTTGAATACAGAGATTATCTTAGTCAAGTGTGAAATAAAGTGATTGAATGAGGAAAAGCCGTCCAGCGGTTTGCCAAAACCAGTAGGCAACGAAGCGAAAAAATGTAATTGTAGAGGTAGACGAAAGAAAAGTCGAGAGCCAGTCTGCAGAGCAAGTGCAACTCGTAAACCACGATGATATACTTCCTGATCCACAAAGCTGTCGTACGCTGCCCAGCCGGGCGTTTTTGTCAATCTGCAAACACGTTACGCATCTGACAGGTTGGAGTAGGCATAACTCGGTCATTCATGGTGCTGTGACATGTCGCAGACTAGTCTCGCAGACACTTCGAGAAGAACATGTGTGAACCCTACTTCAGTTTGTTCCACAAATAGAAATAATCTGGAGCCTTATACGTGCACCTGGCGTGTTGACTTACGTGGAAACGGTTAAAGGTGTTTCGAGTGAGCCTCAGTGAGCCTCAGTAAGGAGATGCTGAACGAAGTGCCGAAAGTCCGCAAGCGCCGCGCGCTAGAAGGCCGAAAGTGCGGGGAGACACGCCACGCCGTACACGCCACAGTTCACCCAACGCTTAACCTTGGCTGTCGCAATTCAGCGTGTCAAGTTTCGAGCCGTCGAAAGCCCGAATAATCATTGTTCCCCTAGATCCAACTAACGAAAACTCAAGTACATGTACGCTACTAAGATACATGGCAGATGACGATGCCACCAGTTGTCTACGTCGCCGGAGCCAGTTGAAGCCCCGAACTCACTTCTATGAAAAGGACACGAGTAAGCAATGAGCTATGATGTGGAAGCTAATGTTAATACAAGGCTCAGAATGCGGGGTCAGGCCGAGATCTGTTCCCCGAAGCTTCAAGTCTCAACCTCACAACCGTCACCTAGATCAAATGTCCTGTCCCGCTCGTCTGTACCCTTTGCGCAAACCTCAGAATCACCGTGTGCCTATCCCTAGATGGAAACTCAGCCTGCCAGACCATATCGAACATGTCTTTATATCCTATGTTGGTGTCGAGCAACATGAGGATAGTGATATAGCTACTCAAGCGAGAGAAGAAGCTGTTTCTATTATTCAGCACTGGTTCGAGCAGAGTGCCGCTCCAGAGGCGGTGGAGTATTTCACTACGATAGATAATTACAGTCGTACTGGTGCTACCGTATGGGTCTACTATTGGAGTGATCGAAGGCGGCGTGACCGTGTCGTTGGATCGTTGAACCTCAAGGACATACATCAAGAAGTCTCCACCGCCGGTCGCCCACTAATCGGCTTATGGCACGAATGCTTCACAGCACCAGTATCGCGCCTGGAGACCAACTACTCTGGTCTCGATTATCTCCCCGGTCTAGCAAGGTTACCAGAAGCTAGCACCGAAGAACACAATCTCTCAACGTACTGGGGCGCGGCTCGAGATCGCATACCCGATTCAGCCCACGACCTTTTCCCGCGAGCTGCCGACTTGCCACGTCCTGATCCAATCCCAAATGGTGTTGGCCAACACCTCAGGGGCACCAATCATGCGAACATGGTCCACATCCGTTCCGGACAGTACTGGGAGAACTGCGGCAAAGAGGAAGCAGATTCGTATGAGCAGAAGCTGGAGCCGACTCTGAAGCAAGGCCTTAAATACTTACACGAGAATTCAGCGGAGACGGGGGCACTCAGTATCCAATATCTCCAGAATGAGGATTTAAATTCCAATGGCAGCAGCAGTAACAGAGAGCCGCGCAAAGAATCGTGTGGCGCGGGGTTCTTCGCCAATTTAGAAGACCTTGAGCACTGGGCTAAGAGCCATGCATCGCATCTGAAGATCTATGGAGGCGCACTTGCACATTACAAAGCATTCGGTGATGAGAGAAGGTTTCGTACATGGCATGAGGTGTGTGTGATCAATGAGGGGGACGCTATGTTTGAATATGTGAATTGCTTGCCTGATACAGGAGTTATCGCATCCGTACCTCTTACAAGTGTAAATATATAGAGTCGGACGCAGTATCCAAGAAAAAAACTCAATTTTCTGTCATGCATATCATGCACTCTAGTGTGTTGACCGTCCGCAACTCTCAACTCGCCAGTCCCGAAATGATAACGCCGTAAGAATGCAAATCGTGATCTACACGCAAATTGGTATCGTACGCATCTCACTTCTTGGCCCCAGACCTGGCCAATTTTCGCATGAAAGCGTTTTGAACACCCTTGGTGCCCTTGAGTTCCTTGTTTCTGCTCTTGTTGACTTCCATGTACGCCATGGTCTGACCTCCAGACAACTCGGAAAGTGTACCGGCTGCCCTTCTCACACCGTTCTTCTTCTTGTTGCCCTTGTTGGACGCATATTTGGTACCGAACGCGTCACCCTCGATCCTCTCTTCCTTGGCGTCTTCTTCACGAGCGAGTAGGACGTCCATAAGAAGCTCTCGACGCTCCTGTGGTGTTGCGAACGCCAGTTGTGAGAAATTCTCTAAGCCTTCGAGACGAGTGATGACCTTGAAGGCATATCCTTGATCGACTAGGAAAGCCTGGCGCTTTGACGAATAGTACATCTCGTCTGTATCCTTGGAGACTAGCGAGTAGAAGAAGGCATTGAAGCCTTCGTCGTTCCTACGCTTCGCCCTCAGGATTCTGCCCAGGCGTTGTGCTTCTTGACGACGAGAACCGTAGTGAGAAGAGATTTGTATAAGGCACGTCGCCTCGGGTAAATCCAGACTAGTGTCACCAATCTTGGACAAGAAGATAGTGTTGACAAGCTCATTGTGTTGAAAGTTCTCCAAAATACGGAGACGTTCTTGTTGAGGTGTTGCGCCGTAAATGTATGCCTTGCCAAGTTTACGTGAGTATTTCTCCAACGCGTAGACGTTGTCAGAAAAGACGATAATCTTGTCTCCTCGTGACTCGTGGTAGTTAATCAGGAACTGACAGGCTTGGAACTTCTTGGGATTCATGATGGAGAGTAGTGCACGCTTTTGTAGGGACGAAGGCTTGAGCCACTCTGTGTAAAATTCGGGTGTCATCTGGCACCAGACTTCAGCGCACTGGACCTTGGCAATATGGCCTTGTTCTGATAGCTCTTGCCAGTTAGCTTCGTACAGCTTGGGTCCAATCAGGAAGTTGAGGTCATCGATCTTGTCATCTTCTCGCAGTAGTGTAGCTGTAAGCCCCAACTTTGCGTGGGACGCAATCTCATATGTGACCTTCTTGAAGATGTTGGCGGGTACAACGTGCACCTCGTCAGCAATCAGCAGTCCCCATTCTCTCTCACGGATAAACTGCATAACCTTCTCGGCATCGTGCGAACGTTTCCTAGCGTTACTGATCATAGAGTAGGTGCTGATGATGATACCGGCCTGGCGCGGGAATCTAGTCTTGTTATCTGCAGTGAAAACGGCAACATCCTCTGGATTTATGTTGGACCATTTGATAAATTCAGCTCGCCATTGCACGACTGACATGGCGCTCGTGCACAGGACAATGACTGATTTCTTGACACCACAGGCGGCTGTGATGCCGACCAAAGTCTTACCTGCACCACAAGGCAACACAATGATACCTGAACGCGCTCGAGAGTTTGAGAACATTTTACTCAAAGCCTTTTCCTGGTAGTATCTGATCTGTGCATGGGGCTTGAGATCGATTTCAAGGTTCGGGTTGGTATCGTCGTTGTTGAAATCATATTCTTCGGTGAGCGGCAGGCCAATGCTTCGGCAGCGTTTGACGACCTTTTCGCGCTCCTCGCTTCTGATCTGGAACGAGTGAACTTGGGCAACTTCGTCATCGTCATCGTCCTCTCGGAGCGTGGCAATCATATCGCTTGGTGGCGGATTCTGGGCAGCTTCTGGCTGTTGCTGCTGTGCCATGTTGTTGGCACCAGCAGCCAACTTTGTACCTGGGATAGCCATCTGTCCGATCTTAGGTGCGGCCTCCTTAATGAGCCCATCCGTTGAGTCTGCTCGGCATTCGGCGACTACAGGGTCGCGGAGAAGTTTTTGAAGTATGGCAGGATCCTCACTCTCGATGTACGATAACGTCTTCTTGAGCACGATCTTTGCCTTGCCGAAGGCGGAGGTAGACTTCTCGACGAACTGTACAATAGCGGCAGACAGGGCTGTCTTGGAATAGCGGTCGAGCTTCTCGATGATTTCTTGCTTGGAATGGCCAACACTGACGGCGGCGAAGAGGCTGTGGGTGGTAAGTTGATACTCATGCATCTTGGAGACACGCGACTGCGGCTCGGCGATGTTGATCAAAAAGTCCTGAGCTTCATCGAAGAGAGGATGAAAAGACTCGAGGATGATGCCACCCGCATCGTTGACCCAGAGCGGGCGGTTGTAGTGGTCAGGCTTGAGCGGCGCGCTCCACTGGTCTGACTTTCTGAAGAGATCGGCCGCCGCATCTCTAACCCGTCCAGCGCGCGCCCGCTTTGTCATGGCCTTGACGTCGAACTCTTCCTTGAGTTGATCGAACGTCTCCTGGTCGCTCATGGGCCCCTCATCGTTGTCGTCCCAGCCATCTTCGGCCTCGGCGTCTGCTGCAGTCTGCGCGAGCTTGCGTTTGGGTGGCATCGTGGCGACTGCCTGCGTGAGATACCGGTGCAGAGGGACAGGCGGATGGTGAGGCGATGGGATTGTAGACAGGCGATATCGACGAAGAGCGGTTGCTGGTGAGGTAGTTGGTGGCGGAGGCAGTAGGCAAAGGAAGAGGAAGGCGCAGCGGTGATTATGTAATGACGTATGGCACCTGCATTTCTGGCGTCTTGGTTCTAAAGACACAGTCAGACAGGCTGGGGCGAGGGATGACTATGCGAGTGCGAGACGACGGCGACTAGCAGCAAGGCAGGTCAGTGGTGAACATTTAGGTTGTAACGCGCCCAGACGCGAAAGCATGTGAATAGCCGGCGTTTGCTAGGGGGGCCCTGCCGACGTCACTCTCGGCGAGGCTGTTCTCCAGGGCTGCTCACCACCACGACTACCGTGTCTATTCCCAGCACATAGAATGCGCACATGAGGACGTGACATGCTTCCCAATGGGTGCATCCGATTCAAAACTCTCCTTCAAGCAAGGCGTCTTTCGCCTGTCTGAACCCAAGCAAATCCCTGCCGATGACGCTTATTGGACTGGCGTATGCTCTGCTCGTTGCTCTCTATGCTGTTGCTGTGCTGACCATGGCGCCAGTTCTGGGAGCTACCCGAGTCGACTGAGGATGTCTTCTCGCTCTTCTCGCCCGCAGACATTCGCCGCACCCGCGACAACAACCTAGCTAATCTCGAGACGCTCATCCTCGCCGTTACCTCACGCCTCATAGTCCTGCGCAACCACCCCTCTTTCCCTGACCCTGAGCTAGCGCCCGAGCGCGATGCCCTCAACTGCATAAGGGTCCTGACGCGACTACTGCCCTTTCTGTATGAGGCCGACCATCTCGAGACATGGGAGGACCACTTTTTCTGGGCTGCGCGGCGGAAGCGCAGTCGGCGGGGCCAGCTGGTGCGAAGCGAGGTCATCTTCGACGAGGCCGACCCAGAGCAGACGCCCACAGAGAAGGAGCCCGAGTTCGAGAAAGCCAAGCCGCTGGCCGAGGAGATTATCGACACGCTGATTGACCTTCTCTTCTTCTCCGAATTCACTCTTCCCAAGGTCACAGCAGGCAAGAACAAGGTCACGTATGCGATATGGCAGAGTGGCGTAGGTTGCAACACGCCTGTCGCCTCCACCAAGGAGTTTGAGAGCAACCGGACCGAGATCCTGCGCCTGCTGCTTACTTTGGCAAGCAAGTCCATGTACATGTCTGCGGGTGTGCTCCCAGTCAAGGGCGTCAAGGCCATTACATATATCGCGACGTGTCCAGACAAACAGGTTGTCCTGTCCGTTCTCTGCTCCCTCCTGAATACCGTGAGTGTATCGCACGCTATCTTGTGCACTGCTGACCCCCGCAGACCCTCAAATACAACCCCGCCACATGGCGCGTGCCATATGACCACGTCGTCTTCAAGGACCAGAGACAGGTCCTGGTCACATATTGCCTACAATTACTTTTGGTACTGATCCTGTACCCCATACCTGAGTCTGGCAACGGTCCGGCACCCAAGAATTTCTTCCGCCATTTCCTTGGCCGTCTGCACCGTCCTCAAGACTTCCAATTCCTGGTCGACGGTATGACAAGGATACTGAATCAGCCAGTATGCGACATGTCTAGAATACCACTTTCCTTTTGCTGACATAGTATAGCTCCAAGCCAACACCTCCTACCTTCCTGGCAGCCATAAGTCACTCACATGGGCACCCGAGATGATCATGCTCTTTTGGGAGGCTCTGCAGTGCAACAAGCGTTTCCGTTCCTTCATCATTGATACTGACAGAGCTCATGATTTCGTCGTGCTGGTGCTTTACTACGCCATCGACCAGCGCAACGACCCATCAAAGCAGGGTCTTGTGCGTATGTGCATCTTCGTACTCCAGACATTGAGTGTTGAGCCGCAATTTGGCAAGAGCCTCAATAAGACATTTGAGGGACAGGAGTCGCTTCCGGCTAGCATACGGATACCCAATTTCCACGGTACCTACGCCGACTACGTTATTACGGTGAGTACGACAATGAAAGACTATACATCTGCTAATTGTGTCAGTCCATTTATACCCTACTCACAACTGGCAAAGGCAGATTAGACGCCATTTATCCTGCGTTACTCGCAATCCTCAACAACATTGCGGCCTATGTCCAGAACATCGGGCGCGCCTCGAGCTCTAAACTGCTCCAACTGTTTGCTTCCATGTCATCTCCTAGTTTCCTTTTTGCAAACGAGAACAATCACACTCTTCTGCACTCACTACTAGAGGTTCTTAACGCCATGATTGAACATCAATACCAACACAATCCCAACCTGGTGTACGCTATCGTACGATCACGGAAGAGGTTCCAGGCGCTAAGAGATTTCACCTTGGAAAGCGGACAAGAAGAGATCGAGCGGCAGAATCAGCAACGTAAGGAGGGCGGCGAAGACCTCACTCGCACCAGCTCTATCGATAGCCTCCGAAGTCCCACAGTAGCCCGGACACCTACCTTGGGCAACGTACCAGAAGAGGACAGTGCTTTCGCTATTGGCGATGACGATGACGACTCGGACGCGGAAGATGCACGACCCTCAGAACCATCAAGGTCTCCCGTACCGTCGCAGTCGGGCGCTTCCAGAAGTGCGTCGATAGCATCATCTGTGGAAGACTCTGTACCGTCCCAGGTAAGAGGTATGTCAGAGAAAGCAAGAGGCAAGATGCCAGTAGGCCAGCCTGCTTTCTCCCGGCAGAACAGCATGACCAGTCTACATAGTGCAGCCGGTCCGGCCTTGGCTACCAATGAGTTCTTCACACCATCTGTCCCATGGGTAAGTGAACTCAACCTCAATAACAGACTTATCTAATCTTGTTCGCAGCTGGAAGGATGGCTTTCGGAGCTACCGCTACATACCATTCTTATGCTGATATCGGAGCTCGGTCCCAAGATGCCTAGCTCAGGCAGCTCCAACGACACGGCAGAAGCATTGAAAACTATTCGCGAGACTGAGATACGCGGAATTGAACCTTCGCCTATCAGGGTACATCTCTTTGAATGGTCAGCCTTATCTTTGGGCTGGTACGAGTCGCTACTCTGGGGATTCGTTTTCGCGGCCGAGATGCTTGTAGCCAAGGGTACTGCCGGGGTTTGGAACAACACTAGCATAAGATTGTGTAAGTAATGCCCATGTATGAAGTGCATGTGAGACACGGACTAACTTCGCACACCTACATTTAGTCAAGGTTCAAGAAGTTGGGGCTACAGCTCCTTCACTACTACAGCCAAGAGGGGCTGTAGATGCGGTAGGGAGCAATCTTGTGCAGCGAATTGGCTCCCTCAACTTGCGCGGGGTCACAAATCAAGCTGCGCAACGCTCCCCAGCGAGCAGCGGTAATGCCGGCGCCAACACTGTTAGGGACGTGTAGCGACATGTCACGACCATGCTATTCCAGCCACATGGCAAAAATTGGCCACAGCTTCTATCATCATATTAAAGAGAGCTAGTTGCACCGTGAACGCTGATTGGTGTGCCTGAAATGCAGGTTAGGCTTTTTACCCCAATCGAAGCCTGACATTTGCCGATCATGTTTAGCCCGGCTGCACAGCCACAACACTCGCCACACGTCGGTAGACTAGGGATAGATAACCAACAACAACGGATGAATCTCTATGAGGCGCTTCTAGATCTTTCCCATGGTTTGACAGTGAAGCAAAACGCGCAAGCTCTAAGCCGTCTCTGACGCGCCTCGGGACGATCTTATCTTGATATGCCATCGCGACAAGTGATAGTGTTATGCGGAGGTACGTTATGGTTATGTAGTGCTTCCACTAGCTAGTGGTATACATTCTACTTCTCCGCACTGATATACCCTTTGATCAATCTTTGGTACCGAGTCTTTAGCGAAAATTATCACGGCCTGTTTGTGGGAACAGGGTGTTTAACAACCAGATTAGGATATACATGACGCTCCATAAAGGTACGTGCACTATACTCTTAGCAAGATACCATGTGAATAATATCGGCAACAGATTGGAAAAAGAATAACCTCGATCAAGCTCTAAGCCCGTATCATGGCGGCGCCCCACGACGATGAAGCCATTACCACGTATAGTATGCACGTGCGTATATCCTTACCTTTGGTGTACCAATGGGCAGGTTGGCCTAATTGCGACATAGGTATCTGCCAAGTACCTTGAGCTTACGAAGAAAAAACTTGAGTTGACGCGTTTACCGCGTGAACTTGAGTTACCGAACGAGAGGAGATGGGGGCAGGGTACACCGAAGAGTGTGCTTGAGCCGCTTTTAGACTTCTGGTATGTTAGCTTCTACTTTTTCAAAATTGTACTTGCGTGTAGGAAAAAATCGAGAGTGGGATCCGCAAAGACGTGTATTGCTGTACTGCGATGGAAAGATTATGACTCCTATGAGAATCAGGACTTACCACTACACGATCTCACAAGCATTATGATGGATCCACCTCACTTAGAGAACAACTAGCTGTGTTGTCTCTCGCATCGCACATGAATTCCACACCAAACATTCCTTGAAACTAACAATCTCACAGGCTAGAAGGCTATGACTGGCGCGCCGCCGAATCCCGCTTCAACTCCACCCTGCCCCAATACCGCACGACCATCACTGTGCCCTCTGTCGCCCCTCCTACCGCTACCAAATCGCTACGCATACACTTTGTACACAAGCGATCCAAGCATCCCAACGCCATCCCTTTACTTCTCTGCCATACATGGCCTTCTTCGTTCATAGAGATTCAACGCGTCATTGACGGATTAACAGATCCGCATTCTCTACCAGGGTACGGCGACAGCCCACAACAGGCTTTTCATGTCGTCGCGCCGAGCATACCGGGTTTCGGATTTAGCGATGCCAGTATGGAAGAGGAATTTGGGTTGCACAGAACGGTGGAAGTATTTCAGAAGCTGATGGGAAGGCTGGGGTATGCGCAGTTTGTTGCGCATGGAACGGGATGGTAGGTAGGATGCTAATCAGTCTGAGATGTGGTAGCTAACGAACCTTGTTAGGGGCTTCGGCATCTGTCGTGCACTGGCGCTGAGACATTCAAAAAGTTGTTTGGCAGTGCATACAGCGAATCCGTCGTTTGACAAGCCAAAGTTGAAGAGTGGAGCCATGCGGTATTTCAAGTACCGTGTTGCTAAGTTGACAAAGGCAAAAGTGCCGTTGCTGAGCTTTGGTTACATGCCTAGTGAAGTGCAGGCTCCATCACAGAGTATGGCCGAAAAACACCTCGCCATACAGGACGGGATGTATGACGGTGAGCCGCTAGGGCCTACACTGCATCGACTCTACTCCCTCCGGCCGCAGACACTGGCTTTCTCTTTGTGCGATTCACCGGTTGGGTTGCTAGCCGCTCTGCTGGATGTCATTCATACGAGGGATCTGCCACAGCGTCCGCTCTCGTCGTCCCGATCGAGGAGTCCGTTCCTCTCGCCTGTTGAGCTGGAGATGCAGGGTGGCGACGAAGAGCAAGAAGAACAGGACGAGTTGCGTTCAACATCTACGGAGCGACCCGGGGATACGACGAGCCCGGGAAGAGCTGAAGGCGATGGGAGAAGCTATACGTGGAGCCCGACGGAGGTACTAAACTTTACAATGTTGCAGTGGTTGCCTGGGCCTGAAGCGGTACGTTACCTTTCATTTGTTTGACGCGTGGGTGTTGAGAAGGCTGGGGGTACTCGTGCGTGACGCATATTTGCCGCTGGAGACCTGTCCAAAGCTACAGTGGCTCGTTTTTGAGATTTTCTTCATGGTTATTCCTGCTGACGTCCTCCCGCAACTAGGCTCTCCGCTGGCTCCGCCGCGCACACATGGACATGCAATCCCCCTCATACCAAACCTTCACAGGTACTCCCCTGGGCATCTCCACTTTCCTCCCTCCCAACAGCAGTAACGCGACACCGCTCATGTGGGGTGCGAGCTCTTGGGACATATCCTGGGTGAAGCGTCATGCCGGTCGCCCTGCGACGTTACCAGGCTTCGAAGCCCCGGATGCGCTAGTGCTAGATCTGAGGGAGTGTTTCGCAACGATGATGGACAGAGGGAAGGTGAAGTTGGAGATGCCTGTTAGGGAAAGTTAGGTTGTAATGAGTGTTGATTGAAGATATAGGTATATCAGGTTTGTTGTATGCATTTAGAGCTGAAGGCTGGATGGCGTGCATGGTGTTTCGGCCCGTGGCCATGGGTTGCTGGGAGGATGCTTGTTGGTTGCAGGGGCTGTGCTGATGCAATAGGGTCTGGCATCCTTATGGCGATGTGATATACATGTATATGCAGCTCTCTACGATTGTTATTTCGGGCGATATAATCAAGTTGACTATATCAAACCACGCATGGTTTAGCGTTAGTTGTGGTGGGCGGTCTGTTGCAACGATGCGGCTGGGATAGCTTGGTGAACGAGATTGTAAAGGAGGATGCAGCATATGCCCATCGGGTACTGGGTGAGGGCGTAAGGCTGTGCTGGTAATATCAGGTACCAAAGGTACTACGTGTAAAGCCGCAACGACGGACGGCTAGACCAGGCAGGGTATAGCGCGGATAGGGGATGGTAGCATGTTCCCTGATGCATATAACGGCAGCCGATCATGGCAGCAACACAAGTCGGACCTTCTCAGGTCGTGTGTCAGGCACACGGTGGCGGACGCAATACCCGCAAACGACTTGGCTGAGTCGGGTGCAGTGGCAGGCGGCGGGGCGCTCCAGCCACTTGGGACAGGCGGTGACGTCCTGATGCGAAAACACCGCACTCGTTAAAAATCGTGTCGCGTGAAGGCCCGAAGCTCCCACGACGTCGCCCCAGCTGCACGCACGTTAAATTGCCCTAGTCAAGTTTGCTTCCACTGCGCACAGTACGTCGCTCTTCTGACATCCTCAACACGCCCACATCTGTCCACCTACAGCTTGCGACTATCTTTGAGAAGTTGGCCGGCTCATCCATAGGCAGATTCTATCAGCGCCCAACGCCATTGCATTGACTTTTCTGCTCTACGCTCCCCACCAGACTTCCGTCGTCACGCTGGCAGACCTACTCTTCTCCCTCTACACCACTGCCTAGGCTACGGTAGCCCGCAGACCACCTGTTGCCGCCCACTTCGGCTCTTCTATGCGTCGAGAGGACCTGGTACGATTTCTGTCCAAGCCTGCGAAGTGAGTCGTTGTCTCCGCGTGAAGCAGTGTGCAAGACATCCAAACGGCCAGCGCTGACCTCCACAGGCCTCGATAACACCCACCACGCCCTCCAACCCACCACCAATTACCATATCCTCTTAAGCAGATCTCCTCGTCTGCTGGACCCGATACTTGCCCAGGGTATCGGAATCTGGTATCGCGAGGACCCCCACGACTGCCACCATTTCCCGGCGCAAGGCCTCGTTTATTCCCCTCAACGCCCGACCTCCCTAACATCGACTACGGTCGGTTACCCTATTCTCCATAAACTGCTGCTGGCACACGCCAGCCTCGCCTACTCTTTGCGACCCGTGGGCCACTTCTTCTCAGGCGAGCACCGCATTGCTTGTCTGAGCGAGGTTGAGCTGCACATAGCTTCATAGCTAGCCACCTCTCACAGCCTCTGTACAAACTCGGCCAACAAACACACCTATCCTATCCGTTCTGTGCGCGCGACAGCCACACAATCGAGAGATGGTCGCTACTGAGATTCCTCAGCACTACACTGCCTCGCCCTCGTCGCATATTGGCACCCCTCACTTGACCATCAACAAGGAGGCTACTATCGATCTCGACTCTACCAACTCTTTCGAGGGTCCCGAGAAGCTCCTGGAAGTATGGTTCAGCGCTTCCGCTACTGAACTGCCTGGACAGGCCGGTCCAGCTGGACTGAAGAAGGTGTCGGCGGATACCTGGAAGGACATGCTCGATCTGGTCAACTGCAAGGTTCTCTCCGTCATCGAGTCTGAGCATGTCGATGCATACCTCTTGTCCGAGTCGAGCATGTTTGTGTTCCCCCACAAGGTGGTGCTCAAGACCTGCGGAACTACTACTCTGCTTTGGGGCCTTACTCGCATGCTGGAGATTGCTGCAGACGCTGGCTTCCCTTACGTTGCCCCCAAGGCATCCGGTATTGCGCCAGCCGCCACACCATACCGCGTGTTTTACAGCAGGAAGAACTACCTCTACCCTGACCAGCAGCGTGGACCCCACCGCAGCTGGCGCGATGAGGTTCGTTACCTTGACGACCGTTTCCAGGGTGGCAGTGCCTACATGATTGGCAAGATGAACGGCGAACATTGGTACCTCTACATTACCGGTCCAGACACCAGCCTCACTCCTCCTCCCAGTCCTGGTGAGGAGAAGCTTGTGCCTGACACCGAAACCAAGTTTGTGAGCCATCCCCAGCGCTTGTTGCGCGAACAGGCCACCGACGAAGAAGAGGACGAGACTCTGGAAATCCTGATGACCGACCTCGACGAGAAGAACGCTCGTCAGTTCTATCTAGAGGACGCAAGTGCGGTTGCGGAAGGTCGCTACATTCAGAGGGCTCGTGAAGCTCGCAAGAATGCCATCCAATCTCTCGGCACTATTGCGGAAGAGAATGGTCAGAGCGAGAGTCTCGGTGGCTCTACTATTCTCAACTCCACTGCCAACACGCACACCTCTGATGACAGCTTCGACGTGTTCGAGCAGACGTCTTCTGACCATTCCGGTTTCAACTCTGACGAGGAGCTCACGTTCCCTGAAGAGCTGACCACCGAGGGCCACACGCTTGGCACTGTCGTCTCTGAGCACTGTGGATTGGCTGATGTCTACCCTACCTCCAAGTACCCTGACGCTCGCATCGACGCTTATCTTTTCACACCATGCGGCTTCTCTGCTAACGGTGTTATTCCCGCTCCGGGCGGTGCTCCCAACGGCTCTAAGAAGGGTTCTGATGCCACGCATTACTTCACTGTGCACGTTACGCCCGAGCCTCAGTGTTCCTACGCCTCCTTCGAGACCAACGTGCCTGCCCGCCAGACCGGCCGAGAGACCGCTGATGTGGTCGAGCATGTAGTCGGTATCTTCAAGCCTGGCAGGTTCAGTGTCACTCTATTTGAGGCCAAGCCTACTGCTGATGAGATGCCTGGCAAGAATGTTGAGAAGGCCAAGAGGATGGAGTCAATCGCAGGATACCGTCGCGTTGACCGCATCGTGCACGACCTAGATGGCTACGACTTGGTCTTCCGTTACTACGAGCGTGACGATTGGAAGGGTGGAAAGCCTCGTCTTGGTGAGATCTTCTAGGCGGGCCTGCAACAGATTTCTATTGTCGGGTAGCAGGATATTTCTAGCTTTTGCGATTGTATTTGTTGCGTCTTTTGTCTCGCGTTGCGACACAGTCACTACAATGTCTAGCCAGCGTTTGGTAGGATGTTTGGTCAAGTTCCTAATTAAACTTCGCTTTCAAACTACATATTTCATCTCGCAACTTCACAATACTTACAACCTTAAGCGCTTGTTCTTCTCCACTGAAAAAAAGACATCCAGGTAATTCCTGAACCTTACGTTGTCCACTTCTGCGCAGCATTTGCCCTGCTGTCCCCACCCGCTGCAGCCCTAGCACTTGTGCTTGTTTGTTTCATTTTCATCACCACTCGTTGCAAACGCGGGAGAAGTATGGTGCCAGCCACTCGCTGTCTGTCCTCTAGACACCGCTGCCTGACTCTTATCGCTCTCAACATACCGCCATTTGCCTTTACCTATACTTTATCATCATCTCGTTGTAAAGGCGGGGTAGGTAAGTAACCTATTGCATTAGGGGTGAGAGACAGATCCCCGACTATTTGACCGCCTGTAGGAGTAGTAGCATGTACTATATAAGTTTGTCTTCCGTGGGTTGAAGGTTTAGATTCTTACACTCCAGTCTACCTATCTACAACCTCCTTACTCGAACAATCATACTATCTCTACTTCTTGCGTATCTACTATTATTTGTTATCGTCGATATGTCATCTTCGCGTGCAAAACGCCCTGCGAGAGCATTGTCCGACATGAAAGATATACCGTTCGATCTCGACAACGACGATTATGATTATGTTCCATCAGACGGCGAAGACAACGAGCCGATTTTGCCAGTTCGATCTCGAAAGCGTAGAAAGACAATAACACCAAGCGTGTCTGTCCGTGGAAGACGGGTACGTGACAAAGTATCTTTCGCTTCATATCAGTACTAACTGTGTATAACTAGGGCGACTTAAAGGGTAATCACGACCTGCTTAGAAGTTCGAGCGTGAAAGAAGTGAAGGAAACCCTCCATGCCAAAGAACAAGAAGAAGACCGGAAGGTCAGAAAGAAGTACGAGGCCAAGGCAAAGAGCGATGTTAATGTTGCAAACGCAAAGAAAGAGAAGTCTGAGCTCGAGGTGCGCATCTCTTGTCTACTCACAGATCATCTTTCTAACCAACAACAGATTAACTATGGCTATGACTTTGAACTTTATAGCAGTACTAGTGCTAAAGGCACAAGCGAATGATGGTTTATTTACTGCGAATCAGCTAAGTCAAAGCCGGAGAAGATCTTTATAGCTAAGGAAAAGGTCCCTAAAGACCAACTGCTCTACGTCAAATAGAACAACTTGACTAAGAAAGAGAGAGCACAGCACAGCAACTTATTCAGGAACTATCTTCACGCCTCAATTCCTAGGTTTACTTCAAGAAGAAAGACAGCGTGATGTCCTCCTCACCTTGATTTTGGTAAGGCCACATGAACTTGTTCCTCTAACTTTCCCTCTTTAACATCGCTGACCACACAACACAGACATGCTTAATTTGTTATCATTCATTTTATAACCAGCGATTTGATAGTGCGGCGGCACGGCTTTCTGTTTGGAAACTCCATCTCACTCCATCTCAGGTTTTTCTTGTTAGCTGCGTCTTGCCCAGCAAGAAAGGTACAACCGAACTAAGCACGGAATCTATTATCTACGCTTTGCAGAACATCTCTTATAACTAGCTAGTCTTCTTCTGTACATGACAAACTAAAAGTACCTTTACCTTTGCTCCCTCTGTAACGTGACTTCTCTAGCTTGTTTAAGATATAGATGCATATTCTTCTCTCTTTATATAGTAACGATGTTACTCACAAACAGGCCTTAGCTACGGTGTCTTAACAGAGACTGTCTTTCGTTCCTTGCTGTGTGACATCACTGTCAAAAACGGTTAGCAATGTTGTAGGTAACAGTATAGCAGGCTCACTCGTAATCTTTACAAACGAAAACGACAGATAACCACAGTGGATCAGGCTAGATACCGGGTGACGATGCTATGCAGCAGAACATGGGAATGTGTTTCCGCAACTGCATGACAAGCTGCAGAGTCTGACACTGCGAGTAGCCACGCATCACGGCGAATGGGCATGATAGGGTTGTGTGATTGAACAAGGTATGGTAAATTGCACCAAGTCAGGGTGCCTGCGCGGTATCTTCAATCAGCGATGTTGACAGCCATTATGCCACGAGAAGGTTGAGTGAAGATGATCGCTCAAGACATTTACTCGTTTCAATCATTACAACGGAAAGATCATGCCATGCAATATTGGATCGGCTTCATATACATCTATCATACACTTCACTTTCCAGCACCACCATTCATCCGCTCAAGTGCCTCTCTAACCTTTGTTACAGCTTCCCTCGCTGCCCTCCTCTCAGCAACGCTTTCATCCTCAACATACTCCTTTCCTCCATTCCTGATGATGAATCTGACCCTTTCCTCTGTACCTTTCAACGTACGTCTCCCTTCTTCTCTCAGGGTATCCTCCCACGATTCTCTAGCACCTTCCCATAGCTTCTGCATACGGCGAAGAGAGAATGTGAGACCAAGTGCTGCGACAGCTGAAGCCTCGAAAACGGAGAAGGAAGATACTGAGGCGTAGAGGAGTGCTGATGCAGCAGAAGAGAGGGACGTCGTGCTGAAGGTCTGTAAGATGAGTCGTTGAGCGAGGGCCTGGAGAGGCGGGACAGTGTCATTGATGAGCTCTGTGCGAGCAGCAGGAATGTGATCAGACCATGGCATCGGCTTCCGGACATTGGTGGAAAGGTCCGTTCGTGGATTCTCTGCTGTCGGTGCTGTTTCCTGCGTTGTCACCTCAGGGATGTTAGCGACAGCGAGGTGTTGGACGTCATCTGGGAATCCGGCTTGGTTCATGCGACCGGCGAGGTAGATGCTGTTCTTCTCCGCCGAGATGAGCCATCGCCGTTCGAGGATCTCAGAGCTGATCATTGTGACATCGTCGACACGCCAGAGTAGCTTCCACCAAGCCAGCTTGTGCCAGTTCTTCGCTGTGAAGGCTTCATCGAGCTGATCGCGGAGCTCTGCATGAGACTTTTCGGCCCAGGTTTCAAGATGGCCGACGATAGACCTTGTTACATCTTGTTCTGTTGGAACGGAAGCGATTTGCTGTAATCTTGTAGCGTCTTGTTTCGTGATGCTCGCTTCCACATCATCCGCTATAGAACTGATAAGTGTCTTCATTGGTGGTTTCAAGGTGCCTGTAGCCTGGAGATCTTGAATCAGCCACTCCGACAGCGTGGGCAAGCCGCTTTTGAACCACCCCCGCTCGTATATGATGGAGTTCTGAATCGATTCACGGAAGCTGTCGAGTGCCTTTGTGCCGACCTGAATATTGATAGGGGCGCTTGCGGTATGAGTGTCTTGTTTCGCCTCTTCCGATGGCGCGGGAAGGTCAACAGCCATCTTCACGACCTCCTGCGCCTCTTCCAATCCATCCGCCGAGAATCTTCCAAACGCAATCGCACTGTCTAATCCTTCTCCCAGTACCAATGTCTTATGTACTGGGTATGGGACCGGTAGTCCTCGTGCAGAAGTGGCCTGGAGTTTGGGAACCAACAACGATTCAGTAGAGCTCTCCGTTGTCATATGAGGTACGGATCTGGCGACATTAACGTTAATGGTAGACACGAGGACCTCTAGGTTGTGCGACTGGAGTGTTCGTGAGGGTATTGAGAGGACTTTGTAGAGGGGTGAAGGCGTGTGTGCATCGGGGTCATCGCCATATCTGTACAACAAGCATGTTAGAGACTGTGGTATCTGCTGCGACAGTAGGAGTGCACATACTTTAGTAGTACCGCCCTCTCGTTGCCATCGCTCGTCTTCACAAGCTCCTTCTCCCACTGCTCTTCAGCACTCAGCGGATCTGCGAGCAGTAGCCGTGCAAGCTGCTGTGCACTTAACTGACTGTTCAGACCGAGAACTGTATCTCGTCAGTTGCTAGCTCCTCGAGTTGTACTGCGCGTATACCGTACCAGCAACTCTTGTGACGGCATCCTGCGCGGCGAGACCCCGCAGTGCCAATTGCAGCCTGCTGATATTGACATATGTTTCGGCGGCTCCACTGAGCGCGGACAGCGCATCATACAGCTCCTTGTTCCGGGGTGGGATGTGCGGGCGCAGATTTATCGCGGTCGGCGAGACATGTGTCGATGCGGAGCGCACGCGGAGGATCGTCGAGCGTGAGGTGAGGACATTGCGACAGCGACGCGCAAGCGGGAGCCGATCAATCGTCCCTGCCTTGCGAAAGATCGTCAGTCGCGGCACTGAGGCCACCCATGGAGGCATCGGGCTTGAAGTTGAGCATTGCTGTTGAAATGTCCATGTTGACGTATGTCGGCAAAGCTAGCTTCGGCCCGGGCCCGTGCGCAGTCTGCTCACATCACGCTTGCACAACGAAGTCGATGCGCTTTGTTTTGATAGGGATGTGATTTTATTTGATTCAATGAGAAGTCGGCCCCTCTGAGGTTGAGCAGTCGACCGACAAATTACTACCGTACTTCGTAAGGTGATACCTCTAGGTTACGCTGGTCCACATACGCCTACGTGGTATACTGATGACATTTGGTGGCCCGCCAATACAGAAATCAAGAACCTAAACATCCTGCTGTGTCATAGCTCGTCTATCAGCCTCACTCTCGGATCGCGAGCGCTTGAATCGCGCCTAGCTTCTCCGGTTGCGTCCCGATCCAGATGACCTACATCAGTTAGCAGGCATACAACATGTCGAATTAAAAGAACACTTACATGCTAATACGCCTTGCGACGGTGGCGAGCCCCTGGTCGTTATCGGCCTCCTTGGTGGCCTTCTCGAGAGCCTGCTCTCGGCTAACCTCCTGAGACTTTCGTACCTCTTCGTGGCTTGGCGGGAGCCTCTCGTTCTGTAGATCAACCTTACGGGCGTCCTCGAAGCTGTGAATGGCCTGCTTGATGCCTTCCGCACCAAGCATGAGAGTACCCGCGGGGAGTCGACCACCCGATGCTGTCTTCAGCTCAGTAACGCGCTCAGACTCCTCACGCAGCACTTGGAACACGCGGGAAAGTCGACCAATGGCCAGAATCTTGTTTTTGATCGCACGTCGCTTGAATTCGGTGGATTCGGGATCGAGACTGGAAAGAGGAGGCGATGATGGTCCGGACGCCAGAGAGCTGGGTGTCTCTTCCTCGAGTTCCTCCTTGGAGCAGGTGTTCAAGATGGCGATGAGCATGTCGGTAACTAGAGCTTGTTAGTCCAAGTCCTGCATATGGACAAGTAATTTTGCTTACTCTTCTCGCCAACGAAGGGCAATGACCATGTGAAGACGTCCATAAAGTTGGGCAGCCAGTAAGGGTGAGGTGTGCAGTTGAACTGTCGGATGTTCATGACGTTGTTCTCGTACTTGAGAACTGCAGCCTTGTTGTTGTACACGTCGAGGTAGTTCGGCGCACTGAAGATTGTCATGACACTAGGGAAACCAGTTGTCCGTGTTTTCCTGTACATTCGGTATCCAGCATCTTGAGCCTCGTGCGCGCGAATAATTGACAAGAGATTGTTCTTCTCGAGGAAAGCGCAGGCAGCCGGGTATGAGAAGAAGTATGAGCATCCACGAACGTGGTTGTGGACGAAGAAATCGTTGGTCTTTTCCTGACCAAACTCCTCGAGAGGATCGGCCCAAAGAATGTCGCACATGAGGCCGTGGGTGGGTGGCTCGCGGAAGCGGTCAATCTGACAACGTTAGCAATTGCGCTGTACGAGGAGCTGTTTTGCGTACGCTCTTCAAGTCATCCAGAGTGTGTAGCTCAGGGCTCAGTCCACCGTGTATGCACAAGAACTGCTTGTTCATGACAGCGGCTAGCGGTAATGCGCAGAAAGAATCCATGCATGCTTCGTACACGGCCTCGGAGTACTTGTGCTTGCACTCGAGCTTGAAGGTGAAGTAGTCGGTCAAATGGCGGCACTCGTGGTTTCCTCGAAGTAGCCAGAGCGTGTTGGGGTACCAGATCTTGAGAGACCAGAGGTACAGAACGCACTGCGAGTGTCAGCCAATGCATATCAGCCGTCCCTTCGTTATCCTACCTCTATACTGAAGTAGCCGCGATCGACGTAGTCGCCCAAGAAGAGGTAGCGCGTCTCCGCTGGGTCGCCACCGACTTCGAACAGCTTCATGAGATCGTAGTATTGTCCGTGAACGTCACCGCACACGGTAATGGGTGCATCCATCTCAAGCATGTTGGGCTCCGACTTGAGAATCTCGGTACCCTTCTTTATGATCCATAGCGCCTGTTGCTCGGTCAAGCGACCTTCACGGTAGAAGTGCTGCTTCAGGAATTGGATGTTGGGCTTTGTGCGATCTTGGGGCGAGAAGAATTGCTCGTCGGTGGGTGGGTGGAAGGCGGGTGCTTGTACGTCTGGGGAACACGGCACGGTTAGCTGGCTGCATTCGTCTGGAACGTCGCAAGAGCGCAGGTCATGGCTAGAGAGTACGGCGGGAGGCACAGATTGAGCATACCTTTGCATACACGCTCCTGTGTGCTCACTTGGTTTCCATCTTCCATAGTATGCAGGGTGAAGTCGATCTCAGGGAGCGGCTTCTTCTCACGCACGGCGCGAATAGCATTGTCAATGTACTGGGACTGGTCGACGTCCTTTTGTTGGTTGTCCATGTTGGGCAATCTATGCAGTCTATGCAGCAAGCCGTAGGGTGTGAGCACAAGAAGACGGTGGAGGTGAAGGCAGCGAAGTAGTGGGGCGAGCGCAATGACCGCTTAAGCTTGAGTGGCGGCGGCGTGCGAAACGAAGGCCTCGGCGCGTTCTAATTTCTGGGGCCTGACAGCACGAGATGGCAGTAGTCAAATGGCCGGAGTGAGAATTGTCGTCTGGCTCGTCGCGTGCTCGGGTGTGCGCTGGCGACAGGAGCTTAGGGCTGAAAGTGGGAATCAGAGGGGAAGTCGCCGCCGGTCCCCTTGGCTGTTCCCTGTGTGCCTGCCACCCAATCACAAGCCCGCCATCCCAAGGACGTCATAAACCGGTGAATAGCCTCGTGGTCGACCTTGGCTACACACGCTCGTAGCCACAACTGATGTGGCTTATCAAACTTGAGATGAGACAGTTGAGACTCGAGATAATGTTTATGGTGAGCCCTTGCTTGATTGCCATGCGCATCATCACCAAAGACTGTTGGAGATTCGTAACAATGAGGGCATACTCAGGGAATCAAGCGAGTCACAAAGATCAAGCATGGGGATGGTTTTATAGAATGAATGAGCGATATATTGTGTTTTGTACAGTAGGTACAGGGTATGTTGCACTCGTAGACACGAGGCTGATCACAGCGCTTCTCTCTAAACAAGACAACAGGGCATGCCGACTCGATCTAGAGCCGGTCATGAAAGAATGGATGTAACAGCAGTAAAGCAAAGAAGAAATTCACGAGCGAGACCAAAAGTGTATCTGCGCAACGTGAGAAGGTATATCAACAAAAGACCCAAACCTATCCCAACCCATGTGACAACCCGATCCGAGGGTGTCCCAATCCGTGTCCCAAACTCCAAGTATTGCATTTCATAGCCAACGGCTGAGGGTATGTAAGACTGTCCAAGACGTTCCAATGCCCATGCAAAGCATGACCCTTAGATGAAGAGAGACGAGCCGTGGCGGCGGTGGAGGTGGGCACGAGGGAACTTGAGTGATCGCTTGAGGGAAGCCGTAGCAACGACAGCTCCGGCAGAGCAAGACATGCCGTTGGCAAGGGCTTGAGGGACGGCACATCCGCGGTTGCAAAGACCGAACTGGTTCTCGCCAATGCATACAACAGCACCATCGTTGTCACAAGGAGTGCAGTCACTGCCGCTGGCGGGAGCACTGGGAGTGCTGTTGTCGGGCACTTGAGGAGTTGCGCTGTAGGCTGGTTGCTCGGGGACGCTGCTGGGCTGCTGGGCACCATAGGTGGGAGTAGGTGCGGCAACAGGGGCGGTGGGCTCAGCTGCAGGGGCAGAAGAAGCACCGGGAGCGAACACACCACCGCCATTGGAAGGCAAGGCAGCGTATCCAGAGGTAGCAGCGGGAGCTTCGCTCGACGCAGGTGGTGCGGCGTAACCAGAAGTGGCAGCAGGGGCCTCGCTCGCTGCGGGTTGCGAAGCGTCAGGCTTGGTGGGTGATCCCATCTGTCCGTTACCAGCGCCCATCTTGGTCATTGTCGAGCAGCCAGACCCACTGACGGTGTCACCAAGAGTAGCACCCTGTCCCTCGATAACGTTGTGACCCGGGTCAGGGTAGTTGAAGTCCTGGCCTTCCGACGTGGTGCACTGAGTGGCTGGAAGGTTGGCAACGAACATGTCAGGAAGAGCTGAAAGCGCTTCGGAAGCACTGGCAGTTGAGGCTTTGCTGGAGCCACCACCAACTTGCAGAGGAGCACAGTTCATGTAGAACTCACGGTTACCAACCTTGTTCAACCAAGTCCAGGCGAAAGTGTACTTGCCTTCGGGGATGTTGTCTGGCATGGTAACGGGGAAGGTGGCTGCTCCGTGGCCGTTGGGGTCCTCAGGAAGGTTACCAGTTACGTTCGATGGGCAGCCACCGATGGCACTGGTAATGACTTTCCACTGAGACGCCTCGGTAGGCTCCATATCGGTTGTGATCGAGAATTGGCAGGAGCCACCACCGTGAACAGCAGAGCCCTTGAAGGAGACTTCCTTGGTCTCACCAGCATTCCACTGGTTCATCTCAGTCACATCGTAGACACCAGCACGCTGCTTGCAGGGAAAGTCGCCAGGCTCAAGAGGGGAGCTGGTAAGGGTGTCTTTGCCGTATGGGACTGGGTACTCGATGGTCATGTGCGCGGAGGCACTGGCGGCGAAGGCCACGAGGAGAGTTGTGGAGAAAAACATGTTGATATTCGAAAGAGTGACGTGAGAAGTAGGTTTTCTCGGTTGGAAATCGCTAGACCTGCTGAGCGACGAAAGGAATGTGATGGCTGTGGTTGTCTTGGGTTTGCGGATCAAGTGGTACTTGATATAGACAAGAAGAGTGTTGAGTCTAGCTCTTCGGTAACGCACAGCTGTTGTAAAGAATGTGATCTGCCACTGGCAAGATATGCAAAAGCAAAAGAAACAGAGAAGAAGTTTGGTACTGCTGTGGATAGCCTGTGATGAGAAGGAAAAGGCAGACGGAACCGTGTTAGGTTATATAAGGATGGTCGTTTCTACCCACATGGCTAGCCTGTGGCGGTCGGGAGGGACTCGTACAGCAGTGCAAGGACTCAGGAGCCTATGTCCGGCGGATCATCGTGAAGAAGCATAGGCTATTCGACGAAGCAAGGCTTCTCTTGCAACGGTTGACGGGCTTCTTCCGGCTGGCGTCCCCCTCCCGGTTTAGCGGCAGGGGGACGAGCTCAGGATAAGTGGTGTTACATCAAAGTCCTGAGCTCTCGGCAGGCACGATACCGATACCATTGGCCATGTGGTCATGACAAGAGCATTGTCCATGAAACAAAAAAGCGGAGTGCGACTGAGATGGGAAGGTATTGGTGCGAGGCTATGGCCAGGGGCCCGACGTCAGGTTTGAAGTTTGTGCCGGAGGTCTGTGTGTTATGCAGGGGAATGCCGAATCCTGGCCTATCGATAACTCGATAGCTGGAAGAGCTAGTCATGGTGTGGAGTGGCGATCTCTTGCTAAAGCTGAAACGATCGGCATCCTTCGCGAAAGTTGCTGCGGAGCCTCCTATTGGCAGGCGTGCTCATCTACAGGCACACCGGGCGTACGCCTATGGCTTGACCGACAACAAACCAGCTCGCACAATCGTGACTCTTCGCAGGCTACGCAGAGGTTACTTACCGCCGTGTTTGCGACACAGGCGCCAGGCTAGATGCTAGAGACTGGAATGCCGCAGACGGTCAATTATGACAAAGACGTCTTTAATTGCAGGCCCTACGGGTGACAGGCCGCGTCGATGTCATCGAACTTCATGCGTCGCAACCTGGGTATCCCTCATGCGCAAGGTCTTTTTCTGGGCCTCCACCTTTTAGCCGTCACTTCTGTTACTCTCGACAATATTAGACCCTGACTATTGGCAGCCTTCGATCTATGCATGGTTCATAGCGGCGAACGCTGCTAATCTGGGAGATCGACTCAATGCAACTGTCGTGACCTCGTGTTATTCTGGCTGCGCCACATCGTGAGCGACGTCCCTTCGGCGTCGGCGTCGGTGAAGATGAAGTGTGGCGGATCCAGGAATAAGGAGAGTGTGGCTGTGGCGTCAGGTTGCTCGCATATCGTGACCCGGCGGCAGCGACCCGTGGGTCTCGCTCGCTACCGACACGCCGTCGACATCAGCTCGTGATGGAAAGGCGCCGTCGCCTCCAGGCCCTCATCGCTCTAGTGACTGATTGGTCATATAACAACTGCAGCTTGTTTCACCAAATTGCTCACGCGCAAACAGCCCACAGACAGTTTACTGGCAGGAAGCTAATCTGGTCAGGCATTCCTTTCTTCCTAAAAGTTGATCAGTGGAGACCAAAAAGGCTTGAGTGGCTTTGTTTCGAACGACCCATGAATAGCTAACACCAGCTGCGAGCTGGAGACGCAATCAGCGGGAAACAAAACGATAGCATATCCTGTTCATTGTGACGCTTCATTGGGCATTTCAGTACTGCTGCCCAAAGGAATTGAAACAGCGCGATCGGTACGAAGCATCCGAGGCTAACACAGCCTGTCGAGTGAGTGCAGAATCTGTGAATGAAACCTGAGGAAACGAGCGATGACAGGTGTGGCCCTCCATTCGCAATGAACCAACGTGATGATCGTGGGGAAATGCCTGAGGCAAGAATAGCTTGGCCTCAGAAGTGACAGCGTGTATCAAGTGATCATGCACCCTTCTCGCAAACCACATTTCAAACAATTTTTGTCGTCCTTCTTGCATTTTCTAAAACACTCACTTATTCTTTTACACATTCGCCTGCTCCGTGCAGACGCACCCTCGGCACTTGCAACAGCCCAGTAGTCTTCTCCGAGTGCACGAACGTTCCAAGGTTACTACGCGTCATCATCTTCTCCACACCTAATCGAGCTCAAATCTCCGTTTCACGGCTCGATCCCCGCAGGAAGAAAATTTGGATCACCGACAGAGTTGTTAGCCTTCGGAACGCCTCTCACAGCAAGTCGACGGCTGGTTGTCATCTCTTGTCTTGACCACTAAGAGAGCAGCGGAACGATGCTGCCAAGTTGCGTTTCCCTTTGATAGTTCTTGAGATAGATCAACAAACGCGGTCAGGAGCTTAAGATGGCGCTGGGCAGGGCAGGCACGTGTTAGAGTGTTAGCCTCAGGGAACCAGTTAGACCATACTTTAGGTGACTTCAACACGCCCTCTTCACCTGTACCTTATTTGGGCACCACGTTTCTCGGAAGATAGCAGGTTCTGTTATCCGCAGGTAAGCTAGAGATCGGAACGGCATCCGCGCGTACGGCTCTATGTTTGCAGCGTCGCTCCCCTTGGACTGCATTCTCTTTGTCCTAGTGGTGTATGTACAGTTGCGGCATGAACCGGTCAACTGACTAAGGCAGCAATATGCCGTGACTATTATATAGACCGCATAAGTAGGTATGTTCCAAAGCGACGATGATAGAAAAAGAAATTGTGTACTCGTCATTCGTAAACCTTTCCTGTTGAAGATCTCCCATAATTGCGGAACACATGTCTAATCATACTTATGCTTCGTGCCCCTCTTTCACATGCCTCGGGTCTGCTGTATTCTTGCTGCGCTATTTTGTTTTTGACATCTCGCTTTCGACGACTTTCTAGTCTTTACATCTTGACTTACCGCATTTGCCGGGATTTGGGATCTTTGCGTTATTTGTTCTCAAACCAATCACATGGCTCTAGCTCTACTGTCTTGGAAGAACTGCATGTTGTACCTACGGGTTAGAGCGTCCTCGTGCTTATGCATAGACGTCGCGTTGACCTCAACACCAAACCCTAGCTTACTCATACGAACTTGCTTCGGTCCAGAATATCATGTTCATGCCTCAGCATGCCTTGGTTTTTGTTCTACCATGGATCAATCACATCATCATAAAAGATCTTTCAACGATAATTGCGATATTATAGTACTAGAAGCGTAGCAAGCAATTCCTATCCATCCATTTCGTGGTAGGTCTTCCCGAAATTGCTTATTAGTTAGGGTCCGCCCAACGAGCCCTTCCGGAACGAATTAACCTTCCGTTCCAACCAACTAGTCTTCGACCTGACTCGCACAAACGGTGTCTTGTCAATGCCGATGTGCACATGTCCATCTCCCCCAACGTAACTACCATATCCGTAGTGTGAGCCCAGCCCATCAAGATGCAAGGCACGTCCTTTTCTGTCCAGATGCGAAGTTTCTTTCATGTCTTGAACTGCCGCGCTGGCAGCGAACAGGCTAATGATCGATGCGATAGACGTAGGCATTCGTGCAAGATACTGTCCTGGTCGGCGCAGATACACCATCACTGCGATGATTGCATAGACGCCGAGTATAGCTTCGGAAATGATAAACATGGAAGTGGAGACGAAGAGCCTTCGCTCCTCGACTATCGTCCAGCCTTGCACCTGCGGTTCATTCGCCTTGCTGCGCGACACGAGCAGCTTCTCCTTATTGGCTCCGAGCCAAATTGCAAAAAGTCGTGAGAATGCCTTGCCGAGAGGAGCTTGGATATCTTCTAGCGTCGGAACCGGTTGGGTTGGATCGACGAGCCGTGTGCTGTTTGATTCGCGACGAGCGAAATAGTTCATAGCATCTCCTGCGTTGCTGTCGTTGTGCCAACCGCCGTCGGTAGACCTGAAGATGTATCGATTTGCTTGCCCAATTACGTTGACTGGGTCATTGCTGAATGTTTCTTCCGGCGCGTCACCTTCTACCTTCAGATCAGCTACCCTTTCTTGCAGTCGACCTGTTGCATCGACTTGTACGGTTGCACGTCCCGTGACAATCCTCGGCTTACAACGAACAAACACCGAATTGCTTTTGTCCAAATCCCTCTCTGCAAAATCGCCACAAGATCCATCAGGTGCTCTGATCCAACCCATAATTACTGTTGTCATACAAGCATCCTTCTCTTCCTGAGTGGCATTTGCGTTCGCGTCAACAACGAAGACCAACTCTGTTGCACTGGGACCACGCTGACAGGTACCGTTGATCTCCAGCCGTGGCTCTGGACTACTCGGTCCCCACAGAAGCGTTGGTGCTACTTTGACTGGACATATCGCTGTGTCGGCGTCGGCGGAATTTGTGGTGTTAAACTCAGCCTGGATGTTCGACCCGTCGCTGACGAGTCTGGCGCTGTAATCTACACCAAAGTTGAGAACTTTGCATTCAAGCCTAGCACCAAGACCTGTGGTCTCAGCGCGGTAGCCGTGCCCGTTCGTCGCATTTACGTCTGCCGTACCGAAGTACGGTAAATAAAGCATACTTGCATCAGTCCATGCGGGTAGAGGGGTATTCTGCGTAAAGTTAGATTCGGCAATGAGGAATTGATCCTGCGAGTTGCCGCCACGGTAGGCGCCTGAAGGTTCAAGGGAGCCGAATTGGTCCCAACTCTTGGGACCAATACTTCCGTTCACGGAGACAAACTTCAGCTCAAATGGAGGGTTGAAGCCTGCAGAGTACTGTATGCTTATTGAATCCTGGTTGAAGATACCTGCGAAAGCAACAGCTAAGACATTGGCAAGCAAAACCATGAAGCAAACTGCTGCTAACACAAAATGCTTCGATCTCAGGGCCTTCAAAACTACCAGTTGGGGAGGCAGAGAGCTGTAATTGAGATCAATTGACTTTTTTGCAGGCGCGTCGCAGCCCTGAAGTTCCTCTATGGGCTGCAGCATACACAGGAGGCGGTTGATGAGAATCCACATTGGTTCGATAAGTGTAGCGAGTGCAGTCGGAATATAATTCTCCAGGAGATTTTGCACGAGTTTGTTTTTCGATGGGAGAGCAAGACCGTCCAGTTTTGCTTTGCCAAAGATTACACCAAGCGCAATTGCGAGTCCAATGAATAATCCAATGAAGGGGATGGAAGTCCAAAGACTGAACTCGATAGGTCGAACAGGCTTAGCAATATTCCGGGTCGTGCTTCGTCGTTGAGCCTGAGTGATTGGTTGCTGGGCTACTAAGACAGAGTCTGTAGTGGGACCAACTTCGACTATAGTGTGATACTGGCCGTCATCGTCAAGCCGATATCTCTTATTTCCAAGCTTTTCTTGGACTTCCTCCATGGTACAACAGTCGAGATCTTCGAAATCGGCAAGTAGGGCCTCGTTATCCGCGACAAGACTCATGATGCTCGCTATGGTGCTCGGATCTGAATGTAACTTTCTGGTCCTGGTCACTGATAAATATAGCAATGCCAATGTCGCAATCGAAATAACGCCGAGGAGTCCTTCCGCAATGTATGTGAATACCGGTTCGATGACCACGGCCTGAGTTGAATATTGCTGTTCACCCGTGGATGGCTCAAAAGTCTTGAAATCACCACCGAGAATATCCACCATTGCGCGCGAAAACAGCAGTCGGTAGGCATCTGCATAGGACTTACTCAGGACTCGCCAATCAAGATACGCATCGAGTGAGCGATCGCTGACAGCTAGAGATAACCCAACCATCGGTTGAACAAAACCGCCACCAGTGGGACCAGTCCCTACACTGATGTTCGTTGCTGCGACGCGCTCTAGATAATCTGGTAATGACTTTAGCGGTAGGTTGTCCCCCCGGACTTCGTAGCCAGAACCTCCATTCATCTGTATCTCCAAATATGTTGCGTTGAAGAGGTCTGTCGGGAGTGGCTTTTTCTCGCCCCAGAGTGTGACAGATATCGGTGACTTGGTTTTTGCATCGACTGTGGCGTTGACACGCTGTTGGTAAAAGGTTGGCTCGCAAAATATTGCTGTGACGTTGTTCGGTGGGTCTGTCTCTCTTTGCTAGAAGTTGGCGTCAGCAGGTTCGACTTATGATAAGTGCGATGTGTTGCAGCGCAACAACTCACCTTGGTACGACTAAATGCGGCATAGAACGTTGAATTGCGTTCCGGTGGACAATGGCCATCCAAGGAGTAGTCCGCATTGTAGCCATTGTAGTAGCCAATGTACATGGCCATATAGTCCTTCAACTCAAGAAGCGGGGCATATATATTCTTGTTCTTGATATATCCTTTAGTGACGTTCCCTGAGAGCCCTGTCGTGACATTGCAACCACCGTTGCTTTTGTAGAGAACAGATCCTGGAGTCATATATTCAGCATCTCGAATGGGCGAAGATACCTCGCAGTAGAGATCAACGCTGTACATGGTGGTAGTTGTGGTCCAGGTACCCTGGATGGCGATGTCGTCTATGCCCATTGACTGCGAAGGTCTGAATGGTGCTAATGTATAGTTGCGTGCCATATAGGGCGGCAAAGTCTCATTTAGAGTAGCAATACCGTATGTAGACTGCGAGTAGCGGAGTGTTAAGTTGGTGGTTTGCTGGTTGGCTGGCATGAAGGAAGTCGAGACCGCGAATGGTACCTCGGACGAGCGTTCAATTGTTTCGACAGAAAAGATGCCTGCTTGCACAGGTACTAGGCCCCATGTAACGAGAAGAATAGCAAACGAAGCCCAGAAAACAGGCCAGTGCCTATGAGCGTTAGTCATGCCCGTCATCTGACCTGTTCAAGATCCTATGGCCTTACCTACCCATCTTTGGCTGCCTTGAACGGTACTAATGGCAAGAAATCGAATGGATACTGTAACAACAGCGAATCTTTCCCCAATGCGCCGAATTCTTTGCTCAGCTGATAGTACGGCTCCATGCGTTTGGTCTCCAAGTCAATCCACGCCCAATAGATGCTGAAAACGACAGCAACGATTGTGGGAAAGTACAAATACATGAAGGCATGGCCCAATGGAAGGTCACTGATGCGAGGTGCAAATATGACACCGCCATCTTGCTGGCTTTGGTGGAGGAAAAATTGTAAAATCGCGATCAACGACCAGCATATCGCCGTCGTCAAGATGAGAACTGGTGCGCGCAGCGCTAGCGGCTTCCAAGTCTTGGTACCTAGCATTCGTCAATCGCCGATAACCTTGAATAGTTCAACAGTTGATACATACTCTGATGCTCTGTATGACGCGCAAATATTGAAACGATAGTTTTCGGTTTCTTAGGTCCTGTAGTATCTGGAAAGTCTGATCGCGCCACAGGCGCTAGGCTAGCATCCATGACGAAGAAAAGAATACGCGACGAGTAAGCAAACAAGAACCGCAATACAAGAAACACAAAGCAACGGGAGTAGATTCAGGCATTCTACACGTCGAAAGGATAGATACTTAACGGCACCATCGTGGAGCATAAGCGCCCCCAAAACTCACAGCGCGAGACTGCGCCGCATTGATGGATGTCACCCAATCATTTAGCGACCGCAATCCCAATTCGGATAAGAACCACAACGTCGGAATGGGACAACTGCGGGTAGTCGACGAGCCTCCAATGCGATGCTCGAGATGTGCGGGAAGTGGATCCATACTTTACTGCAAGAGTAGAAATGCAGGTACGGGTGGCTTTATTTGCAACACATTCTGTAGATCTGCTAGTGTCGCGGTCTTGGCTTTGCCGCTCATCGCATTGCGATATCTGACAACTATGCAACAAAAGTGGAAGGCTCTCATAGTCTGCAGGCTCGGATGCTATATTAGGGAGCGTTCGCGTAATGTCCAATGTCGGCACTCAGCGGAAAGCCCCAACTTCTCGCCTCCTACATGATGTGAGCAGTAGAAGGTGCGAACGCGCATATGAACTTACCACCATGTGCGGAAACCCACAGTTGATATGTCGATACCTAGATCTCGCAGTGCGCTAGTATCTAAATGACAATCGTAAGGCCTAACAGTACCATCTTTCGGTTCTTCGTCAGGTTTGAAGGGTTCCATATTGTCGAGGGGCAACCCCATGATGTCGGCAAATGTCTGGCAAATTTGCCATTTGGTCATCCGGTCTTCGGAGCTGAATTGGAGAACACTTGGTAGTTCACGGCTCCTGTATTCATCGTCAGCACTGGATGACTAGACGCGCACAACTATCCGTAATTTGAGCGTAGCTTACGTGGTTGCTGGATCAAGATACAGCTTCGCTATATCACGACACACTCGACCAACATCTTGAGTATTCGTAGGATATCGAAGCGCATAGTCATCAACTTGGATTTTTGGCTGGCCTTGTTCTATCTGTTGAGCGTTCCACAATTGCGACATGAGCACGTTGACTGCACTGTCTTTTGGCTCGTCGCAAGATCCGTAGAGGACTGGGACGCGGAGAACAACGACTTTGTTGTTTGCACCAGTCCTGCTGGCAACGTCAAGGACAGCTTGTTCGCCTTCCAGTTTACTTTGGCCATACCTGACGAATCTTGTCAGTCTAAGTTGGCACAACAGCCACCATACCCGGGACTTGTCATGTGCCATGAAGTGGGCATTGGTAGACGATCCAAGGTCCTCGTATTTACCATAAACTTCGTGTGTCAGATCTGGACTTACGCATTCGGTGGGCTCGGCGCCGAATCTGGCTTGTAAGGAGCTTCTCCAGGTTTCCCAGCAAAGACATAGTCCGTCGAGATGTAAATGAGAAAGATTCCTCGAGAGGCAGTAGCTTCAGCTAGAATCCTGCTTGCGTCTACGTTCAGTTTCCTCGCTGCTTCTGGGTCTTTGGTACAAGAGTCCGGAAAGCGGTTGGCAGCGCAGTGGACGACGACTTGCGGGCTGACTTCATCGAGCACCCTCAAGATCTCGTCTTGATTCAGAATATCCAGCTTCACTACATCTGGCGAGGTGATACGACTCAGCCCGGTGCCGATTGATTTCCAACCGTCTAGCGAGAACTCTCGTTGCACTTGACGGCCAAGCAGACCACTAGCTGCACTCTAGGGTCAGCTAGCAGTAGAGCACTGGTGAAGTCTGCTTTACCTCCAGTGATCAATGCTGTCTGTACCATTCTGATTACTTTGCAGACTGACAGGGCTAAGGAGCAGAAGTCTCGGTCGAGCAGGCAAATTGATGGGAACGACGGAGTGGTGGAGCTTTGGCAGCTTCATCGAGGGCGTGGATGCGAGCATCATCACGTGTTAGCGAGACCCTGAATCCCTGCAAGCTCGCCGCGACGGGTCGATTGTCGCGACGCAACAAGCAACCCAGAGTTTACACGAAACAATCACAGCCACCATGTCGACCATAGTAAAGGAAGCTTCCCAGAGCTCATACCCGTATGTTTAGGAAGCTGCGTTCGTGATATCCGCTCACCAAAGCAGTCCCGTCATCCCCAAGGACTTCAACGGCAACCAGCCAAAGACGATTCGCTTGTTTCCCCTCAGCAACTACACATTCGGAACCAAAGATGGCCAGCCCGAGGAGGACCCTTCGGTGCTCGCTCGGCTCAAGCGGTTAGAAGAGCACTACTCGGAGCATGGCATGCGACGAACCTGCGAAGGCATCCTGGTCTGCCACGAACACAACCACCCGCACATCCTTATGTTGCAGATCGCAAACGCCTTCTTCAAGCTGTACGAATTGTCATCGCCTATAACTGTTCTGGCTGACGTCATATAGACCCGGCGACTATCTCCGTGCTGAGGACGACGAGATCGAGGGCTTCAAGGCGAGGCTGAACGAGCGCCTCGCACCAGTCGGTACCCAATTCACTGGCGAAGGCGTCAATGACGAGTGGGTGGTTGGCGACACATTGGCGCAGTGGTGGCGACCCAACTTCGAGACCTTCATGTACCCTTTTATCCCTGCGCATGTCACCAGGCCAAAGGAGTGCAAGAAGCTGTACTTTATCCAGCTTCCGCGCAGCAGTAAGTTGACCTGCCTATCCTCCATGTTTTGGCCAATTGCTAATGTTTCGCAGAGGTCTTGAGTGTTCCGAAGAACATGAAGCTCCTCGCCGTTCCGCTATTCGAGCTCTACGACAATACCGCACGATACGGCCCACAACTCTCAGCAATCCCTCATTTGCTCTCGCGGTACAACTTCGAATTTGTCGACGAGGACGGAAACGTCGCAGCGTGCACGCCTGGTGTAGGTCCACCTGAAGGATACCGACCTCAGACCAAGGTGCTCGCAGGTGGAGATGGGGAAGACACCAGGATGGAGCAGAACGGAGATGGAACAGGTAGCGATATCACTCTCTCGTAGAGCGCTCTCTATCGCCACTCTACTCTCTGTGTTTTGTCTTGCTAATTCATACCCGGTGTCAGGCGTTCCAAGAGCGAAGGCACTTTGACGTGGCTGCTTTGGCCACGATGCCCGTGTTTTGACAGAAGGGCTCGATATCTCTGTCATGTCAATTTGGTACATATATCCGCGAGCGATGCACACACCTTCAGTCGCTACTACTGTGCGAACGTAGACGTGATGCTGGACTGGTGTACAGCTGAAAGCAGAGCTCTTCCGAACGAGGGCTCTACACGTGCTGTATAATGCAAGCTGCCATACGATACCGAAAATGCACCAATCAGAATGCGATATTGCGAACTTTCAGGCTTTCCCAATGTCGGCTTTGTTCACTCGTGACTCGAAATCGCGCAATTGGGGTGTCCTTCTGTGGTGAACCTTGGGTCGTTTCCCAATCTCTGCGACACCATACGCTTGATTGGTTGGCGACTCATACAATCTTAGGTCGTCTTCTGCTTTCTTCATCTACATCATATGAACCATGACAATGCTAGCGGTCGAACTTGTATGAGATTGGCTCGACCGCCTTGCGCTGGGGCTTTGCTGCTAGTTTACCAAAGATCTAGGAATCCGCCTCGAGTCGCCTTCATATAAAAGGCACTGGATTGTCCCACCGTCTTTTTCCTACCTCGAAAGACAAAGACTGCCTCCCGTCTTGTGCCCGCTGATCTGATCGAAGGGATCCTCACACCAAAGTAACCAAGACCCTATAGTTCCAAAACATTGCGTACTACTCACCCCTACTACAGCTTACTCCGTGTCGACTAATCAATCCAGGTCTCGACGAAAAATGCATTTCATCGTCTCCGTCTTTACCGCCGTGGCCGTCTTAGCCACGTTCACGATCGCCAGCGACGATGGCAACCGTATCGTTTGGCACGAACGCCCAGTCAGAGAGCAGTGGGGCTGCGTCACCACTTGCAGGGCTTCCTTTGTCAAGAACACCGAGTTCTACAGGACACAGTGCGCCGTCTGCATGGATAGGATCAGGAACACTGTGTGCCTTGGCTGCGCAGACGCCTTCAGGGCTGGAAGAAATAAGCACAACACGGACTTGATTTGCAACAGATGCCGTCATATTTGTACGTATTGTTGTACAAACCGCGTATGAGACACACTGACTTTGTGCTCGCACAACTAGCCGACTACGATTCTACTTCCGACTTCACAGATGACTCGATGTCGGACAAGGAAAAGTGGGAGGGTCCATCGGATCCCTAAAAAGCTTCACGGGAACCATATGCAACCAATTTTGGTAGCGATGGCATTGCTCTGAAATGGTGTTCCTACATCCATGGTTGTGGTAGAGAGTAGATTGGTAAGGATTAGGTGGATAGGGATTAGATTGGTAGCGAAGTAGAAACAAAAGCTATCGCCCATGAAACTTTGGGCACGAAACCCTGACTGAAGCGAACAACCCACGAACGCACTCTTTGTTCTTGGGCTTCCATTCGATGCCTCTGCAGTTACTTCCACTATGAGTCGTGACCTTGCATTTACTATAGTGGTGGGATTATACGTGAGTCGATCTCCTTTAGAACATGACAGTTGACTTACCCGATTGAAGATTTGTACCATGCGATTATAGATCCGACGTTCCGAAATGGGATGCAGCAATCTTGACCAGAGATAAGATTCATGCTGTAGGAAGGGCCGTCTCTGATCCCGCATTCGAGGCCAGTGTAGACCCATACCTTAGCAAAGTTTGGGGGCAAGACACCCGCAAATGGGCCGGCGGTTTGATAGGGTATCTCGGCGGCGACTGCCATCGTCGCTGGCACTGGTAGTGCTTCTGCAGTTGTTTCGGGTGCAGGCATGGCCAGAGAAGTGATCACCAAAGCGCTGAGGCCGACAAAGAAGGCGGAGAAGTGCATCGTGGCTCTATGGCTGGGTGAGACTCTGAGCTGGAAGTTGTTGAATTTGTTCCCATGGCGGTCATGGAATAGAGCTGAAGCCGCGCGTTATATACACGAAGCCTGCGATATTTCCACTACAGCGCTTTCCACATGCGGTCGGAGACAATGAACGTCCTTACGGCGAAAGTCATCCAAGTCATGGATGGACGCCGGCTACGCAAATCATTCTTGGATGTGTTTCATAGCCTGCGGGTTTGCGACCAGTGTGACCAAATCTGTGCGAAATGATATTGTGGTCAACAAAGACTTTTCCTCATGTGTCCAGCGTGTAGGACGACCTTGCATGGTAATCGTACAGTCCTTTTTTCCACACGTGACATCAATACTATATGCAAAACTGATCACAAGTACAATATCGCCATTTGGGAAATCTTTCTTTGCTGCGCGTGTTCCACCATGTGGTGTGTAGCAGTCAGTGTGGAATACCGCTAGTAGACCCAAGACGATGACAGCGCATGCGGCTAGAGTACCTGACGATAATCACATCCCCAAATCAGCCGTGCGTGTAGGACAGAGGTGTCAGTAGTCAAAAGCTAAAAGATCTTTGCTAGCTTCATGTAACCGGCACGGTAGCACTCACCTCTGAACTAACCTCACTACAGCTCATGTATCCAGTTCAACGATAACTGTTCCATCTTCCATGGATGAGGTTGTAAGCCACATCTTTCTTGATTACAATACAAGGCCAGACATTGTTTGCGTGTTTTCAGGGGAAAGCGAGTGTCAATAATTTCACGAGATCATATCGAGCTCCAGGTCAGACTGTTCATCAGTACGACAAGATTTGTTGCAAAGCGAGCAAATTACAAATTTCCACCTTCTCGGTAAACGTAATATACATTATGCTACAACAGACATTATATACTAAGTACGTAAGTAAAAGAGAGACTCGCGGGTGAGGTCGACATAAGGAAAGATTCGAAGACGAATGGTGCATAACGAGCGTTGCGACATCCAGTATGTGGGCTCAAAAAAACAACGGCAGCCTCATGGCAGTACGATCTGCACGGTCCTAGCAATGCTAGGAACACCCTCCTTTGAGATGACAAAGACGTAGTAGGAGCCTGGAATAAGAATACCGCTGTCATTGGGCAATGTAGCGGTGTACGTGCATCCCTCGCCCTTGATGTTTGAGAGTGGCACTCGTCGCTGGTCGGTGTTGACTGAGTGTGTGACGCTGCCGATGCGAACCAGGGTGAACTTGAGACCTGGTTCTGAGGTCTCGACTTGGATAGTCAGCTCGCCTCCAACTTTGACGCTTTCTGCGCTTAAAGAGCGAATGACAGGACGTGTTGCGGGAGTTCCGTCAGTATTGAACAGGTACGGCGGCGAGAAGATTTGGCCATCGGCGTGGTCGACGAGTTTGTTGCAATTGGCGGAGCTGCGGCCGACTCCCTGGGCGACGTAGCAGAGACCGCCACCACCGCTGAAGACACGTCCGTCGGCTAGCAAGATACTAACCGAGTGATAGTTGCGAGGTACGGCCTGTGGGGCAAGGACCTTCCAGGACTTTGTGGCTGGGTCGAAAAGTTCCGGGTAGAGAGCTCCATCGTCATCTGTGAACACCTTCGATCGTTTTTGGCCACCACTTACAAGGACCGTTCCGTCAGGCAAAACGACCGCATTGGAGAAACCGCGAGGATAGGTCATATCCGCGACACGCTCAACCCTTGCAGGAGAGTTCGGCTCGTCAATGGTAGTGATGTGGGCCCTGGCGTTGGCATCTGAGTCTGTGTAGTCAGGAGCACCACCAGCACTGAAGATCTTGCCGGCGACGGCATCGTACATGACAAAGATACCGCACATCGCGTCATCAATTGGGTCACGTATACCAGCGGCGACTTGCGATCCGGTTCCCTTTGTGCCATACCAGTTCATAGCTTTGCTAGGACCGGCTTGGAAAACAGAAGCGTTCTTCCAACCAAACAACCACGCATGGTTGTCTTCGCGCCAGATTCCTTCATGATCGGTCGTGAGCATAGCCTTCATCCTTGCGTTTGGCAATGCTGTCCAGGTGTTGGTGGAGGGATCGTAAACCTCGCCGTCTTTTCCCTTGCGGGGACCAGAGTAGGCACCTCCGATGGTGAACACGCGATTGTCGGATGTCGTCGTGGATGATTGGTAGCCACGGGCCATCTTCCTAATTCATATCAGTACCATTCTCTGATGACAATATTTGAGGAGACGTACATGTCGGGGGCGCGAGTGAAAGCATTCGAAGCTGGATCGTAGAGACTGGCTGCAGAAGCATCTGACCCTCCTTGAATCAAGAGCTGGCCATCTTGAAGACTGCTCATTGCAGGACAGAACATGTCGTGGTGAGTGTTGCTGACTGTACGGGCCGAAACAGCTCCACTGTGAAGACTGTCAGCATAGGCCGGTAACCTAATGTCAGTATGGCTTACGTATTGAAGTTGTAGTCCGCAAACTGGGTTCGTCCACCAGCACCACCGAAGGCGTCAGCTCCCCAACTAGAGAAGACGAGAAGACGTTGTGAGACAGGATACTCAGGAACGACATATGCGGCAACAGGGATGACAGGCAGGCGAATGAGATCTGACCATTCACCGTCTTTCGCGGGCGCGGGCGCGACGTTTAGACGCATCACATCGTAGCGTTTGTCGGTCGACCAGATCAAAGTGTTACTCCGTGAGTCGGCTTTGATGTGGCAAGCCATCTTTGCCGAGTCGTAAACGGCTGCGTTGCACGTAGCCCAGTTGGCACACAGGTAGGCGCAATCATCGAAAGTCCTTATACCCTGCCATATCTTTTCACTTGGTCCGCGGATATCGGTTCCTGGACAGATGCTGTATTGTTTCTGGTATTACAGTATTAGTTTGTGAAAATATGGTGTCTCCTTTCGAGAAAGCGAAAACAGACTTACCCGGTTTCTATGATAAGTCCACTCGTTGTGAGGGCAACGAGCGATGTTGACCTGCTCTGCTTGGATGACTTGGAAACGGTCATTGGCAACCCAAGTCAGGCCAGTAAGATCTTTGAAGTGGCAGTCTTTCGTCCGGGTATCAAAGACTGCCTTGAAACAGTCCATGCTCTGGTCGCAGAGTTTCGCGCATGCTGTAACCGAAGTAACTCGCTTTATTGACGTCGAAGGTCCAGTCAGATCGGTACCAGGACATACTCGATATCTGATACCTTCCGCTCCAGTGAAAACATCGTCAGTACCCGGGCAAGCATTAAGGGCGTGTGTAAAATGTAAAAGAGTGGCTGCCGAAAGCACGACGAAGAGATTGCGGACCTGCATTCTGGATACGAATTCAGACAACTGGCCTGAAGCAAGAATCGCAGTTCTGGCGTCAACTTCCTATATACTCGTTCCAGCTATGGTCCTGTACTTGTGACCCACACATAGTAGTTTGCAAAAGTGGATACCTTTGAAACAAGCGGGAGGATTGTAGACTTAACATCATATAGGGTAGCGTACTACTGAGATAGGAACTGTTCGTGAGTAGCTACCCTGTATATGTTCACCTATATATCGTATTTTAGTATGTTCGATAGCGCTAAAGGCTCCAAGTCCGGAGCTGCCAGGGGTTCATAGCAACGGTAGCGGGCCGAGACACCCAGCAAGGTTAGTGGTGATGCCACTATCGGTATGCTCGGCCTTCCTGGAGTCATGTCGTTGACTGCGCCTCAAGGAGATGCTCGAAAGGATCGCGGTTGTTTTGTCGTGATGTGGGGTGCTGCAACGCCGTAATGAGCTATTAGCGAACGCAAATGCGTACACCCGAGACTGACACAAGGTCAGAAAAGGTATGAATCTTGTCTCAGCTGTCGCTATGCCATAGTCTATGGCGAAGTACACGTCCTGAATAAGTGATCGAAGTATTACGGCTTCATACAAGCCAGCCGGCTGATGGCTGGTTCCCTGTCAGGCTGCTTGAAACGCCAAGGCTATCGCTCCACTCCACCCCTGCGCCCATCAGGGAGACGTTATCTACAAAAAAAGAACTCCAGTTGAATAACCACCGTTAAAACTCTGCCCCTGTTCTCAGCGCATGAGATATCGAGAAACAAGTCTATTGAAAATACAGTCGCAGACCCGCACGGCTTTAAAACGGCTCATGCAAATGCGCCGTATCATGATAGTATGGAGTCGCGACCGCGATAACAACACTAGACGAGCAAGTAGTAACAGACGTCGGCACATGACCTGGGGTACACGAGATAGTTGAGATACGCCGTTGTAGATGCGGATGGGGGTGCCGGAACGTTGGGTGCTACACCGGATCGCTGACTCGGAACTGAAAGGAGTTCGGTAAATATGTCATGACAGCCTGAACATCCTGGACGTTAATACCTGAGTCGGTCTAACGATACCATGAGATCCTGTCATGGTCACGGTCTCCATCGGACACGGTCAGGTATCGTCTTAGTCTTTGAGGACACAAATCTTGATCCTTGATACGACAGCTTCACCATCCTTGACCAGGCATCGCGCTCCAATTAGGAATTTGCCAAGTCCATGGACTACCGTTAAAGTTGATCGGAGCCTGTGTGAGATCCATAGGGAAAACTCCACTGTCTATGTTCATGCCATCGGTAACTCCTAATTGGGAACCAAGACTTCCCAAACCCATGAGCTCGGATGTCTGTGGGTTGGCGCTATCGGAACCTGGTGTCTGGAACTGCACCTCCGCCGCTTTTTCGTCCACAAGTGCCATCTTCCGTTTGATGTCCGTCACAATCTTTGGTGGCTCTGACTGTGCAGATACTGCCTCGCGCGCGGACCAAGCTTGAAGTACGAGTCCCGCAAATATGGTGAAGAAGGGGTTTTTCGGTTTTGTTTCGATTGGACTGTCCTTTACCTCGATATCCATCAAACGAGCGGCGCAGTTGTCGCTCATCGCCTGCCACGATCGGTCTGCATGTTCGCCTAGTGGCCGCCTTTTCAACGCTTGAACAAGATGAACATAGACGGGAAAGGGGAAATTCAAGTAGACGATCCAACGGAAGTTCTTGATGAGGGGTGATGTCATGAGCATTGTATCGCACTCAAGCAGCCGGAGCGCAAAAGCAAGACCGAGGTCGCGTTGCTCGTCGCTTTCCTGTCCAAACTTCTGCGAATTGGTCGATAAGTAATTTGCGAATCCGATCTTTGCAAGTGATGCGCGTGTCGTCCATATAGTCAGGAAGTGCAACGGGTTCTGGGCATCGCAATGCGCAAGATACTTTCGCTCCATCGTCGAATCGAACTCTGTAAGTTCATCGAATTCTGAATGAGCAGAGACGGAGGCCTTCTTCGAGAACGTTTTTAGGGCTGGGTTGATAAAATCCAGATGAGAGGGGCTTTGACGCACGAATTCGCCAATCTGACTGCGTATCACTGCAAGAGGGAGTATCCGAAGTCAGTGATGTCTCACATGTATTTTAAACAGTCAGAACTCACCTGCAAACAGTGCTTCGGATAAAACCCCGAACTCAGCAGGCTGAGTGCTCATCTCGGCCCGTAAACTGAAGTCATTGACATTGAGCGGAGGTTTGCAGTCCCAAGTTGGAAGCAAGCTAGTGGTCTTGCACTCAGTCATCTCGGCCATACGGTTATCGTAAAGTGTAAGAGACCACCACAGCCTTCTGCGGAGCTCGGCCTCGAGCACGGAGTGCCTGGCGTTGGTAGATTCTGTGTCGATACCCATTCGCTGGGCAATGCGAACAGCAGCTCCTAGCATAGACGACAGTGACCGTGGGTCTGTGTCAGGCTTGAGTGATATCAAGTAGAGATGAAGAGCTGTCAAACATTCTCTATCGCTGGATTTCAAAAATTCACAGTTCACTAGCGCCTCTCTTGCACCCACCTGATAACCTCTGATAATTTCTGATCTACGCCTTCCAAACATCGCTTGGCACTGCTCTTGATCCAGACTGAAGATAGCCATGCAGTAGATTGAGAACATGAGAGCCTCCAAATTAGGATCGATGTTGGAAATGTCGCTAGCGGCATCGATGATGCGTGCTTGGAGGGTGGGGGTATGGGTAAGCTTCAGCAATGGATCAACATTTTCCAGGTACAGTTGCCAGAGCTTGAAGATCTGGGCTTGTGGTGGATGTAAGGTTGAGAGGCTGACATCTGCGCTACGCGAGCAAAACAGCAGGTCCTCGCTGCGGTGCAGTTCGTGTGCGTAGAGACTAAACATGGTGGTACAAAGTCAGTGCATGCTACACATGCAATTTGTGTAGAGACACTCACTAATCCCATGCTTTCACAATTTGTGCTTGTCGTAGTGCGTGTCGAGACGAAGAACTGTGGTCAGAACCATCGTCGCTGGCGTTATCATCAGCATCGTATGCTCTTCGGTTCATGGCATGCCAAAAACTCCTATTGCGATTAGAAGTGTTTCTTCCCAGTGCTACAGCTTCTTCATACTTGGCTTGGGAATTCTCGGCATCTCCTGTGGAGGATGGCTGAGTCCTAGTGTGCTCCTTATCACGACTGTCGCTTCTTTCTTCGGATCGCGTTGGCGGGTTCGAAAACGCATGCAAGGCTTGGAAAGCAATGCCGTTTTTCGTAAGGAGATCCTCATAGTGGCGCAGGCGATCGAGCAACTCTCGCTCAGGAAATCTACGGCGTCTCTGCCGGGGTATTGTCGCAGCGGATATACATTGTGTACCAGCCTTGGTACAGTTGGAACAAGGATATTTTCGATCGCACTTGACCTTTCTTTGCGCGCACAGCACGCACGAAAGTACGCGCTGCGGCTTGCTTGCAGCAGCTAGTGGAGATAGAGCATCAGCACTGAGCTCAGGCGTAGGTATGTCCGAAGACATATTCAAGACGTTACTCTGCCCGCTGAGACCGAACTGGCGATCACGTATAGCAGCTGAGAATGTAAGAGACACCCTCAATAGCTGTGGGTGGGGAGGCGACAAATATCAGGCAACCACGCGCAAGCCGCTAAGCAGGACCCTGCTTATTTCCGGGCAACACATTATCGAGCTGAACACATTGAATGGGAGCATTGTCGATTGATGCGGCTAATACGGCCCTGGCGACGTGAAAGGCGTTCTGTCATGATGTCAACGGGGTGCGAGTGTCTAGAGAACGTATGGGGCTTACGTAACGCGCGCTCGCGTTGGTTTCAGTCGCGTTCCTCCAGCCGTTCACGCTCTGCTTAAGGCTGGCTTGTAGTGGCCTCGCATAGTCCATCAAAAGCGTTTTAATGCATGTCCACTTCATCTATACATGGATACGCGTACTTTACACGCGCAGATATGGCGACGCTCGTTGTTTACAGAAGAAACTCCTCTCTGCACGAAACAGTATAGCTTGAGCTTACGCGCACATGTCACCCCTGACCTCCTTCTAGAGAAGATATTGCGAAGATGGATAATTGACTCCAGATTACCTGGCAGGTGTTGGGCATGAGATAGTGTCTACGATGTAGACTCGATTTGACTGTAAGCCGCTCGGCCAGATCTAACACCCGACACCATCACGTGCTCTTCGACATAAGTCCTGACTCCTAGGACGACGGAATACAACGACATACCATAGCGCCAGTATAGACTCCAAAGATATTCTAGCTATGTTAATTCTCTCGCTTGTTTCGGGGATCTGCAAAAGCTGTAAGCTCCCCTTGTTCACCAAGGCAGCTCGCGCACCATGTCGGACATTTCTATTCCCCGAATGCATTCGTGTAGCAAGACACACTTCTCGGATTCTTGCACGTACCGAATGTACATATAATAGCCAAGGCTTCGTTTCCATGTTCGTAACACATCAAAAATCAAGCTTCTCTTCCATTCTTGGCTCGATCCTACCAACGTTTACATAATGACTACATCAACTCCGACTGACCCTCTTCCGGAGGCACGACCGTCCACCTTCACCCAGGATACCGAGAAAGACGACTTGACTCCGCCCCCGAAAACAAACGAATATGCCGATGCGGAGAAGAACTACGATCCTAAGTCGCTCAAGTTCTGGCTTATCGTCATCTCGATCTATCTCGCCTTCTTCCTCGTCGCTCTGGATCGCATGATCATTGGTACGCGAATTTCATATATGCTAGATTCAGTACTAACGAGTCTCAGCTACTGCTATACCGGCGATCACGAACACATATGGCTCCATTGCAGATATTGGCTGGTACGGCAGCGGCTATATGCTTACGTGCGCAATCTTCAATCCACTATTTGGAAAGATATACCAGCTGTACAGTACGAAATGGACATTCCTAATGTCGATCTTCATCTTTGAGGTGGGAAGTGCTTTGTGCGGGGCTGCACCTACTTCCGATGTTCGTAAGTAATACGCAAAGCCATAAGGTCTTCAGCATCCTGACCTTCATCATAGTCATCGTTGGTCGCGCAATCGCTGGCATAGGAGCGGCAGGCATTCAATGCGGTGCGGTCATGATCATTGTTCCCCTCGTCCCACTACGCAAGCGACCCGTTTTTACTTCTTTTTTCGGCCTCGCATTCGGAGTGTCATCTGTATTGGGACCCTTCGTTGGAGGCACCTTCACGGACAGCGCGTAAGCTATTCGATCTGCTCCTTGAATCAGTGCTGACCATATATTAGGACCCTGACATGGAGATTTTGTTTCTACATCAACCTTCCTGTGGGCGCTTTGGCTTTTGCTACCGTCTTCTTCTTCTTACATCTCCCCTATACGCCGAAAGAGAAGCTGTCCATTTTCGCGCAGCTCAAGCGCCTCGATCCAATAGGCCTCACTTTTTTCGTGCCTTCGATGGTATGCCTCATCATGGCTCTGCAGTGGGGAGGTACGACCGATCCCTGGTCGGCACCGAGAATCATTGGCCTGCTCGTGACTTTCGTAGTCACGTTCGTCGCGTTCCTAATTGTGGAGTTTACAATGCCAGACACGGCTATGGCTCCGCCTCGAGTCATTTTGAACCGTTCTATGGGTGGTGCCATGCTTTTCATCTTTCTTCTCGCTGGCGGCATGATGAACGCTGTGTACTACCTCGCGATCTGGTTCCAGGCAGCCCAGGGCCAGTCTGCCATGCAGGCTGGTGTACGTACGATACCGATGGTCCTGTCACTCGTTCTCTTCGGTATCATCACAGCGGTGGCTACCCAAAAGATCGGATATTATGTTCCTGCTATGCTCCTTTCGCCCATCCTCGCATCGATCGCTAGTGGCCTCCTTTCTACACTTACCCCACACTCCCACGCAAGCAAATGGATCGGCTATCAAGTATTCTACGGGTGTGGACTTGGCGTTGGAGCACAAACGGCAAATCTGGTAGCGCAGACTGTGTTGCCCCGTTCAGACGTCTCTCTTGGCATGGCGATGGTAAGTGGTGCCTATACGAAATGCATATAAACATACACTGACTTCGCATCTTCACCTCTGCAGATGTTCTTCATGAATCAACAGGGTGGCGCCATCTTTCTTGCTGTTGGGCAGAATCTGTTCTCGACTCAACTTGTGGAGCGGTTATCCGGCATTGCCGGTCTCGACACCAAAGCCATCATCAACACTGGCGCCACAGAGCTTCGCAAAGTGGTGCCGGCGAATGAGATTGACACGGTGGTTTCAGCTTATAGCTATTCATTGACACGAGTGTTCATCTTATCAGCAGCCCTCAGCGCTTGCGTAATGATCGGGTCGCTGATGGTTAAGTGGGTAAGCATCAAGAAAGATGCTCCGAATCCAGAGAAAGCGGTGTCGCAGGACGTGGAAGCAGGTATTGATGCGAAAAGTGAGCGCTGAGAAGGCTGCCGTTATTTGGGTCAGGGTAATTGACACCAATCGGGGCATTTAGTTTGTGTTGGAAATGTATATGCAACAAGGCAAGAAAATGAAAGTAGTTCGAATAGCATATTAACAGCCTCGTTTGACTCAGCCCTTCCACACTGTTGAGGTCACCAATGGCATGAATACACAATACATGCTTGACACTGATTGTTCAATTCTTTCGTCCCTATAGTTGTCAGGACGACGTTCGCGTCACCAAACGCTGCATCATACTATGCAAGACGAGGATCGAACAAATGCGGACACTGCAAGCGCTTTCCCACAGTCCACGTTGGCTTAGAATATGGAAGCCCACAAATATTAAGGGCCTTGTAGATTTCTAAGATACATTTCAAAAAAGAAGACATGACTTTCGATGAGCTTCGGTATAGCAGACAGAGTAAACAACAGGATGGCAAAGGAGAAAGTTGAAGAATTTCGGTTTCTTCCGTGACTAAAATGTATGATTTCTTTTGACAGTGCCAATGACGCGTCTAGACAAAACCCTGTTCTTCATGATTGACTAGCCAGATTACTAACGTCAGCACTGCGTATCCTCTCATGAGACACCATTAGTTCTTTTGGAAACCACTCCGCCAATTTCCCACCTGGCCTTCCTGGAACCTTTGGTAATTCATCGTCTTCACTTCCGGCAATCATGATACCAAGAGCTGCTCCTGAAAGCCAGGCCCACACCATGCCCTCTCCGGAGAAACCTGCTGCAATCCACTCTCCACAATGGTACTTGTCGCTCGACGTCCGCTTTTGTTGTCTCGTATCCCGCCCTGTTAACTTTGTATCCAAGCGACCGACTAGTGGAAGAGAATCTCCTGTCAGGCCGATGATACCTGACCAGGTTTGCTTCAATTCGGCACCAACACCCCAATTTGGATGAAATATCGCTGGAAAAATGCCTGCAATGTGTGTAGTGGTCAAAGGGTCGAGCGGAGAGCCATCGTCATATCGACCGACTTGATCGATACCTTGCTTTAGCGATCGCAGGAAACCGCCTCCGATCATCAGATCTCCTTTGGAATCACCTGCGGCTGGTGGCCTTTGTGTGACGTAGTCAAACCCCTCACCGTAAACAACACTCCAGGAGTGCATGCCATCAGCATATGCGAAATTTTGTCCTGGTTTTTGAGCAGACATATGGGCTTGTGCACCCACGATCTTGCTGCGTAGTCCTGGGACGAGCTGACTAGCGAAGGCGTTGGTAGCGTGAACTACGTGTCGGACAAATACAGTTCCTCGAGTAGTCTGCAAAGCGTACGGGAAGCCTTCCGGGGCATCTTTTGGAACACTTATCGACTCTACAGGGGTATTCGTCTCAACAGAGAGACTATGTGAGAATTCGTCCAGAATGCCACGCCAGATAGATGCAACAAACCGGTACGCCCAAATAGCCCCTGCTTGGTAGGATAAAGCACCGACGACGCTATTATTGACGCCAAACCTCTGTCTTTATTAGTTCCTGGGTCGTCTCGATTAGTTGAGGGATGTCTCAAACCTCATGTGCTTGATTGCTATTCCATACTGCAATCTCAATTTCTGGCAACCACCTCTTCAATTCGTCAATATCGGCGACGGCCTTGGAGAAACTTTGCTCATCCAGGAAAAAGTCAACAGTCTCGACCCTCCGAGCTTCGGCAGCATTGATGCCTTGGCTTTGACATAATTCGATCAAACAATTGATATGTAGAGATTGAAAACGCGCCAGTGCAGCAGCGCGATCTTTTGGGAAGAGCTTGCTGAATCGAGAAAAGGACTCATATATCGAAGGTTTGATGTGGCCGCCATTTCGAGCGGTGGCACCGCTGCATAGCTGTCTCGCGTCGAAAACGATCACCTTTTCATTCGTACAAATGTTACGACGGCGTCGCTCGTGTAACAATGACCGCGCGACAGCAGCGCCGGCGATTCCGGAACCAATGATAGCCACATCTGCGGTCTGCGGCAATTTGGGCGAACTTACATTAACAAGTTCAGGATATGGAGGATCGTTGAGCCAGTACGGCTGGGATGGTTTGGGGCTTGGGAGACCTGGAGGCTGCGATGCACGCTTCAAAGCCTGATTGAACTCGGTAGACAAAGCTTTCAGAACGGAAATTGTTGAAATTAAGACTCTCCATGTGTTCTGCAAAAGCGAAAGCACTGCCCCCATTTTGATGTAGATGATTTGTGAAGTTCCGAAAATGATTGGGAAACCTGCTTGTCTTAGAGAACTGGAGAAAGATCCTAGAGCAACACGTAACGCTATACGATGTGCTTATCGTGATTAGGCTTAGCTACAATACCTACAGGCCCACTATTTTCACAACTACCTCAAGGTTCAATTCCACGACTTGGATTTCCAGAACAACCGAAGATATTAGCCGATTGTTAAATGGTACACAGTAGGTCCGCCCGGTAGGCTACAGGGTGTGTGAACAGTAGCGCACATCGCCGTTGAAGCCTTTGCTAATTGGGGGTCCTGCATAGCTTCAAGATGGGTATCTGACAACGGACCGGATTCAACTTCCAGGACGGAAGACATCAGCCAAGTTTTCATCGGTAAATAATAAGCTTATCTGGTTTTCCTGTCACATACGACCATAGGACACTGAAAATTAGGCTTCCCGTCCGCTCAGCCATATACAAGCAGTGTACCGGCGGATTAGTAGTTAGGTGGGTGACCACTAGCGAATCCCCGCTGTTGTATGTTTTTGCGCCTTTTTGTTCCTCGCAAGGAAAGGACGGAGAGAGTGTGCTGGATCGTGGCGGTTTGCTACACAAGGCGAGCACTGGCGTAATAGAAGATGAGGCGGGCAACTGCTTCACTTTTTGTATATTGGCGGACGTTTTGGGAACTGAGGATCTATCATTTTTCGTGTATCGTGAAAACCGAAGGTGAATCCGCCTGTAACGCCAACTCCAATGCATATGAAATCCTATCTTTCATCGAGTATCCACTTTAACCGACCCATCGCCTGGCACTCTTGAACATGCGCGACCACGGGCCGAGCTCACCCCATCCTTCGGTATCCCGTGGGATGTAGCTACCCACCTCCTTCAAGATGGTTCGCTCGGGGTGCGGCATGAGCGCCAACACCCTTCCATTGGTACTCCTCACACCGGTGATACCCATTGGACTGCCGTTGGGGTTGTATGGGTATGTCTCGGTCTGCTTTCCGTAGTTGTCGACATAGCGGAGGGAGACGAGGTTCTCGTTGTACAGGGTTTGTGGGCTGGAGACAGAAGAAGCCGAGTTAGAGAAGTGAGCGCGTCCCTCGCCGTGTGCGGTGACAATGGGAAGTTTGGAACCGGCCATGCCGTGCAAGAAGACGGATGGTGGTGTGTTGGGTCCTTTGGGATCGAGAACTTCAACCATACAGACACGCGCCTCGTATTGCTCGGATGCGTTGCGCTCGAAGCTTGGCCATAACTCCGCACCAGGAATGAGTTCCTTAAGCTTGCTCATGAACTGGCAGCCGTTGCAGACACCAAGAGCAAAGGTGTCTGGGCGGTTGAAGAAGGTTTGGAACTCTTTGCGTGTGTTGGGATGCAAGAGGACGGACTTTGCCCAACCTTGACCTGCGCCGAGTACATCACCGTAGGAGAAACCACCGCAGGCTGCAAGACCCACAAATCCAGCGAGTGAGACTCGTGAAGAGATGATGTCAGTCATGTGTACATCAATGGCAGTGAATCCAGCTTGATGGAAAGCGAATGCCATCTCTGCTTGACCATTCACACCTTCTTCGCGAAGAATGGCCACACGCGGCTTGGCAGTGAAAGGTGATTTGAGGTTAGACATGAAGGGTAGGATATTTTCAGCGGGTTTGAAGGTGAGGTTGTACGAGAGACCAGGGTCCTTGTCGTCGAGGATGCTCTTGAATTCGGTGTCGGCGCAAGCAGGGTTGTCACGAAGCTTCTGCATCCGGTACGAGGTCTCCGCCCAGCGTTGCTGAAGCTTCTGGCGGCTGTTGCGGTAAACGCATTGAGTGCCGACATAAAAGGAAACGTCTTGTTTGGGCGCTTCTGCGACACGACCGATCTTCTTGATCATACCTGGAGGTGGTCCGCAAGTTGCAAAGCAGCGGTTAAAGGCAACTTCATCCTTCTTTCTGACCTGGAAGACAGCTCCGAGCTCTTCGTTGAACAGTGTTTCCAGTACGTCCTTGGGCTCGCTCGACGAGGCGACGCCATCGAGCATGATCTCAACACCGCATCGTCCGGCAAAGGCCATTTCAGCGAGGGTTGTGAAGAGACCACCGTCAGACCTGTCGTGGTAGGCGAGGACGATTCCAGAGTCATGGAGTTGTTCGATAGCGTCAAAGTAGTCCTTGATGATATCGGCATCGTAGACATCAGGCGCTTCGTCGCCAACCTGCCCGAATGTCTGCGCCAAAGCAGAGCCGCCCATGTGCTTCTTGCCCGCTGCTAGGTCGACAAACATAAGAATCGTCTCACCAACGTCTTCGACTCTCTCCAGGGCGGGCGTCCAGGTTCGGTCAATGCGGTTGACAGGTGCAAACGCCGTAATGACGAGCGACATGGGTGCAGTAACTTCCTTGGCCTCCCCGTTGTCCGACCACTTCATCTTCATGCTCATTGAGTCCTTGCCGACGGGGATAGATATACCAAGTTTAGGGCAAAGATCCATGCCGATGGCCTCAACAGCCTCGTACAGAGCTGCACCCTCTCCGGGATGACTGCTTGCGGACATCCAGTTGGCCGAGAGTCGGACTCTGGCAAGCCTATCGAAGAGACTCGCTGCAGCGATGTTCATCAGAGATTCCGCCACAGCCATCCTGGCGGATGCTGCTGGGGAGATGAGCGCCAGTGTAGGCTTCTCACCCATAGTCATAGCCTCGCCAGTCTTGACACCAGCCAGCAGCGATGTAGCTGTTACCGATACATCAGCCACCGGGGTTTGCCACTTGCCAACCATCTGATCGCGAGCGGTAAGGCCGCCCACAGTTCGGTCTCCAATAGTGATAAGGAAAGACTTGGATCCTACAGCTGGGAGAGTGAGAACTCGGTCTACGGCCTCAGCGACCAAGCCATCCTTAGGCGTGTCAGGGATGTACATTGACAAGCTGCTGTCAAAAGCAGGAAGCCTCAGCTTGCGGCTCTCAACAATGCGCGACATCTTTGGTGGCTTTCCAAACAGTGTAGCCATTGGAAGGTCGATGGGTGTAGGGTTCTCCTTGGAGTCCCTGTCATTCAGCACCAGACGCTGCTCTTTGGTCGCTTTGCCAACAACGGAGTAACCGCATCGCTCTCGGTGGCAGATGCGCTTGAACAGGTCGAGCTGATCAGGACTGACTGCAAGTACATACCGCTCTTGAGCCTCACAGCACCAGATCTGCAGTGGGCTCATGCTCTTGTCAACGTTGTCTATCTCGCGTAGCTCAAAGATGGCACCAAGACCAGAGTCGTGAACGAGCTCGGGAAGTGCGTTTGACAGACCACCCGCTCCGACATCGTGAATGAAGAGGATGGGGTTCTTGTCGCCCATTGAGCGGCATGCGTCGATGACTTCTTGCGCACGTCTCTGCACCTCGGGGTTGCCTCGCTGCACACTGGCAAAGTCGAGATCGACCTTGCCCTCGCCGGATTGGATACTGGATGCCGCACCGCCACCGAGACCGATAAGCATGGCGGGTCCACCGATGACGAGGAGATGCGAGCCAGCTGGTACAACGTCCGGGTCCTTGAGCGCGTGCTGTGGCCTGACCGTTCCGACACCACCTGCTAGCATAATAGGCTTGTGGTATCCTCGTAACTCTGACTCCTTCTCGTTTGTGAAGACGCGCATAAGCATGGTGCGGAAGTAGCCCGTGGTGCATGGGCGACCGAACTCGTTGTTGAACTGGGCGCTGCCGATGGGTGCCTCGAGCATGATGTCCTGGGCACTGGCGATGTGCGAAGGCTTTCCGACATCTTTCAGCTCCCATGGGCGCTCAAAGCCCTCGATGTTCAGGTCAGACACAGTGAAGCCTGCCAGTCCGGCCTTGGGCTTGGAACCCCTTCCGACAGCTCCCTCATCTCGAATCTCACCTCCAGAGCCCGTAGCCGCTCCCGGGAACGGTGAAACGGCGGTCGGGTGATTGTGTGTCTCGACCTTGCAGAGGATGTGTACCGTCTCTTTGGTGCCGTGCCACTCGCCTGTGAGATCGTTGGGCGCCCAGAAGCTGGCCTCCTCGCCGTTCAAGACGGCAGCGTTGTCGCTGTATGCGCTTACGACGTGGTTGGGGTGCTTCTGGTGGGTGTTGCGGATCATGCCAAACAGCGACATGGACTTGCGCATGCCGTCGACGGTGAACTCGGCATTGAACTGCTTGTGTCGGCAGTGCTCCGAGTTGACCTGGGCAAACATGAACAATTCGACGTCGACCGGGCCTCTCTTCAGCTCCTGTGTGTAGGCCTCGACGAGATAGTCAATCTCGGACTTGTCCATAGCCAGGCCCAGCTCCCTGTTGGCGTGGTCCAGGGCGGCGTGGGCGCTGTTGTACTCGTCGAACTTGATGGTCGTCGCCTGGGCCGGCTCGCTCTCACCAAAGATGGCATCGAGATTCGGGGCGGTGCGGCTTATCGTCTGCGTCATGCGGTCGTAGAGGTGGTCGCGGTTGGGGATCTCGTCGGCCTCGAGGGTGCGGTCGAAGGTGGCGGCGATGACCATGCCGCGCTCGACGCGCTTGACTGCATTCTCAAGGGTGCATGTGCGCGCAATCATGGAGGCGAGGGAGCTCCATGGCGATATGGTGCCAGCCCGTGGGCAGACGTAGAAGAGGACCGTGTTGGCGTCGCGAGGTTCGCCGCCGCGGTGGACGGCGTCGAGGAGGGCCTGGGAAAGGCGGTCGTCGCTGCTGGGGTACTCGCCATAGTGGAGGAGTTGCTGCAGTGTCTTCAACTCGTCGTCGCTGAGTTGCTTGAGGGGGTTGACAAAGTGCACCCAGAGCGAGCGCACTTCCTTTGCGCCAATGGCCTGGGCTAGGCGCTGGAGACGGAAGTCGGAGTAGGCCGACGAGCCCGGGAGGATGAGATATGGGTCCTCGTTTGACGCCATCTTGTGTGACGCCTAATCGGTTTGTTCGAGTCGATATCGCGGGTGTCCGAAGACAAGAGCGATCACGGCCGTCTTCACATGGATGGCGGGGGAGGGGAAACTTTCACAAAAAAAAATCGGCGCGCGTCACTGCCGCCGCATCCTTGTCCTCCTCCGATGTACACTCCATAGAGGGCAACTTCTCGCTTTAGTGTCCATTAGACACAGCGCGATTGCGCAAATCTCCTGCACGTCTCCGGCTATGCTGCGAGTTTCTAGTATTCCATCTTTTCTTCTGCGCTCTTAGAAGGCGCCGCCGAAATCTACCACGATTGGGCGCGAACGTACATATCTCTCTCCTGGCCCGACATCGCAATGATATGCAACCCGGTTAAGAAGACCATACCTTGACGGAAGCCCGACGGGAAATGCTGTATACAATTCCGAAATACATTAGTCGTTGTGCTGATTCGATGTTGTCGGCTATAATCGGCACCCGTTTGACCAGCGTCCATACGCGCATACAATTATGGGACATGATAAGCGTGTCGGTGTCGGTATATCAACTACCCAAACACCAAGCGCTAACTACAATCGTGAGGTAGACAAGACAGCAGCGTTTCTTGTTCCTTCACTTCTTATACATCTTATTGTCTCATAGCTAAACTGCATCGTATACAATGCCTAAGCACATCGCCATCGCCGGTGCTGGTATTACAGGCCTCGCGTGTGCCTACCTGCTCTTGGAAGCTGGCAACAAAGTCACCATTGTAGCGCGAAACTTATATGGCGACAAGTCTACTGAATGGGCTAGTCCATGGTCAGTCAGCTATGGCTTCGACTCTACCATGACATGTCACTAACCTGGTCGACATTTGCAGGGCAGGTGCCCTCCTAGCACCACATCCTAACACTGGTTTCAATGATCTCCAACTGGCATCAATCAACTTCTACAGCCATCTTCTAGATACGGTCCCGGAAAGTGGAGTAAAGGTTAGCTACTTCTAAACCCGGTTAAACATTTACTGAATCTAGAGTAAGAGGATTCGCATAACCGAATACTACGATGATAGACCCCGAACAGCACCTGTGTGGTACAGACCTTATATGCAAAACTTCCAGATGCTCCAAGAATCTCAACTTCCCCCTGGCGTTACACTAGGCTACTCTTACAATGGACTCGTCGTCAACCCGAACGACATCCTCCCCTGGCTAACAATTCAACTCCGGAATCGAGGAGTCAAGTTCATCCAAAAAGCTGTATCCTCTATGCAGGATTTACAAGACCTAACCGCAGCAGATATAGTGGTAAACGCCAGCGGTATAGGCGCACGAGGTCTTGCAATCGACCCCACCGTCTACGGTATCCGCGGTCAAACAATGTTTGTCGACTGCGCAACCTCTGGAAGATCTTCTCTGCTAGACCAAGCCATCCTACATCAAGGCTCTCATTACACGTATTGCATTCCTCGCTCGTCAGATGGCGGCATAATCTTGGGTGGCGTCAGTCAACCGTCCAACACTCAGACTCAGCCAGACAGGAGTTTGCGACCGGACATTCTTGAACGCGTCAACACGATGACTAACGGGAAGTTCGACTGGGTTGATCTAAACAAACATGGTGAGGATATCGTGGGGTTCCGACCTGCGAGAGAAGGCGGCCTGAGGTTGGAGAGAGAGGGTCACGTAGTGCATGCGTATGGCGTTGGTGGATTGGGGTATCTATATGCTTTTGGGGTAGCGGAAAGGGTGAAAGACCTTGTCGAGGAAAGCGTTAAGGCGAAGTTGTGAGCGGGATACATAGCAACCATAGATAAAGCCTTTAACACGTCGAACGGATAGCACCACAATATATTTTCAAGCATATTGACTTTATCATTACCGTACTAGTCGACAACCCCATCCATCCCAGGCCGCCTCAAAAGCTATCCAAATGTACACCCACACCCTTCTCCGCAGCTAAATCCATCAATGACTTCCCAATTGCGATATCCATGATACCTACTCCAACGCTCTTATATACCACAAATCCTTCCTCAAGCCACTTCTGTACACCTTCATCCTCTCTCAACCCGTCTATCTTCCCCGCCTCGAGCATCTGTTCTGGTTTCAATCCAGCGGCCACCAACTCGCCAGCCTCATCCATGCATCCCTTGATACTATCGACTGTAATATACCCTTGGTGCACTTGAGACGCAAAAGGGCCGGAAGGGTTGGTGATATGCTTAAGCAGTTCGGGGTCAATCTCCTGCATGTCCAGACGATAGGAGCCAATCGCAGAGATGAACCGGGATTTACTAAGACCAGAGTCGGACAAAAGGTATGAGGCAGGGAACAAGGGAGATGTGCTGGGTGTCGTGCAAAACATGACATCTGCTTCGGTGATCAAGTCTTCCAAACCATTCTCCTTCTCTTCAAAAACTTCCATCTTGATATGGGACCCCACTTTCGACTGTGTGAGTGAGTCTACTAGGTCCTTTGCTCTTGCACTGGATCGGTTTACAATCGTGATCTTTCGGATGTCGTCCCCTTTGAGAAGAATAGCAAGGCGTATGTGCCACTCCGCCTGCTTCCCCGCTCCAAATACAATGATGTTTTCTGTCTTCTTCCGGTACCGATACAACAACATACTACCCAGCGACGTCCTAAATGCCGTCAACTCAGCTGCATTTAACACGCCTACAGCCTGACCCAACTCATCGCAAATGGTAAGGACACTCCGCAATGCAGGCTTGGGCTTCTCTCCAGGCGGAGGCGTTTGAGATGGTGCGACACCGACCATCTTTACGCCGATAGATGATGGTGTCGTTGCGGGCATGAAGAGGCTGACTTGACCATTTGGTCGAGTGACATTGGCGCGGTGTGGTTGGTAGGGAAGTTCATCGTTGCAAGAATATTGGATGAGAGCTTGGTTGAGAGCAGACGCCAATTCTTGGACGTCAGATTGAGAGATGTTATGAAGGAGGGTCTGAACGTCAGCGTCGGAGAGGATAGTGAAAGTCATGGTGCTTGACGGAAGGGCCGAATCTAGCGAGACGGTTGGTTTGATATCGTCCGGTTGGTCACTTCCTTTGCACTTGATAACCTTTGGACTCTTTTAGTGATAGAGATCTGACTCCTAGTTGTCTTCCGTTGTTAACCCGATGTCGGTGTGCTTCCCTGTTGCCTGGTATCGATTTCCCCGCTATACGCGGAGATACCTGCCTGCGGGTATTGTCGGCCCACTGGCCCCACCATACTCAGGTACCTTGGACAGTGGGCAGCAAATGGACAGTTCGGCATCACACCGTACGAGTGAGGTCCAACATCAAGATGCGCAGATACCTAAGTCTTTGTTAGCACAACTTGTCGCGAGTTTTGTATCTTATATCTTACTCAGACGCACTCTTGTTGCTATAGCTACTCGTTGTCAGGCTAATAATTGGTAGTACGTCACCTACCCAACCGCCTGTTTGGCAACAGCACTTCCTCGACTCATGGCTGCCATTGTGGCCATGTGCGATGTGACTGGGTTATAGGGGAAGTTGGTTCTTCCTGGTCAGAACGAGGGTTGATGTCGCCCAATCTACGAAACACATCCCCACAACTCTTTCGTCGGATATATCCCAAGCGTGGGGTACCAACTGGTTCTGAAACTGATTTCTGAAGTATCAAGCTCCCATCTACACTGCCCGGCGCTTCTGGTGAGTGAGTGACTAGCATATCATCCTTGATCATGTCAAGAAAGTTGCTATAGTCTCCTGTGCAGCGATGATGTTCTCGCAGCTCTTCAATCACCTGTGATAGGTTAGTGGTGGTGAGGTGTGAACAGCTAAATTCAAGGCCGCTCCGCAATATGTCCAAAGAGTGATTCGGGCATAAATAGTAATAACACGTGAATATGGAGATCTCAGGCTTACCTTGAGGACCGCTGGCTTCACGTCGGCTGTTTTCTCACCTTCTCTCTCGACTATCGTGAAGAAAGTGTCTGTTCGCATGTTCGCCATACGAGGATCAGGTGCCAACCGCTGCTCGCCGAACCTTTGGACTAGTCTGTAACCACCAAAATACCAAGCGACAAATTCCAGGTATACGCATCCGAGGGCCCAAACATCGCAAGCAGTAGTAAGCTTGCCGTCAAGATCACTCTCTGGTGACCGATAGGTAGGCGAGTTCGGCAATTTACCAGTCTTCTGGGTATCCCACATGTTCTCTGTATTGAACCGAGTCACTCCAAAGTCGGTAATTTTCAGGACGCCATGACCACCCGTAGTCTGGGAATCTGGATACCAGAGGATATTCTGTGGTTTCAGATCACCATGACGGCCAAACAGATTTCTGGTCGAACGATCGGCATTTGCACTACCAGTGTAGGTGGCATGGTGTCTATCTGTCTCAGTCCTGCTGGAAAGTTTGAAAGCGTCAAGGATAGACGTCCCGGAGAATGTCGCATAACGATGGACGCTGTTGAGTCCATCTGCAAGCCCTCGACATTGCTCTATTACCCATGCACCTGTCTGGTCATGTTCTGGGGGCGCCTCTTGACGTCGCTTCCAATAATCGAAAAGATCGGCATCGGCCCATGGGAAAATAAGATGGTATGCTGCGCCTTGTTTATAGGTGGCTAGTAAAGTGATGAGGTGAGCATGAGCATGCTTGCTGGTACTGAGTCTTCTCAGAACAGTAACCTCTTGGCGAAAGGCTCTGTCATCTTTTGACTTCAATGTCTTGACTGCATAAATGTTGAGGCCACCCTAGTTTGCGAGGTCTGTTAGTTATTTTGCATCATAGTCAGGTGTAGTCAAAACTTACTTTCGGTTGACATAAGTTATGATGGTCAGGATGAATCTTGGCTTTAAATACCTTGCTAGAGCCCCCCTCTTTCGCGATAGTTGTTTCCGGGAGGAATGGTAAGATCGATTCACACTCGAAGTCGTCATGTGGGACAATTCCATCGGATCCGGAAAAAACAGGCGCAAGTACTGACCACTGTCGGTCCAGAAACTCATCGGCATCTTCTGGTCTTGTAAACTTTATGTTGGCAGAACCAGGTGTGTTTCGACTAGTTAATGTAGCTGACCGATCAAACCTACCCAGGTGCTGAGCCTTTTTGAAGGGAAGTTGGTCATCGCAAAGCCCGGCCTTGACAAACAGTCGGATCTTAGAAGGTCGTTTCATGAGATATAGTATTGCAAGTATCTTCCTGTATGACTCGTAATTCTTGGAAACGACCGGAGCTTTCAACATTCTGGACGGCTTGCCAACGGACTTGTTTGACTTGGAGAGTTCAGCTTGGATAACTTCATCTCGCACGATATCTCGGATTTGCGACTCTGGTATAAACTTCTGTTGGCGATAAGAGGTTTGTGAAGCTTGCTGAAGCTTCCTGGTCATTGGGTGAGGATCTTGGAGTCGTAATCTTCCCAACCATCTTTGAGCCAACACGACTGCTGTAAAGGTGCCAGAATCGGGCTGCGCATGCCGTTGCTTGACGAATGAGTCTTTTGTTTGCTCTATCTTCTCTGCTGTTCCCCTGGCAATGTTGAAATCTCTGACTTCCTTGGTGTAGCCATCAGCGACAGACTGAGCAGTCTTTAGACTGCTTGAACTCCAGCGTAAGCTAGCGGCACCAGATGGACGATGTACCAAGTCTCCTAATGGTCTCGTTAGAGGGCTGAACTTAGCATATGCGTATGTATCCGAACCTTGACTAAACAAAGGCACACTTAATGGGCGGGCCTTTGGCTGTGGGTCTATATGACTGCGTCAGCCATTGAGCCTGAAACTTGTTGCACTAACAACGCACCTCGAGTAGCGGTTCCGGTGGGGTTGTCTACCCGGTGAGCTCGCTCTTTATTGCTTGTGGACGCGCTTGCTGACGCACGTCTGCTGCGTGGCACTGGATTCAGCAATTTTTCCTGGAGTTTCTGGCCTAACGGGTACATTAGAGCGGTGTTCAGAATTTGTGGCCGAGCATGACGACCAACGAATCCTAAGGCAAGGAAAACACTGGAGCAACAAACATGTCAACAAATCGAGTTGATCTCCTAACCTTAAAGCTTCCTCAGGCATAGCACTCCTCGAAGAAGCGATTGGGTGTGGGGTCCAAGATTGCGGGATTGCGATACCCCTGCAGGTGGCACAGGCTCAAATTTGCATGACCACAATATGACCATTCTTCACCATGCCGCTAATCCATACACTGAGCGAACTAACCCCCAGTTTTACCTATGCCCCGATATACCGGTCTGATCCCTCTACTGGCAAGGTCATAGCGCGCGGTCTTAGAATCCGACTGCCTCACTCGTAGTGACTGAGAACATCTGAGGCCAGAGTACGAGATATAAGCCATCCGCTTCAACCTGTCAGCTGCCGCCACACTTGGGGCTATGTTAGGTAAAATGTCCATACCTCGGGTTGCCCGGTTCACAAGACTGGTGAAGCTGAAAGAGGCAGACGGGTGACATCTACGCCTTCAACATGCCTCAGCCGCTAACGGAGTTGGTGTACTGGGTACAAGTGTGATTGGTGCTTGACGTACGCCGGATTGGAGTAACAACGCCATGTCAACAAAGAGCTCAGCCTACCGGGCAACAGAGCGCCGAGTATAACAGCGCGTTCAGGGCAACTCTTGCAATCCGACGACATGTATCTTCATCTTTAAGCTTCCGTTCAAACGATGACTGCTCTTAAGAAGCTCTTGCCTTCCGCTAATTCCCCAACGAAAAAACGAACATTTTCGGACCCAGAGCAACCGGCGCATCCCAGCGGAAGCAGCGTTCAACCAATTGACGTCATGGACATAGACCCAGGAAAGTTGATGGACAAGCTAAGACTGAAGTTTGGATCGGAGTTCGAGATTCATGTGGGTAGATTCCTACAGAACGGCGAAGTTGGAGTTTACTAATCCTAGACACCAGATGATGCATAATGTGTACTGTATCAAAGCGCCTGGGCTGCTTACAGCGGTAAGTTCGATGATCTTAGTTCATGCCCACAGCCGCCGTGTCTAACGTTGCATAGGACGATATCGAGGAGTGCCGATAACAGAAACCAACTATAAATACTTAGAGCTCGCGGATACTGTACAGATGTACAAAGCATGGCGAATGTTGCAGTCGTTCAATTTCTCGTGTGATCGAATCGTATCCGGGTGTGCTGTGATGATCTTGGGAAGGTGGGAAGGAGGAGCAGCGGGTCGCAGCCCTGGAGATGTCAGGGGGCAGCGCTAAGTACGGAGGCGAAGTGGGGCAGTGCCTGGGCTGCGAGGTGCGAGGCTATCTCACCCGAACGTCTTCACTTGACAATGATCTTGTGTTGATGGTACCTAGGATACACGGCTGTGTATACTGCTGTATCTGTTAGCCCTGCTCTAGCGCAACATCAAGCACGATTGCGAAATGTCACGCGATCTTATGACATATTACTTTCTACCAGACTGGGGCCAAAAACGCCACCCCCCACGTTTCGCGCCCCAGCGTTGCTATCTGCTGCAACGCTGCAGGCTCGATTGGAAGTATTGGAAGCGACTGCAGGTTGTTCGCAATATCGGCGTACCCCTAAGATGATGTTGAAACATTATGCGCTTTGCTGCGCCGCTTCACGATGCATCGGCTGTGTTTCCTGTTGAATCGTTCAGTTGAATGAAGGGAGTTTGCCTCGTTGCCTACTTGGACGTCGTCGAAGGACCCATTTGCATGTTGTCACATCAAATACAGACCTCCTCCTCGGCTATGTATTGGAAGCCGACCGAGCAGCTTTCGCGTGTCTCGTCTCTGTCTACCAGGCCTTAGTTCAGCCGCAGACTCAGATCATCAGCTGGAAACCCTGAACCCGTATCAACTTCCGCCCACTTCACCCTTATCAACAGATATTACAGGATTCAATTTTTCCTACGCCAACTCGTCATTATATCCGTTTCCCGATCATGGCCGATAGCGATTCTTCAGACGAAGAAGAAACAAAGGAGCAATGTTTCAGGAAATCGCTGTCCTTTGCACAAAAGAAAAGCACATTCGAGAGAACCTGTTGTTATTTTATTCCTGAAGGAGTCTTGAGCGGATTGGTTACAGTGCAAACAATCAAGGACGTGTTGCACATCGCGAATCCAACCCCAGCAGAAGATGAGTTGATCGACTTCGTCAAGACACGAGCATCGAAGGTTTTCGCGATAGCCCTATGGGCTAAAGTGGAAAACCCTAAGAGAATGATGGCCTATTTCAAATCGAAGAATTTGGATGACAACGACCTGCCAATCACCGATCCTAACAGTATTTGGTCCAAAAGGTCATGGTACAACGATCTCATTGAGCACCAATGGAGATTTTACGCGGCTATTTTCTCAACCGCCAAATACAATCTCGACCTTGAAGAGTCCTGTATACTTCCTTTCACATCAAAAGGTGGCGATGATGGACGAGGCTCATTTGGTGTGGTTTCGAAATATTTAGTCCATCGAAATCATATGGAACCAGTACGGCCCTTGATACTACACATGTCTTCGCACGAAATCTGCTGACGTAGACAGGCACTTCAAGACGACTCGTATTTCGCTGTAAAAGAGATCCAGGCTACGGAAGATGCTCAAGAAGTAGCTGAACATTGGGAAAAGGAAGTCAAAGCCCTGAGAACGATGAACAGATTGGACCAAGAGCATATAGTCCGTTTCATCACAGCGTTTCGGCGTCGTAGACAACATGGAGGAGACGAACATTACCTAATGTTCGAATGGGCAGACGGCGGTAACCTTCGCAATCTCTGGAAGAATATGCCTTCACCCACTTTGACCGCGCCGTTAGTCAAAGACGTCATAAAACAAGTTCTAGGACTTGCTAAAGCACTTGACGCCGCTCACAACCTGAACGCGACTGGTGCTTCGTACCGACATGGCGATCTCAAACCCGAGAATATCCTCGTTTTCAACAAAGGTGGATTGATTGGCACTCTCAAGATCGGTGACTGGGGCGAAGCTAGAGAACATGGCCAAGCCACTGAGATGCGTCCTAGTAAGACTACAGCAAAATACGGAACTCGTCGTTATGAGGCACCAGAGGTGGAAACTGGTGTTACTCCCAAGTGGTTGGGCCAGTCAACAAAGCGACGTTCACGACTGTACGATATCTGGGCAATGGGCTGCATCACGTTGGAACTCACTATATGGCTTCTCTACGGAGCCGAAGGTCTCGGCCGTTTCGACCGTGAGTTGGGCTTCGGTAGCTTCTACCAGACCAGTGTCGTGAACGGGAGAAAGGTAGCCCAAGTACATGATGCTGCTGTACGCTGGATGGACCAAATGGCAGAAGATTCCAGGTGTCAGGTGGGCAGTACAGCGATCGGTGATCTTTTGGAGCTGGTACGAACAGCTTTGCTAGTTGTGAAGCTTCCACGAAGGCTTGGCACGACCCTTTCTGACATCCCTGAAAGATCGCGCACAGATTCATTTGTAGATTCTGGCATGAACGCAACCAGGGTAACGCCGCAAGATATTGTCTCTGAAGAAAGTGCCATCGACTCCACTGTACAGCCTGCAATAGACATTCCTTCTTTCAGCTTCACTCCTGCGGAACCCGAACCCGACAAAATCCCTGTACAGCCAGAACCTGAATCCCGAGGGCCTGCTCGCTGTCTCGCAACTGATTTCCGCACTCGCATTGAGACGATTAATGGAGAAGACGAAGATGAAAGCTATTGGTACGCACAACCTCTCGACCAGCACAGGCCGGGAGACCTCAAAGGATCATTCTCCCTTTCCGCTTTGCCACCCTTGTTATCAGATTGCGACTCAGGAGAAGGTTACCAAGCACAAGATCGTGAAGTATCAATACAGAATGGAGTAAGTTCTTAACCCCGAAGCATATCTGCTCAGTCTAACTAACATGGCTCTCCGAAGAATGATTATGGAACTCCAGAGCTCGATGAAAACGACTGGAAGTACCAATCCGGCAACGAATTTGCGTCTGCTATGTTCGAATCTCTACAGCACTCGGATACACTCGAGTCGTCTGATCGCACTGTATCAAACCGCCTCTGTGACCAATGCTTACAATTCCGCAACGAAGTCTCCAGTCCAGGGTTTGCGATCTCATACGAAACACACTCCCTTAGAGCAAGCGCCAGCGAGAGGAAATGTGACCTGTGCAGCCTCCTATGGCAAGTTGTTATTCAAAACGGCCGAGTAGATTCGCAGGCTGTCAAGTTCGAACGGACAGGACCTTTCTTGAGACTGGAGAGCACTGGCCCTCGTATATTGTCCATCGTTCGAGATCCTGAGCAAATGCTGCCCCCAACGAGCGAGTTTCAGACTGGATTTGTTAGACTTCCAGAGGCTGGGCAATCTACACATATGGAGGTCATCAAGTACTGGCTCAACGACTGCGATAGACAACACACATGTAAGCCGCTTGGACTCGCTGCCGATGGAGATAAGGTTAGGTTGCCAACAAGGTTGATCGACGTTGGACAATCTGGAGACAATACTGTTCGACTATGGGCCACGACTCCGAAAGATTCTGGCGAGTGGATCGCGTTATCGCATCGATGGGGATCTCAGCATCTCTCGACTACGACCAAAACCCTGCAGTCACATCTCAACGGCATCGATCTGAATAGCCTTCCGTCCACTTTCAAAGACGCCGTGACAGTGACTCGTGCTTTGGGGCGTCGCTACCTATGGATTGATTCCCTTTGTGTCATCCAAGGTCCGGATGGCGACTTCAAGACCGAAGCGAAACGAATGGAAGACGTCTACAGTGGCGCATACTGTGTGATTGCTGCGAGCTGCGCAATTAACCATTTTTCAGGATTTCTCAAGCAGCGCAAGGGCCGAAATTATGTCGGGTTAAGTCCCGAAGGCAAAGGCCAAACACCTTTCTATGTCTGCCAAACCATCGACAATTTCAAGGACCATGTACTCGATGGGGATCTGAACCGTCGCGGCTGGGTTTATCAGGAGCATGCTTTGGCTCGTCGAACCCTCTTTTTCACCGAACACCAGACATACTTCGAATGTAGGGATGGCGTACGTTGCGAAACCTCTACAAAATTGAGCAAGTAAGTAAATATGCCACACGCCATCGCTTGATGTTTGATGGGCTAATTGAAGACCACAGTAAGCTTGCTGCCTTTCTAGGAGATCCGGACTTTCCACACATCCTCTACAACGCGAGTCAAGGCGAGAAGATTTTGCGATACCAAGAACTTTACCGCGAATACTCCCGCCTGGGTCTTTCGGAGCCATATGATCGACCAACCGCTATTGATGGGCTTCAACAACGCCTCCTCCGCACAATGCGAGTAAGCGGTGGCTTTGGTGTCTTCGATGAAGGAGTAACGCGTGGCCTCCTCAGAAGGAGTCTTCTCTGGCGTCGCGGTATTGACACCCCAAGTTTGAGTCGCATTCACTTCCCCCCACAGAGCGTTGTGTCTACTGTACCATCGTGGTCATGGATGGCATACACTGGCGGAATCGACTACTTACAGCCTGACTTCGGATGCTATGAGTGGGAGGACCTGCAATCACCGTGGTCACCGAAAACCCCTACCAACGTATCCAGCACTGACTACAACCTGGCCAATATAGCGCTCGAAGCTATAGCGCGGGAGTACGATCTCGGTGCTGCGGTACAGGGCGAGGGCGAACTGATCTTCGATACGCCGAACGGGTCAGCGAAACCAGATACATTGTGCGTTGTGCTTGGCAAGGCGAAAGGCAGCCCCTCACCTGAGACACAGAGACACTACATATTGATGATTGCAGCACAGAGAGGGCGGGCTGGAAGCAGGGTATACGAGCGGGTGGGGACGGGTTTTTTGCCCGGAAAGTGTATCTCGCCTAGTGGATTCAAAGTGAAAATTCAGTAATAATGGGTATCTTATTGTAGTCTTTCCGCAACGTCTAATGCAATGCTCAGTTTCAGAGTATCTTCATAAATTCTCATTGCGTCTAGTGGTATACGTGCTATTGAATGTAAATGCGTCGTATCAAGATGAAAGCTGTTCATAATTGGATACCAAATAACTCCGAGGTCTCCAGGGGTTCCCACCGCATGAGTGCATATATTGGCACCAACCACGGTCACTGCTGCTACACACAGTAGGTGGCTTAGCTACAGACGATCGTACAAGATAGAGGGCAATGCTGTCTAAGAAGAAGAGCTCAGTCCATGCCAACATATTTGAACCACAGCGGTCGACAGTCTTCCCGGTTCAACCACTTCTCACCGTCTGTGAACCGACCAGTAACACAGCCAGAACACTTTGGACTGTTCGGGCAGTTGAAGAAGGGTATGTGCTGATATCCGATGTCTCGGAACCAATGTATCTTGCTCTTATCTTCGAACAATCCTAATGCGACACTGTGTACCGGCGCATCGCCCCAGCGTTCGTAAAAGAAGCCTCCAGCACGATCAAGATGGTCGAAGTAGTCACGGTACTTTTTGCTTCTCCAAAAGCTCAGGTCGCCGATTTCGAAGTTGGACCAGAAGTGGCAGGTTGAGTACCCGTGTGCTTTCTGGTTGTTCTCAGGCCGTCGCTTGTCGTCTTCCAACCACTCTCGCGCATTGTTCGGATGAACGTATCCTGGATTATCCTCGATGAATTTCTTTGTCTCGGGCCATAATGTCGCGACGCTATCGGGGCTGTCGTAAATGTTGATATTGAATCCGTATGTTTTGTTGTGGTCCTGCATCCATGCAAAGACATCGTAGTCGACATCGCAGAAGAAGTGAACGTTAGGCTCCACGCGCCAGTAGTATTGGATGTCCTTCAGCGCAGGATGCTCGCTGAACATTCCGCTGTTCCACCGACACATTTGGTGGTACGACTTTTTGTCCATGTATTGCACGTCCAGCGACTTGAGCAGAGAAACAGACTCCTCATACAAGTCCATGTTGATCCACGAGGGTACGTCCCAGTGTTCGGCAGGGACTAGCTCGTATCGCACTTCAGCATTGGTGGCTGCTCGCGTGGCCTTTTTGAACTCTTCAGTAAAGGGCTTATCGTTGAAGAAGGTCCAGGGGTAATTGAACTTGTGGTTCCATGTGCGCTCGAGATCGCGCATGCTCTGTAGCATGTCTTGGAGTTCTTCATTGCGCACCAGGCTAAGGATTGTGGCGTTGATGCGCGCGCTTGTGGGATTGTTCGGGGCGTAGTTGTTGCCGTCAACTCGTCGCAGCGGCTCAGGAGGTTCGCCGGAGGCTGATCATTCAGTCAGTATGTCTGGTGGGTCCGCACCACATGGTATGGTATCTTACGATCTAACTGAGGGTCGTGGTCCCAATCGCCGACTTTGTTGGTCGGAAGCTTGCTCGGAATCTCGACGGGTGTCTCGGAACCTGGCGCCTTGAGGATCTGCACGAACAGGTAGATGAAGATGCAGAAAGTGGCGCCAGCCAAGTAGCGCATGCCCTTGGGAAGCGCCATGGTGAAGAGCAGGTGCGGTGGCTGAGGGGTTGGGACAATGTCCCGCCTCAAAAAAGTCGCAGGAGCGTTCAACACTTGAGTTTCACAGCGGTGACGCGGTGCGTGAGGGCCGCTAGTCTGCATCAGGCATGATGTATCTGTCATGTGGAACCCGAAGCAACCGCCACAAATCAACACCACGATATCGCTACTACCGAGACACTATCTCCGTCGGCGTCGTCGCGGGACGGCAGATGAAGGACGCGTTATCATGGCCCAAAACGCGAAAATCTCGGGCCTCACGGATGAGTTGATACAGTCCATACTGAGACACGACCCAGCTGCAAATAAACAGGCCTACAGACATGCCAAAGAGATCGCGTCACGCAATCTTCGAGGGCATCAGTACGCAAGAACGAATCAATTCGACGTCACGGCTACCTTTAAAGGACTTGACGAGAAGTTTCGTATTAAGAACCGCGATGATCTCGCCGATGCGCTACAAACGCGTCTCCAAAAGTTGGAAGGATACACGAACAAGTACAAGCCAGAGTTCCTATCTCTACTACTTCAGCTAGCCGATCGACCCTTGGAGAACACCCAGGTCGAAGCGCTTGAATTGCTTAGGCCGCCTAGCCCCCCTCCACCATTGACATGGGCGGAGATACTAGAAGATGATCCGTACAGCGATGAAGATATCTGGAAGGACATCGATTATGGCGCGGACTCTTCGGGCGACGAAAAGATACCCAAGAAGCGCAGGAAGGCTCCTAGCACACCGCCGACCAGCTTCGATGAAGATGATACATTCGATCCGGAGGCCTGTGTGACGTCGACAGACAAAGATCTCGTTGCGAGACTGGAGGAAACGCAATTTTGGACATCAAGCGTGAATGGAGGAAGCAGCGACATGTGTATAACGGAACTGCAGACCGTACGAGAGACACTGTTTATGCTTGGTGGGCTGAAGACGAGCCTGTACCGAACCGACAACATGAACAACATTTGCCCCAATTCGACCTACCTGGTTGACAACAATCAATCAGCCGCGGTTGCACATCTTCTTTCCCAGTTGGCCAACATTGGCACACACATAGAAGCAATGCGACGTTGGACGCTGCAGCAGCGAACTAAGCAGCCACCAGCATCACCTCTTATTCAAACCTTCGAGGCCGCCGTACGAAAACGATTACTCTACTTCGACCAGTCCTTGTCTACGATGCAGCAACGACATCTGATACCTGACGCCCCACTCCCCGTCAGTTTATTGTCGCTACACGGCGACGTACAAGCATTGTGTTATTCCATTTTACGCCTAGCACCTATTGTCAGCGGTCTGAATCAATTGATGATGAATCTAGATCCATCAGTACCAGGAAACCCTTTCTATCACCTCGAGGCGCTGTACGAGCAGACCACTCTTGCGCAGATGACGCTGGAAGACGAAATCTTCACATACATGGCTGAAGTATTCTTCGAGTGTTTACAAACGTATCTAAAGCCGATACGACGATGGATGGAAATTGGCGAGCTCGGTCCCGATGAAGAAAACTTCTTCGTCATCTCGAACGACGCAAAGAGTGATACTGCCTCTTTGTGGCACGATCGCTTTATGCTCCGCCGTGATCCTGAAGAAGGCCTAAAGCTGCCTTCATTTTTACAGCCGGCGGTCAAAAAGATATTCAATACCGGCAAAAGTGTCATTTTCTTAAAGGAACTAGGTATTCACGACACGAATTTACATTCCTCAGTGGTTGAGCCGCGCCTCGACCGCGAAACAGTTTGCCGTACATCGGATGATGTTCCCCTCTCGCCTTTTCCAGAACTATTCCAAACGGCGTTCGAGACATGGATCCGTAGCAAGTATTCAGTCGCTTCAACCGTACTTCGTCAACATATTTTCGAGGCAAATGGCCTAATGCGGGTGCTGCACGTATTCGAGTATTTGTACCTGGGTAGGAACGGCGCTGTTTTTGAAGATTTTGCGACTACAGTCTTTGAGCGCATGGATGCTGGCAGACGAGGATGGAACGATCGATACGTACTCACGGAGCTTGCACGAGGAATATTCAGCACGATCCTGTCTACGCCCGATGTGGAGAAACTTGTCGTTCGTTCTATGAAAGCAAAGTCGCATGGAAGCTCTGTCAAGGGTCTTGCTGCCATTTCTGTGGACTATGCAGTATGTTTTGAGAGAACACTCTTTTGCGTTTCAGCTAACACTATTTCCAGGTCTCTTGGTCGATTCAAAACATTGTCCAGCGCTCGTCTATACCCATCTACCAGGAGGTTTTCACCTTCTTGATGCAAATCTACCGAACCAAATATCAACTACAACGCGCCCGCATTCGCGCATCCAGAAAGACTTGGCCAGTAGTATTCTTCAGAGTTCTTCAGCGTTTGAATTGGTTCGCGGACGTGCTGCGTTCCTACGTAACCGAGACCGCTGTGTATTCGACAACACGAGACATGAACTTGGCTATAGAGAAGGCCGACGACATCGACGAGATGTCTCAGATCCATGTCCATTGTATGGAGAAATTGCAAAAACGAGCACTGCTTTCGAAGGACGTGAAACCAATCCATAAAGCAATCATCGAATTACTAGATCTTGGTGTATTACTGTCCCAAAATGAGGGCAGGAACCTTGACCAGGTAGATCGAGAGTCTGCAAGGCTCTTCCCTTTCGTGGCAGCGGGTTTGCGAAGTGTGGCGAGGGTGGGAGAGCCTTCGTGGGAGCAACTAGCTGATCGACTGGACGCTTTTTCACACAGTCCCAAGCCATAGTCTAGTATCCTGCCCCATAGCACTGTAGCTGCAAGCTGAATACCAAAACCGCGATCTTGCATTTTTTCTCTGAGCATATTGCAGTGCTCATCTGTTAGAGGTCGCCATTGTCTGTACGGTTCCTCCATTATATCCTCCGCTTCCTAGTCTTCCGTCTCGATCAATGATAATCCAGGTGGTGGTTCAAGTGGTACCAAAGAGGTATCATGGGAGGTACTCGCGCCCAAAATTCGACAGGGCTATAACGACACCCACTCTCGGGATACAACGTGATGGCAGAGACTCAATATTGCTGACGAGGTTCGGCTGTATCGGATTCGTCCTCGCTTAGTGAGAGTTGTCTTTTCTTTTCCTTTTTTCGTGGTAGGTCGTCCGGATGGGGATTTCCCTCGTGGTGGCCATCGTCGCGTGCCCGACTCCAGAGCACCATGAAAAAGAGGAACCCAAGAAGTACGGCAATGACTGTAGGCGCGGCGGGATGACGCATTTTAGTTCCAGTTCTCGCCTATCTCTTTTGAGAAACCTCGCTTTCGAATCCCAACTTTGATTTTCCTAGTCCTCGTCGGGTAACTCGGGAAGATAATGTGTCTCTTAACCTCTGTCTTTTGGGATATCCACTAACAACCACTTCACACAGTGCGCACTCCTGCAATCACTGTCCAGTCCCTCAAATCTCTCTTGCAAACCATACAGCAATATGCGTCCTTCTCCAGCCGATGGAAGACCACTGCAGACGCTAACCTCAAGATCTTTGTACAGTGTGATGATTCAGTAATATGTTCCGATCACGGGAAGCTTCGCGCCGCGCTTACCTAACACACTAACGCTATCTACACAAGCTCAAAGAAAGAGGTCAGTGCACCAGATACAATAGTAGGCTGGGTGTGGCTGGGATTCGCGAGCAGCTCAACTGCGCGCAATCGTGCTGCAATCGATGCGTGCAGCGAACCTACCAGATTAGGAAGGTACGATCTCGGTAATGCATGAACCTTGAGAAGAACGATCCGTGCGTCAGGGGTATAGTTGAGCTGACCCTCGCTTATAGTTCGGCTGACCTTGGACGGGGGTCAACTCAGTCGAGTCTAAGGTCAGCTCAACTACGCGACTACTCCGGTAACCGACGTCGCCAGCAAACTTATCTGATCTTGGGAAGGTGCCAAGATCGGCAACTGTAATGAAACGATAGAATTCTACGGTGTCGAGATGACCTCGCCAGTCGTTGAAGTTCAAGGTCAGCCGGACTGCAGCCATCACCATCCCGTCCGAGGTCAGCTCAACTATACCGCCCATCATACATGGTAAGCTTTAAAGAAATATGAGTTCTATTCGAGGTTTCGCCGAGTCTAGTTCGCGCGGTCTGCGAAGAGCCCTCTTCAGCGCCTTCGTTCTGGCTCTTCTTCATCATCCCTAGGCACCCACTCCGTTCCGTTGACATTCAACAGCTCCGTGACCTCATCCATATTCACACCCAGAGCGGCAGCAACGTACTTGGGCAGGTCAGTGTTGTCCCAACCACCCGCCATGTCCAAGACGAGCTTGTCGCCCATGCCACCAGCAGCATAGCCATACAAGGTGGTGTCAACGCCAGTATGGCCACCAGTTGACCACTCGAGCCCCGCGCGGTCATTCAGAAGGTCGGTAAGTTCCTGTGCAAATTCATCGCCAGCGGCGAGAAGGATCTCGATCTCCGCATCGGAGACGTTGGTCAGGCCATACGCAGGGATTATCTCATTGTTGAGGTATGCAGCCTTGTCGGTACCGTTGTAGCCGCTCCAAAGTTCGCTCAAATGTTCGGCTGAATGCTTGCCAGGCTGGAGTAGCGATGGATCGTATTGAGAGGGTATGGTTATGCCACCAGTTTCATGATCCGCCACAGCGAGGAATGCGGTATCAGGATGCGCGTCGATCCACTTCATGACCATGTTTACAACGTTGTTAAACTCGAGGACTTCGTGCAAATGAGCGACAGAGTCGTGTGCGTGTGACGAGTGATCGATGCGGGAAGCTTCAATCATCATGATGTAACCCTTGTCGTCGGACGCGCTGGCTCGCGAGAGCGAGTTGAGGGCAGCTTGCGTCATCTCAGACAGTGATGGTTCGCGGACGTCGGCGGCTTGTTGTTGGCGATCGACTTCGTAGCTGAGGTCGCCATCCTTAAACAGGCCCACGTATGGAAGCTGGATATTGCCTAAACCAAGCTCGAGAGCGTCAAACCCGGCACGATCGCGGGCAGTATAGTAGCCTTTCGATTCAGCATACGTGAACAGATCGATGTCATCTGTGCGACATGAGTCGGATTCATTCCGAGGCTGAAAGTAGCAGCGGCCACCACCAAGCATGAGATCAACGCTGATGCCCAGAGGGTGGCTATAACCAATCTGCTGTTCGGAAATCTTGTCAAGAGCGTTCCTGCTCACAGAGTGGGAGAAGTAAGCTAGGTATATTTAGCGGTGATCTGACGAACGATGGGAGTCATTTGTACCGGCGGGAGTCGCGTGACTGATAGGTGAAGTCACAACGAGGCCAGTGAGATAGCCTGCCAACTTCGCAGCTTCCATCACAGATCCGACCGGCTTCCCATCGGGCGTAACACCGATAGCTCCGTTTTCAGTCTTGTAGCCGGTAGCAAGAGCAGTTCCCGCAGCACCAGAATCGGTCACTAAGTTGTTGGCAGAATGAGTTCTGGTGTTACCGATGACGGTAACATCGATAGGCAAAGCACCCATTCGGGGAGCACGAGTGGTTGAGTTCCCGTTAATCATAGACAAATATGTCCGGACCAATGTCTGGGAAACGGGTCCCATGCCATCGGGAATGATGAAGATAAAGCTTTTCGGCTCGATTGCTGCAAGCGTAGCTTGTGCCAAAGAGATGGCCGTGAGGATTGTTGAGGTACGCATATTCGACAACAGGAGACAGGCCCTATTCAAGTAGTGTAACGAAAGACAATGGTGGAGATGAATATACAACTTGACCTATAGTGCACAATCAACGCCGATGCAGTTTATATACCCTAAGAATCCAGGATACTACATCCTACGATCCTATGGGTACTCAAATTAGGCCTAAACATCCTGCACATGCCGGTTCGCCAAATCTTGGGACTGCTCCATAGTTTGAATCCGGATAGGTACTCAGCGAAAAATAGCAATTGTTGTGATAACGTCTCGTGTAAGAAAGCCGCTCAGAGACGCTGACTTCTCTTCCTCAAGCTCGTATCATATCTCAACGGGCCTCGTAGCAATCGCGATGTCCTCAGTGTATACTTTGCGAGTGTCGCATTGAATGGCATTGTTCGATTTCCGCTCATTTGATGTCACAGGACAAATTTTGACTCGACCACTTATAGCAATCGCCGCAATCACGTTCGGCCTACGCATACACTCTCGTCTGCAAGCCCAGCCTTGGTATGTCTTCTCGACTATGGAACGCTCTCTTGCCAAGATTCTTGGAGACTTGGAGAACGGGACGGCGCTCGGCGAACATCAAAAGTGTACCTTTCGTTACCCACGTGTTGGTGGTTGTGGGCGAAGGGTATCTCATTTCGGGTCGAACGGAATAATCTTGTTCTCTTCGAATCTGTTGTTATGCATCGTCCTGTTGATGCATATGTAGCGCCTTGTGATCGATGACTGTGGTGCTTCCTTCTGAACGATGAAGCTGTCTGCTCTTTGCAAGTCAACCGGTTTTTTAATCTTTTACACGACCAGATGACCATGGTACGACCGACGCAAAAGGTCGTATATCTCCGCGCTTGCAGCCGTATCCGTGCGAAAGACGCCGAGGAAGCGCGTGCTCGGGCAATAGGCCTAGGGAATGTCGCAAACGAAACCTATCACTTAGGCAATGTTGTGTGCTCCGCGGTATGTAACGAGGGGGGGAGCAATCGAGAGACTACCGAGACTACGCAGTTGAGACAAGCTATCTGTATAACACAACTCTGGAGTTTCTTGCAGATGTTTGTAGTCGGAGAGGAATTATCCCGAGATGCTACGAAAGTTGAATGGCGTTCGTGGTTAGTGCGTGGTTTAGCGTCAAACCCCGCAAGTCATCCAGCTTAAACCTCGGGAGTGGCGTCATCGGTTTCTGCTTTTCGCCTGCCTTTGTGGAGTGCCGCACTATATATGGTCCACGACTCAAGCGAATGTGGAGGGTACTCCGGGGAAGGTCAAGGTTCAAGACTTGTTACGAGACCAGGGTCCCTAGGAGCTGATGAATTAGGTCCTGGTGGACACCGCGTATTCGTGGAGATTTTACGCTTAGGCAAAGGAAGGAAGTCAATTGAGTATCGCTCCCGGTAAGTAACTATGGCTCGAAAGTGCCAGGTGAGTATAGCTCCCGGCTCGTGATAGTACTATATCATCAAGGTGTGTAATCCTGTGCTTCTGAATAGACACCCGTATCTCCCTCGTTCTCACATCTCTTTCATCATGCGGTCGTACCGCCTTCCTCTGTGTGTATGGAGTCTATGGTCGACAGTTTCTGCTCAAACGGAATCGTCAGGAGCCCAGGTCCAAGCAGCACTGGAAAGCCTCACGATTACAAACGTCGACGATGTTCGCGGTAATCTTCACCTACCGAGCGCATCCGAGAACTATAATGTTACCTGGATGAGTAACAACCCCTCGGTGATATCTGCGGACGGCATTGTGCAAAGACAAGGCGCCGACACCGTTGTCAATCTTACAGCGATCATCGACCAAGAAGGAACAACTTCGAATCGCACGTTCAGTGCCAACGTACGACAAGCTGTCGAACTTGAACCGTTCGAGGGCTATGCGTTTGCGTACTTCACGAACAACACGTTAGCGGGCGAGAAAATCTACCTAGCAGCCAGCGAGGGCAACAATGCATTGGACTGGAGAGAGCTCAACAACGGACAGCCTATTCTCGCCTCTTCCGAAGGCACGAAGGGACTGCGTGATCCCTTCGTAATCCGCTCGCCGGAAGGTGACAGATTCTATCTGCTCGCCACTGACTTATCGATTGGATCCGGCACTTCCTGGGGAGATGCTGTCCGTATTGGGAGCTTGTATCTGGAGATTTGGGAATCAAGCGACCTCAAGACATGGTCACAACAACGACACGTCAAGGTTTCTCCCTCCACTGCTGGAAACACATGGGCACCTGAGGCATACTACGATACCGACATCGGATCGTACGTAGTGTTTTGGGCATCATCTCTATACGAAGAGAGCGATACGAATCGCACGGGAGCAACCTACCACCGCATGCTTTATGTGACCACGCGAGACTTCGTCACATTTAGCGAACCCGAGATTTGGCAGGATGCTAAGATGTCACGAATTGACACTACAGTCATCCAGGAGGGCGCCACGTTTTATCGATTTACCAAAGACGAAGGTGGTACAGGCACCAACTGCACCGACATCATTCAAGAGCGCTCGGACTCCCTTCTTGCTCCTGTTGAATCATGGTCTCAGGTTGCCGCATGCATCGGTCGTAACGCTGGTACAAGCAATGTCGAAGGGCCGACAGTATTCAAAGCCAACCCAGGTGACGTCCATGGCGAGAAGTACTATCTTTTTGTCGACGAGTACACTGGACGTGGATATATCCCACTAGAGACGGATGATATTTCTAAGCCCAACTGGAAGGTTTCCAGCTCGTACAAGCTCCCGACCAGCCCACGTCACGGCACTGTAGTCCCCGTGACTGCACGAGAGCTTTCCGGTCTGACTGCACAAGAGTCTGCTGGTCTGACTGCACGAGAGCTTGCTGGTCTGACTGCAAAGACAGGCAGCCCCGTACTTCCTGGTCTATATGCGGATCCAAACATCGCCGTTTTTGGTGAAAACTACTACATCTATGCGACAACTGATGGCTTCCCCGGCTGGGGCGGCAACGTTTTCTATGTATGGAAGTCCCCTGATCTCGTCTCTTGGACGCGATCAGCCGAGCCCTTCTTGACCCTCAATGGGACAAACGGCAACGTACCCTGGGCGACGGGGAATGCCTGGGCTCCGACTATCATCGAAAGGGACGGCAAGTACTACTTTTACTTCAGCGGTAACAACCCCGAGTACGACCGTAAGACCATCGGTGTTGCTGTTGCAGACTCACCAGAAGGGCCTTTCACTGCCCAACCGAAAGCCATGATCTTGAACATTGGAGACTCTTCCAACGGAAACATCACCACGGGCCAAGCGATTGATCCTGATGTCTTCCAAGATCCAACTACTGGCAAGTACTATATCTTCTGGGGCAACGGAGGGTCAGACATTACGCCCGCACTCTATGCTGAGCTCACCGACGATATGCTCTCACTGAAAAACGGCACCACTCGTGTCATTACTGGTCTTCCCGAGTTTCGCGAGGGCATCTTCATGAACTACCGCAAAGGCCTCTTCCATCTTACTTACTCCATCGACGATACTGGTTCAGAGAACTACCGAGTGGGATACGCGACATCTACAAGTGTTCATGGACCATGGACATACCACGGTATCATACTCCAGAAGAATCCGTCGCTTGGTATTCTCGCCACTGGGCATAGTTCCATCATTAACGTACCGAACACTGACGACTGGTACATGGCGTACCATCGGTTCGCTATACCAAACGGCAACGGAACGAACAGGGAAACCACCATTGATAGAGTGTACTTTGACGACCAGGGCTTGATCAAGCCTGTTGTGCCTACACTGGAAAGTGTGCCCCCAGAGACGATTCCTGCGTAAGTATGGGTCGCCTAGCAGTGATTGTCAAAATGAAGCCCGTACGCTAGATGCAATTCAATGATACGTTGCCTTAGTAAACATAACGCCATTATGAACAAAGAGATGACCACATCTTCATCTTTTCTACCCTCCTTACTCAGAATCCCAACCCCCTTCTTCTGCTGAAGCCCCTCGACATACTTCTACTACTCTCTAGACCCATGCCAACCCCACCCAAGACCTTCATGGCCTTCTTCCGACCAATCAGCAACTCTTCCAGTATCAAGCTCACTTCCTCCATCTGCAAATGTGAAGCAATGAAGTCAGTGTACATCTTACATCCATTCCAAAGCGAGACAACTTACTTGCTCTTTGAAGTCCTCCATCGCTTTGCCCAAGCACACACCTTCCTCCCATATGTCAGTAAGATGGCTTTCGCTCAGGTCATCGGGTTTAATCGTCTCAAGTGGTTTGACGACGGTGGTAAGATGGGATAGATTTGCAGAGACGATGGCCGCGCGGCGGTTTAGAGCACTAACCCTGGAGGGGAGGTCGACTGGGGAGTGCATGGCAGTGGGGATGGAGAGGTCTTCGTAAGAAGGGATAGGCGTGAGTTCGGATTGGTATAGGTAGCCATGGTCCCAGGAGTAGTTCTGCTGGCGGCGCCGTAAGTGACGAGAGGTTGGGGACGATGGACCGAACATTTTTGTGGTGAAGGTCGCTCAAGATCACCGTGACGGATAAGACAGAGTATTACTCTGGTGCTCGAAAGAAAGGAGTGGATGCTCAGTCTGAAAGCTGGTATGCCAGTGGGATGGGAGGTGTTTGATATATCTGATTGGAGTTGTTATCACTGATTAGGTGGAACAAAAGCTATGTCATCGGGAGGCTGCATTGGCAAATGTTTGCGCTTAGAATAGCGATAGTACTTATCCGTGATAGTTATTTGTCAAGTTTGTGCTGTGATCCTGTAGCGCGAACTCTGTATGAAGGATGCGTACTGGAAGTGTGATTTGGGCAATTGAGTTTGTTGGCAGGCTGCAGTCACGAATTTATGGCACAATGCTGTACCAAAGGCATTAGGGTGCTCTATTTGCGCGCAAGTGCAGCTGACAGGTGCTTCAGCAATCGTGCAAGTTGTTTCGTTGCTCATTGCGCTTCTGGAAAGGTTGCTTGCTGCGGATGTACCAATTCGACCAATACACAGGCGAGATTGTGCTTCCTATTCTTTGAATGCTTAGAGGTGAAGGAAGTATACCTTGGCGTATCATTTCCTTATCCTATTTTCCTGCTAAACAAGATCGCCCTCCTCCGCTAAAAAGACATCCTCTCTTTGCTTTGCTTGTTGTTCTCCGTGCTCTTTCTCCTCAACCTTTGCTCTTGCTATGGCAGCATCCTCATGTTTCTTCATTCGTTGATCCGACGCAGCCTTCTCCGCAGCGTCTCGCTTCTCCTGCTCCGCTCTCTCGGCATCTTCCACCTTCCATACAGCTCTCCATTGTAGTGCTGCACTCTTACGCGCGTCGTTGGCTACTATGCTCAGGTCGTCCTTCGAATCTTTGGGATCTTCAGATTTTCGGGCCATACCTTGTTTATCTGAATTTTGTCCACAGCAGGTGATAAGAAGGGATGAGGCGTACTCTGGGAACGAACTATGTAGTGTGAACTGTATACACTGCATTGGGTCAAATGAAGAGATCATGTGGCGGTTGATATGGTATTTGCGTGGATCCGCCTTGTGATGCTCAGGCAGTCCTCAAGCAGTCGCGTTATCTGGATATGCGCGATAATAATATTATTTCGACATACCTGATATCTGTATATAAGCATGTCTTACATGGTAGCTTCATCTATCTTCATCGGAGCCTACGCAGCCCTCGGTCTCTCCCAAGCCTGTCCATCGCTCATCTCAATACCTCCTGTCACACCTGCCTGTCCCAGCTTCTCAGCATTCCATCCATCCTCAGGTGGGATTGGGCTTCGAACCTCTTTCTCTCTTCCCAGTCCCTCGACACCTACAGGCCCGTCACCCCAAATCAAATACTGCGCTGCGAGGCCCAGATCACAGCATGCCTGGAAGATACCACATGCCTTGAAAGCCCAAGGTACTTCACCACTGCTACTAGCAAAGAAGAACCACATCTTGAACGTATCACCAATAACCCAGTTGACAATAACGCTGGGTCTGAAGCCTTTGCACCCGCGTCTCTGGTAATTAGCCAGGAGTTGCGGGAGCGGGAGCGTAGCCTCAATAGTCAACGCAACCATACCCAGCAGATCCGTGTACGGGACGAAAATGCTTGTCGACGACATGACCAAGTGCAGCACCAGCAACACGCCGGTAAAGTAGGTGATGAATGTCCAATAGGGTCTCGGCGCCCTCCATTGCCAGAAGTCGTATGGGCGGTTCGACACATCTTTATGTTGGAAGGGGAGGTGCGAGGGCGGCGGTCGGTTCGTAAGCGCGACATGGAGGAGGAGCAGATGGACGCATATCATGAGGAGAGCCTGGACGAGCAGCGAGGTGCTGAAGTGGGCGCCGAACCAGTAGTAGACTTTCAGGATGCTGGCGACGAGCATGATGAGCGGGATGTCGAGGGAGAAGCCGGCAGAGCTGCGGGCTCGGTGCATGCTGTAGATCTGGTCGCCATAGCTGGTGATTGGACTTGTTGCTATGCTGCGGGGGGTGCGTTAGAAGCAGGAAAGGGCTGGCGGATTGTGGGTGCATACAATACGGGCGCAATGTTCTTCACAATGGCGCTGATGAAGAACATGGCGATGGTTGGGTGCTTGGCCAGGCGGTACACTTCGGAACGCCGGTGGAGCTGTCGGAATCCTTCGAGGTCCCCTAGATGCTCCTTTTACAACGCTTGAGTGACCGACGGCTATGGGTTTAACGCACACGCGACCTCGAGACCGTTTGGCGCAATTGGTCAGGTGGTGAGGCTGAGACAAAAACAACAACAGCGGACAAAAAGGAGAGTTCCGCAATCTCCGCTAATTTAGTGGCCGCTGGCGGCTGTAGGGCTGACCGATAAGCTTTATCGCGTCTGCGTCATCGCTGTTTACATGGGGTGCTTTCACCCATCTTTCTTTCATCTAATCGCACAATTGATCGTCTATGGACGCTATAAGCCTCTACCACCACCAGTATTCCAAGCCTCAGCCTTCGCATACTCCCATCGACCGCCAAACCACCAAAATGTCACATACAGCATTCTTCTACGGGACCTTGATGGCGCCGCCCGTCCTACACCGCGTAATATGGGGTTCGCAAACACCGCCCACACCCGCCCACGCCTCTCTTCTTCACATACGCCCAGCCATCCTTCACATGCACCGACGCCACAAAGTAAAACAAGCCGACTATCCTGCCATCCTCCCCGTGGATTCCCCCTCGTCTGTCCGCGGAACCCTAGTACAAGGCCTCACAGACGGCGACATCTGGCGACTAGACATCTTCGAAGGCTCAGAATATCAACGTCAGAAAGTAAAAGTCAAGGTCCTGCAACCCAGGGCCCAAGGCAGCAACACGGAAGAAGGCATGGGTGACCTATCACAAAGGGAAGAAGACAACGTAGAGGGCGAAGAAGCCGAGGCAGAAACCTATGTCTGGATAGCAGGCGCACAAAGGCTCGAACCAGAAGAATGGGACTTTGCAGAGTTTGTTAGAGACAAAATGAAGCGGTGGGTGGGCAGAGAAGCAGCCGAGACGGATGAGGGATTCCAGGGTAGGCCTTCTATCAATGGTATCTCTCCTGGCCGAGGGAGGGTATGCCGGCAATGCTGACTGCTTGCAGAAGTCGACGATGCTGTCGCAGCGCTCGATGACCCTACAGGCGGACGTGGCGCAAATGGATCCATATCACGACAGTTGACCGAACAAGGTAAAGAAGACAAGATTCTCGAAAGTGCTGTATAAATATTGCACGATAACATAGTTGTGCTGTGATATCGGGCGCGCTGCCACAGTTGCACCTAACTCGCGACATGCTGTCCTTCGCTAATCCTTGATATATAACGCCTTCACCATTCCAAGATGGGTCTGTATTTTCCGAATAAAAATTCGCAATCACCATCGCAAGATATATGCAAGACATGCTTTGTCCCAAAAAAGAAGAAAAACTAAAGAAGGAGAGGATCTTGTCTCGACCCTCCATTCTGCGCAACCGGACCCTTTTCATCAGGCTCCGGGGTTTCTCTTACAACGGATCCGTCGTTGATTCCGTCAAGTTGCAACTGATTGGTCGACTGTGAGATTCGTTCTATTGAGTCAGATCCCTCTTCGTCTCTGCGTTCCAACGGATCATTCCCTTCGCCAGGAGCAGGAGCTGTTGAACGCTGGACCTTCTTTCTGGGATGGTCGTCTTCGTCCATCTGTGTTCTGAGCGCACTATCAACAGGACGTCCTTCGCGTTGACCATGTTTCGGATGTTCGCTGTTGAACGACGAACGCGAAATTTCTTCCAAGGACGGTGATGGGTGAAGCGTCTGTTTCGAGCGTGGATGATGCGATGAGAGTTTGCGCTGAGCAATCGAGGTTGCTTGTACATGCTGGCGATGGGTGGCGCTTACGACCTCGACCTCTTGGGAGTCGTCGATTTGAATTGGCGCATGGGGAACACTACCTTCCCGGCTGCGTGGAGTTGATCGCTCGCTTGTCGCATCACCATCGCGAACTCGCCAGGGCGACCTAGTGAACTGCCGCTTCGCAGTCGGCGATTCGACTTGATTCTTGTCGTCAACCTGTCTCCGACGTTTTTTTGGGCTCGATGTATCGAGTGCACCGCCAGTCTGATGCAGTACTTTGACTGGACGCGGTGATCCGTTTGAAGTAGTCTGACCATTGCGCATGGACCCATGCGATTTCGGGGTTCTGCTAGGAATACGCACTTCAGGGTGGCGCTTTGGTGTTTCTTCTGGACGTGAAGTGATCATAGTTGGCTTCGCAGGAGACGTGGAAATTGGCGGTGAGTCAGAAACCTTGCTGATAATTGTCTGTGGGGACTGTGGAGTGGAAGCCGTCCGCTTTGTGTCGAGGCTAAACGGTGACCCAAGTCTAGGTGGAAGACGGACGGGCGAGTGGACCTCTAACGATGCAGGCTGCACATTCCTGTTGTGAGGTGATTGTTCAAGCTTTGACTCTTCTTTCTGTGACTCTTCAGGGTTGGGTCGGCTCTGATCCCCCGATTCTTGTGTCGTCGGAGCCGGTGACTTTTTCGAAGTTGCAGAACCCTTCTTGGCTTTCTTCTGTGCTTTCCTATCTTCCTCCTGCTTTTTGTAACAATCAAATATAATTTGACGCATCTTATGCCGCATCTCGGACGGCTTAAGCTCTGGCCAATCTTCCCGAGCTGACATCGATCCCGTCAGCAGCTTGTTCTTGAAATCATCGGGATTTTGGAAGAATTTCTCAACATAGCCAAGGAGATAGACACCGCAGTCAGTCCAGTTGTCCTGCATTGGAATCTGCGTGTCCTTTGGATAATAGCCATTTTCCTTGATGACGGCTTTCATTCCACGCTTGTGATCACCCTCTGCTATTATCCAGTCTTTGAGGGCGCGGACTGCTCCGGATCTAGAATTTCCAGTGAGGGAGTCCAAGACTATGACGACAGGCTGATCGGGATCTCTTTTGGGTACGGATTTGCGTTTGACCTTGGCCTTTGTGGGTGGCGTCGCCAACTGTAGATGCGACAATATTCCTTGGTGAGCATCTTTTGCAACTGCATCGACTGGCCGTACAGTCGAAGGCCCAGCTCCTGGATTTTGACGTGCTAACCCTGCTTGGGTAACCTCGAATGTATCAGACGCTTCGATTCCAGTATCTTCGCGATCGACGAGGGATAGCACCGCCTCGTCAAAAAGGTTTGGCTCCTCGTCGCTCGGCTCAGCTTGCGTTTCCGGAATGACAACAGGTGGGTCCGGAGACAATGCTATTTTCTGAGTCGTAACCGCTTCAGGTTTGGTGGTTGAGGTTGAGACGTTCGATTCCTGTGGTTCATTTGCCTGAGATGCATCGAAATCTTGGACTATCGGCTTGCGCTCAATTTTCGACACGTTACAGATGATTGCCAGGTACCAATGTGATCTAACAATAATTAACACATATTACGGAACTCACCACATCCTGACTTACTGGTTTTCATTGATAGGCACAACAATGTAATCGTAGCTAAAGATATCGGTCTTAGACGTCCACCTTTCAACAGCCTTGTAATCAATCGATTTTCGACCCGAGTTCTCCGTCAGCTTGGTAAAAAAGTAGGTATTGAAGAAATAAACTTTATCAGCAGGGACGTTGAGCTGCTTGAAGAGGTAGCTAGGTGAGTTAGTAATATAGATATAGCAAAAGCTGGTCAATACCTACATCATGTAGAAGTCGATCAAACTGTCATTCATGTATTCCTCTTCGTCCAGACGGGGCAGATCATCGAAGTGTACTATCGCACGCTGGCGACCTTCACCAAATTCAAGAGATCTTTGAATTGATTAGTACAATGCTGTGCTGGCGGTTATAAGCTTACCTAGTCCACGGTTGCCCAAGTCCTGTCTCGACCGAATATTTGGGTACGTCCGAACGTGTAGGCACATCATCGACATAGTGAATAGGGGCTAATCTTCTTGCGCGTGATGTTCGAGTCGATCCCATCCTTGCGGTACTCACGTCGGACGTAGCACTAGCTGCAGTTCCGTCTGCAGCGCGCTTCAGTTGATCCAATAACGGTGTGTTTGACGTGTCATTGCCTTTTCGATTGAGCGTTTTCGATTGCTCCGTAGGGTCTTCTACCATCGCGGACGTGCCAATCTTGTCATTCTTCGGCTGCAGAGGTCTTTTGAATAGTTCGACCATATAATCACTGCGCCCTCGTCAACAAAGCTCCTGGGGCAGCCTGGAATGACTTACTCTGTCTTTACCAAGTACGTCCTAGTCAGTGTCATTGAACGTGCATAGTCATTAAGGAAGTGGGAAAAACCAGGAGTACTAGCAAACTCCAGGTCAAAGATGCCAGAGTTCCCGTCGTGTCTCCGAGGCCCCTGTAATCGGACGCGGCTGGTATCGTCTGCAAGCACCTTGTTGATGTCCTTGGATAGTATGATGATGTACGTTTCATAGCAGCCGTCGACCGGCTCCCATGTTTGCACACGTAGGCCTTCGTCCTTTTTGCTCTTCAAGACCAACGTAGCATGGCCGTCCTCAGATCTTGATCCCTTACCCTCAAAGTCGGACGACCTTGCAAACAGTAGTGGCCACGACTCTTCTATGACCTTTCCGCTAGCGTCTGTTTTGACTCTACTGTTTCCGGTTTGCTTTTGCTTTTGCTTGAAAGGCGATTTCGATCCTGGCTTTGGGGGAGTAATGGCAAGCTCATCTGCGCTATAGCTATCGGTAGCTGTTTTGGCTCGCTTTGGTGCCGATCTATGCTGTGTGCGAAGGTATGCGCTCTCGACGTTTGCAGGCTGCTGCTCCATCTGTTCTGACGTTGATTCATTGATACGAGCGTTAGGAAAGAAACGAGATGTGACTGGGCCAAGTTTATGCTCAGAGCTAGCACGTCTCGTGGGGCTTTGCTTCGTCTCGCCCTGTTGAAAATCTTGCAAGATAACCTGCCGATTAGCACGTGCGCCAGGGCTATTTGACAGAGCACCACCACCGAAAGGGGAGTGTCGCAAGTCACCTTTAGGTGCATTAGAACTCAAGTTCCTTGGCTTCCTCTGAGAAGATTTAAGAAAACTGTCGACTTCTCGGAATTCGCTTTTCGATTGGAGCGGCCTAAAGTCGCTGATAGTGCTTCCACTTCCAATGCTCATCCGTGGTTGCTCAGATCTGACTGGACGCATCTGGTCCTCTAACGTGCCCAAATTTGTGGTATGTACGGGATGAGATACCTCCAACACCTCATCGTCATCATCGTCATCTAGTGTTATGACATGGTTGATCTTTCGTCGTTTTCCCGGTGTAGCTCCACCCGATAGCGATTCATGGCCATCTCGTGAAGACAAGCGACGAGATGGTGTAGCCGATACTCTTTCTTCTCTATGCTGAAGGTACGCAAGCTGTCCTGCGCCATGCACCTGGCCTATCAATGGTGGAGGTGGGCGGTCTTTCTTTCCATATGTTGTTGGCTTTCGGCTCGGTACGTTGGGTCCAGTGTTCATAGTATCTAAAGGTCTAAAACCGCTATTTGAACCAGGCTAAAGAGCATCAGCATGGAATACCAAGGACGAGTTGCTAGTGATATACCTTTGAAGTCATGGTGCGTTTCGTCAGCGGCAAATATGACCTTGGATCCGGGAGATCGACCGCATCCGCTGGTTTGCTTCGCACAAGTCAGCCTCTTTTTCTGCTCCTCATATGTAAAGGAGAATTACGTGTAATCTCCGACTAAGCGCTTCTCGTCCTCGCTCTTTTCCGACTTCTGCAACCGCGAACGATGCTTCTCCAGATGTGACTCTTTGTGGGCGGGTCGACTCGGACGGTTCGTGGGCGAGGAGAGGTCTACGATAATGCGCGAGGTTTCTGGTGCGGGTGGTGAGTCCCTAGAGTAGGGATTTGGAGGCAAGTTAGTACCCGACGGCGATTCGGCGACGGCATCGTTTGTCTGTAGCGACATGGCGTTAGCTTGAGGCGCGGATGGTATAGATTGAAGGTAGATTGTAGCGGCTGGACTATCCGAGACCGCCGTACAGCCTGCAAAGAAAGGCGCGCGTACGTCTTCGTTCGTGCTTCCGAAAGAGCTTCCGGCAGCGGCTCGTATGCCGTTGAAGAAATTAGTGAACATTGGTGTAGCATCGCGGTGATAAGGCGACGAGGAGCAGCATCGTTTGGTGAGTCAAGCGGACTTGGAACTGTTCGAACGGGTTGCACAAGCGCAGACGCGCATCGTGGGGCATGCGGAGGTGAAGGCGCGCCAGAACGACTTGTCGGCGGTTGCGTCCGTGCGTTTTGCTCTGACGTTGACGTACAATTTTGCTGATTTATGCAAAATATTTACAGCGTGCTTAGATGTACGATATTTGAAACCCTGAAAGTATCTCGATACCAATCACAGCGAATTACTCTAGAGCGATCTTCTGTACGAAGTACATTTCAGAGAAGAAGAGACTCTTTGTTGTAGACGCTCCAGCGCGTTTCGCCGAAACGGCGTCACTTTGCAGATCAGATTTGAAGACGTTAGCCCATCATATGAGTAAGCTTAGAAGACCAACTTGTGGATTCCAATAGTTTGATCGTTGTCACCAAAATATGCGACAAGTTCTTCTCCAGTACCTCGATCTGTGGCTGGGCAAGCTCCAGGGCTTGATGCTACCCGAATTCCTACGCTTCGCTATGTAAAAGTACAAAGAACAGAGATAACGCTAAGACAATGTGCTGCGCCATACTTGTGGTTATAACCCAAGTAATGTACGTCGACACTTTCATGTTAATCAGTGTTCCAACAACGACGGCCCCGATTAGTCGCTGGACTATTGTGCGCTTCAGTCAGCAACAGAAGCGAGTAGTATCTCTTGTAGACGGTGCTCGATAGCAAGCACCCATCATCTTGGCGGTCGACTTTGCGAAGAAGCCGCCTCTGCGACACACACCCAGTACAGCTCGGATCGGCATTGTGTTCGGTTAGAGGCCAAGGATCGACTTGTTGGAATCGTACTCCGTTTGCGCTCTCCAGCTTATGTGGTCTGCGCCCATGATGACAGAGGCAGATAATGAACGACCGCAGAGTGTCCAGGGAATGAACGGTTGATCTTGCGACCAACAAGAGTTTGGCCTGCAGACCGTCGCTGAACTGAGCTTCCCCTAAGAGCCCCCTGTCGATTTCTCCCGTGACTCATCTGTAGAGACTACCCTCCGCTTTTCGTGCTGACTCTTCTCGTGGCGAGCCTGGTCGATGGCCGATCTCTGAGCGATACTATCGTCGTGACTCCGCCATACGATATTGGTTCCTTCTGGCAATTTGAGGACCCGCCTGATTGTGTCTCGTATCTTGACATTTTTTACGCCATCGCTCTTCGTCCAGATGCTGAAAACATCCTCGCCACTTCGAACGCTTAGAACAAAGCCGCAAAACTCCTCACTAGCATCCAGGAATTGATCGCCGACAAGTGCTAATAAAAGGTCCTCCCAGTAGCGGTCCGCTACGCCCTTTTTCAGACGCATAATCCATTTCCCACCCCGCTTGTTCTCGTCGTCCTCCCATACCGGCCGTATGCCTTGCTTGAACACGTGGTAATCTGAGACGGAGGGTAGACTCGAGGGACGCTTCAGGTGCGAGAAGACTTTCCAGAACTCTTGCGCTGTACTGAATTTACAGAGAGGCACGATTGACTTCTCGTAATCGACGTTCTTGGCCGTAGGTGGGCGGTACCATACTGCCCAAGTGTACTTGAGCGGCCATGGCGCATTGAAATCCGGCGGCGCAGATGGAGTCGATGTGTTTTCCGGTATTAAGGCCGTAGATATTGATTCCTTGCGTATGCTGTTGACCACCTTGCTCACAGGCTTTTCTTTTTTGTCCGAGGGTGTCGCGGGCGAAGGAGATGACATGGCGGCCGCTTTGAAGTCAAAAGCAGTGCCAGGCGTCTTGGGCGTCTTAGCAGCCGACCCAAAGGAAGCGAATGCGCCCGAGCCCAGCCCGAACGCAGAGGAGCCCCCGGTAGTGGGCGATGCTAAGCCACCGGGTGTCAAGGGCGATATGGCGTTGAAAGGGTTTCGACCACCGTGGGACGAATCGCCACCAAAGCGTTTAGTGGCAGAGACGGTACGTTGGTGCGGCTCGGACTTTTCGCTGCTGTTTTCGGAATGTGACATGGAGAGGGAGAGCTTGCTGGTGCTGTTGGTGGCTGTCAGTCGAGAGAGCAAGGATGCGGGGACGCAATAGCATACTTGGAGCGCCTAGTCCACAGATTCTCCCTGTTATCCATTGGCAGCAATAACAAATGAGTATATAATACAAGGCAAGAAAGTTAAGTATCCAAGGCTTGGTGGGAGTAATGAGCGAACAAGCAGCAGAGGAGCTGGCGGGCTAGCGAACAATGTGCGTCGAAAGATATGCGGGGTGTAGTTTGCGGTAATGGTTGTGTGTTGCAAGAGGGAGATCTGTCACGTGTTGTCGGTACGATACTGCGGGAAGATGTGGCGAAGGCGGAGTGTATGTGATTGTCGAGCGTGGTGGGATGGATCGTGTGCAATGGCGGATAGTGGTGCGTTCTGAGAAAACGTTTGAGAGGTTGGCACTTGCAGCTCAGGCGCGCGCCTTCCGCGGCAAGGATGTGGCTTAGTCATCTACCGAGCTCGATAATCTCTTCTTCGCCGGCGCGTCCGTCTTCTTCTTTTCTTCAACACCGGCCTTTGACTCGTATCATTTGCCAGCTCGACACATCCTACTCAGCTGGCAACTCGGATAACTGGCCCAGAACGAGCCATCCTCTTCTAAAACCATCATCACGAGGGCCGCTTCGGCGGCTTCCATGATGCGGTGATGACCTGAAAGCAGGGACATTATTTTGTCACGCGCCCGACGCGTTGAGGCTGCAAGCTGTCTCAGTCTCTTCTTGTATGTGCGCTGCTATGATTTTTTCTTTCGCACGTCGCGGCTTGGGATGACTAGGTCCTCTGGACCACTTCTGGTAGTCTGAGTCTCAGCCAGATGTACACTATCGCGACTTTGCGATTTCTTGGTTGAGCTTGAAGCTCTAAGGCAAAGTCTGAAGCCCACTATTGTGCCACGCGTTGATCAAGCATCTTTAAAAGCTCCGCTAATTGATGACCCAACAGCAGTAGGTCTTTGCAGGCGGTGAATTGGCCCCAGGTAATCGTTGCTAAGGTTGGGCACTGGCTTACACTATGGTCTCACCGTGTACCTCAGCACCTTGTATCTCGCGACTTCAGATGTTTTGTGGCACGAGTAGCGCCCTAGCGCATCGCGTCATGAAGAGGCCGTCTAACAATAGACAATGCTGGAGAGAGTCTTGGCCGAGATTGGCAGACCATCCATCCACCCATCGCGTAACAGACAGCTTTCGTAGACGCTAGGTGCCGAAGGAGCCGATTGATCTACTTGGGAGAGCAATGAACGCAATAGAGTCGTAAATGTACTTTGTAGATGGCGCATAGTAGCATGTTTGATGTTGTCTTCTCGTGTGCGTTGCTCCAAAAGCTTTGCACCTGGGTACATGCACAAACTATGATACGCCAACTTATTAAACCAACATCAAGGGTGTTAAGACAGCCGCGGCAGCCTCTCTTTAATGGGCGGGATTGTAGGCCGCATCTGCATGTGAATCAGAAGCGCGTGCGGGGTGCGAAAGGTACCTGCCGTCTACGTCATACTTCTGTCCGTTCACAGGACAACGCACCGCACCACGCGCATTGCTTTCCTAGCCGTCCTAAACTAACGCCGTCGCCTCACCTGTCGCCCACCACCGTACAAAGCTTGCTCGTCTCCCTCTCTGCCTTCCCACATACGAACACCCCAACCGCCTCATTACCCCTACAATACCACCAAGATGACTGCGCAATCACCTCAGCTGCATTCGCCGAGCTCGCATCCTGAGCGACCTAAGGGTGGGATCACACCATACCCCGCTATGTGGTGCACGCATAGCTAACAAAGCCAGGTATCCTCAAGAATTCCAACTCGTACCGCTCCGACTCACAAACCTCCCCCACGAGCGAGCTCCCACCAGCCGTAAGCCCAGTAGCCGAGCGGCCGCAGCTGGGTCGCGAAAAGTCAGAGAAGGACATCGTGCTGGAAAACACACTGCGCAATGCCGGCGCCCACCGGAGATCCTCATCAAACCCGCGCGGCATGGGTTCACGGCGCCAATCGGGCATTGACCCCGCGGATGAGAATAGTCCGCAGCTCAAGTGGGACGAGGCCAACCTTTACCTGAACGAGCAGAACCGCGATAGCACCATGAAGATCGATGAACCCAAGACACCATACGCCAAGCAGTACGACCCCACAGAGGACGAGGACGAGGTAGAGATGCTGAATGCCGAAGAGCTCAAGGTGGACGAGCTTGATAAGCCAAAACGAAAGCCTAAGATTGACGACATACCCGAGTTTGACTTAGGACAGCCAGAGCTGCAAGCGCGCCACTCTCAGACCCCGGAGAGCGAGAAGAGGGTTATGGTTGAAGAGGGTATGGACACAGATGAAGGCTACCATGGCGAGCTTCTCCCCAATGCCTCGCAGGAAGAGAGGGAGAAGCATCGCAAATTCGAGGAGCTACGTAAGAAGCACTACGAGATGAAGAACGTCAAGGATCTGCTCGGCCACCCAGAAGACGACGAGGACGAAGAGATGCCGACACGGTCCAATGGTCAATAGGTATACGTTACCTGCTCTGACCTTCCTCAGCTTGTTTCTACGTACAGTAGTGGTTGCTAAGGTTGTTTTAAGAAGGATGAACTAGTGCCGCCCAGCGGTCTTGCACGAATTGATTTTGGCGGCATCAAGGTGGAGTTATCGGATTTACGGCGCCATGGTAAAGGCCGCGGAGTACTGTAATGCTTCGATTCGTAGTATGTGCAATGAATGATGTTGTGATTTACTCGATGTGAAGAGATTTGAAGATTGCTTTGCATGATGAAACGCAAAAAGTGATGAACCATAAGATGCTATCAAAATTGATCAAGATCCTATTCCCTGAATTCCTTATCGACAGACTCAAAGTTTTCCAAGAAACTCTGGAAGGCAAATACACCAAGACCAGGATCCAGACTTCCTGTAGTTGCCCTGATGGAGTGCATACTTAACTGCGGGATTCCGCAGTCTACTGCCCTAATACCCGTCGCAGAGCTCAGCATCGGTCCTACTGTACCTCCACTCCTACTGTCATTCCGAATCTGGAAGACCTGGAGTTTAGGGTCGACTTTGCGAACGCCGATATCGCGGTCTACGCAGCGCTGCAAGATAGCAGTAGAGACGGCGTCAGTCGTCATGTGTGCATTTGAATCCGCAGAGATGGCGGGACCGACGTTGAGACGCGGAGAGTGGTTTTCAAGGTACGCGTTGAGGAAGTTGGGGTTCACAGCGTGGATGACGTCGCTCGAGACAAGGAAGGAGTTTGCATATGTCCTGCTCAATGCGCTGCTTGTCTTTCCGTTGGAAGCGAATTCTTCAACGATGCGCTCCATGACACTAGGGAGGAAGTTGCCGTGAGCACCTTGTCGGAGTAGCGAGCCGACTTCTTCGTCGTCGAAAACTGCGACCATGCGGATCTGGGATGAGGTTGAAAGAGATGCGCTGGAGTTGAGGAGAGCTTGGATTGCGGCCCAAGAGCAAAGCTTGTCGTCGATTCGGCCAGCAAAGATGAACTCGCGGTCAAGGCCACCGGTTTGTGCGGGTTGTGTGTCGAAAAGCTCGAGCTCCCAGTTGACAATAGATGAGTCTGTTACGCGTCAGTGTTGTCTTAGACGATTTGAAGGTAACAACACTTACAGTCAGTGATTCCGAGTTCGCTTGTGATGACCTTTACAAGCCTCTCAGGCTGAGTAGCAGTGAAGGCGCCCTCTCCGCCCAATACACCGGCTTTCGAGTCTCCCTCCTCGTTGTTTGATGAGCTACCGATATCGCTGTTATCCAAACCCATGATAGGTACCATTTGCGTTTCCTTGTTGAAGGGGCCATTTGCGGCAGCTGTAGAAGTGAAGATACGAAGTCAGTGTATGTCTCATGTGCATCTTGTACAATCACAACTTACCACCGAAGTGGGGAGCCAGCGTTGGGATTCTTGCGATCGGCCAGTCAAGCTTAACAAGCTTGGTGACAATCTTCCCATTCTCCTTGACGAGAACTCTTCCACCGATACCCAGATCGCGATCCCACCAGGTATCACTTAGCGCGCCAGCATAAGGCGCGACACCTAGCTGTACATATCCCGACTTGTTGCGAAGCTTGGAGATGGGCTTCAGCTTCGCTGTGAGGGCGTCTATATGTCCGGCCAGAATAGCAGCTCCATTGCCAGACGCGTACTTGTCTCCAATAGCAAATGCGATGAGTGAACTTCCGTTTCGCTCGACATAGTATTTGCCTCCCGCCTTCAGCTCCCATGAATCGCGCTCTGACAACTTCTTGTATCCGTCCTTCTCGAGGTCCTGAGCGACGGCATCGACGGCGTGGAAGATGGTGGGGTTGCGTGTCATGTAGTCGGTAAAGGGCTTCGTGTAGCGTGCTGGATCCTCCTTCGATCGAGCGGGAACGGGAATCCAGCAGTGCGAAGGTGTCGGCTTGGACATCTCAACCTTCGGTTCAGCTTGCTCAACTGGCACTTCTGGTATCTTAGGCGGTACCGGCGGCGGGTTCTGGTGTGTCGACGGCGCCGGGTAGTCTTGGTCGTCAACGTCAATGAGATCGGGGTAGGTTGCGGCGATGCTGTGACGGTTACGGTAGTCAGAAACAACCTGACTCCTCCATCCTCTTTCTGCAGCTCGGTCCAGCCGCTGTCGATGTGGCAACGATGCAGTCGTATGAGCGCGTCCAAGTATTGTCGAGGACGAATGTCGGAGTGGGCGGGGCGGTGACGGGTCCGCGTACAGGTCAGCGTTTGAAGCCGCCTTGCGAAGGCTAGGTGGGTTTCTCGTCATCTTTCTAGATTTGTGTAGTACGGATGAAGCTCAAGACGGGAGTGACAAAAGTATATAAGATGACGGTCGGGAGCGAGGCTGTGTTGTTGTGGTACAGGCAGCTGGCTGGAGCTACCAGCGCCACACATGAGGCGGAGCTATCCGAAAGTGGAAAGCCTCCGAGGCCTCTCGCCGCAGCTATCACACGCTACCAACCTAGGAACCAAATCGATAGTTCATCGTCACAAACATCACGTCACCAATATCTTACTGTGCGCTCTTATGAGAGTACCAGCACCATACTTCCCTGTTACATGAACATCAATCGTGCTTCTACTACTTAATTTGGTTGCGTTATCAGCGAAAATTAGCAGTATCGTACAACAACCCGGCGGATCTGGTTCATCCCAACTAACACTATTATAATCCCCGTACATAGTGCTACGCGTTGTCTTTCTTTGCTACGTCTATCACCGCTTCATCAGCAAACCGACTATCTGCCGCCTCCACGAGGCCATGGTCGCTCATACGTTCATCTATGGGTCTCTCAGGAACAAGAAACGTCGCTGCAAACGTCGATGGGATCGTGATGGCGAACATCACGAAAGCAACGATGAGATTTGCCATGGGCTCGATCTTAGCGGCCCCGATACCAAAAGCCAAGCAGGATCCAACCGACTCGAATGAGCGTAACAAGCCGACCGCAAGAGTTAGAGTTTCAATGTCGTCGAAGAAAGCTCCCAGAATCCAATAGACGAACATGTAATGGGACTCATTCATAAAGCTGTACATGATCAGCCTTCGTTATGTTTATGATGCATACGAACTTACCGAAAGAGTACATTGACAGCGAACCCACGTCCAAAGCCTGGGAGATCCCAGTCGAGTGTCACTTTTGAGCCGGCATACATTTTCTCATTGGCGACTTGCCAGCCAAATAGGCCCAGCATGAGCAATGAGAAGATGCCCCACGTAACCTTCGCGAGCGTCGGTCGGCTTACGAACTTGGTATCGTAGAACCAGCCCCAGAAGATGTTGGCGAATGTCGCTGCAACACCGGAAGTCAAGGATCCTAACGTCCTCGCACGGACTGAGAAGTACTTGGTAAGATAGATGCCTTGGTACGTGTTGTTCCAGTTGAATCCGATCATGACAGGTACAAGTAAGAAGAAACGCCTATCACGAAGTAATGCCCACCATCTTTGCACCTCTTTCAGAACAGCTTTGTTCTTCGTCGGGTCCGGGACTTTGCGACCGTCGCGATGATAAACTTTATGAGGTGGCGACACAAGGAGGGCTAGTGGAAGGCCGAGACATTGGAGTGCAATCAAGACAATGTAGGTCGTGTACCCTACTTTTCCACGCTGTCCACTCTTATAATTGAGAGAGAGCTGTATCGAGGAACCGATGAGCTGGCCGAGCTCTCGCAAGCCCAGCCAGATGCCGGTGAACTTCCCTCGGTTGTGTACGTCGGCGTAACCTAGCGCGATAGCGCCCTCCGAAGCCCAGAGTGCGGATGCTGCGATGCCGCATGTTGCACCACCAAGCAGCACGAACCATTCCACTCCGTAGCGGTTGTTCACTACAATGTCAGTATACTCCACATCTCCTTGAGGCCTCTCAATACGTACCGTATAGCGACGCAGAGTAGGGTGCGTACCCGAGAGTCCCCAGAAGAAGTATATTCTTCAAGCCGAACTTGTTGGCAAGTATGGCGAAGAGAGAGCAACCAAAGACCATTATCCCGAATGTCAGAGAATTGGCACCATTAACCAGATACGGCTCTTGCTGACCACCTGCACCAACGTCTGTAGCAATTAGACTTGGTCAAAATGTTAAGAGGGCGAACAAAAACATACTGTTGAGAGCGTTCCATATACCCGGTTGTGTAAAGCTGATCATACCCACAACGATGACATTGAATAACGGGCTTCTATACCATCGCGTGAACCTGGAGACTCGCTTAGGTGCATCTCGGTCCGCATGATAGATCTCCTGCTCAGTGGGTTCAGATGACATGTTGCAAACACGGCGACGTACCACGCCTATATCTGTATCTCACCACATGCTCGTCTTATATAGGTACTCTGCCTTTGGCATTCTACACTAATGCATGAATCGCCATTCATGCCTTCCCTGTCAGTAGACCCATGTTGCGTACAATGAAGTTATCAAAAGTGGGTAGGTGCCCCTCCGAAAGCGTTGAGAACGGTAAGGGACGTATGTCGTGATGCGATGCAGCGATGAGACCATTGGTGCCAAGTTAAGCGAACAGGCTTGGTGTGGTCTGTAAACCCCATTTCACCTACCATTTCCCGACGCTCGCAGGGCAGAATTTTTCTGGGCGTATTATACCCCATCAAAGGTCGACAAGCTTGAATGATGCAAGACGCTAGGAAGCAGAAATCTCGCATCTTGTTCAGAATGCCGAGAAAGTACCCGCAGTACTTTACTATTCTCGTAAAGGCGGTTTATCCTAATACTTGGGAAAAGCGCGCATGGCTACATCGGTTACATCTGAAGTACGAATACATTCAAAATCGAGTACGATCTATCGCTGGTTGTGTACAGACATCCAGAGCGCTCGTGACTCCAAGCTGGTTAACATACTGATACAGGTAACAGGTTCGCGTCAGATTGACTCGATGTTGTGCGGTAGGCACATGGTGGATGAGGAAATAGGCGAGAATTCTAGATTCTGAGATCTTCATGTTAGTCGTCACTTCTCTGCAGGTGTTGCTGCGCGCAAAAGACGAGAAGCGACAATCTTCCAATTGATCTTTACTCAACTTAACCAACCAGTACACATCACTTCATCAAACAAAAAGGGCCTGTAAAGCTACCAATGCAGTGTCTTGCATACTCTGTAGAGGTCAGCCTTACTAACAGATAGGCCTTCATACGATTGCACCTCATACATTACTATAACAGATGTACAGACAACTAATTGATTACGGCAGGATATTATATATCAAACTAAGGTTTTGTTCAACAACACTATTCACATAGGTATCTTGGATCGTCTCCCAAAATAAAAATTGGTCTGACATCTAACACTGAAGCGTCACCTTCTTCCACCAGGAGCAGTCCAAGTCTAGTGCTTGAATCCTATGCATCACTTTAGCCTCAAACTCTGTACGGATGATATGTATATCCAACTTACACAAATGTCTCAAAGGGCACTCCCCTTATCTTCTCAATCCCATCTTCATCAATTTCCCAAGGATCTGGCTGGAAACTTACATCTGCCCACGATAAGAAGAGCTCCCTCCAATAACATGCTTCTGCAGTAGGTGTGAGATATCTATCCCGAAACGTTGCTAGACTATTCTTTACAATAGTTTTCGCACGCTCTGGATTCTGCAAGAGCTCTTGTACTTTTGCTTCGAGGTCGGAGAAATCGCGCTCTACTTCTACAACGTTTTGGTTCGGTCCGGTGGGAATATAGAGGTGCGAATGAGGCTCAATCCATTCAGCTTTATGTGTTATCATGATCGACGCGCAGTTGAGAAGGTATTTCCCTCTGCCCGAGTAGCTGCGTCCTGCGATATTGTCGAGATATTTAGTTATGATCATGCTATGCAGCGAGAAAAGGTTGCCTTACCTTCAGTGTGCACAAGGAACTGGTAGTTGCAGTGGTCCACAATCGGCAACGCAGCACTTCCCGCTGTCACATCCGTCCTACTCTTCCAGATCACTTGATCTACATCTGCCCATGACTTCCCTCTTGTAACTCTCATTAACGCACCTCTTACTTCCTTGTTTGTCTTGACAGCTCCTCGCCAGAGTACCTTTGGTACTTTCTTCTCCCATTCTACCTCGCTGCTCTGCATATCACTGCGTATCTGCTGATATTCACCAACCAGATCGAGCGGCCATGACCAGTAGCCAAAGTCTGGCATCACCCACATCTCCTTGTCAAGAGAGACATGTCGTGAAAAGGCCCAAAGAGTATGGTGTGAGTGAGATTCGTCGGCTATGTCGTTTACGTGGAAGGAGAATTCTATCGGCGGAAGGGGAAAGGGTGAGGAAGTTAGGGCACGGTTGATTTGGTGCAAAGTAGCGAGAAGGCGGGGTCGTTGGTAGCCTTTTCCGTCAAATTTTGAGTCAATAATGTAGAGCTGAAGACACCATGATTAGCTTCCGTATCTTGGTCATGAACCAATAAAACGAGGAATAAAGTTCACCTTGTGGTTGTATATCATAACCCGCACTGCCCCAGATGCCTTCCAAGACAAATCAATATCCGCAGTGCTGACGTTTCCCAAGTCTCTTCGTACCGCAACCGAACGATCCAGTTCGTCAAAAAGACCAGGAAATTCGGTGCGGCATTCCGTGTGTGTGAGCCCATAGTTTGAACCTGGTGCTGACAACGGTGGGTATTGAGTCTTTGGGTTGCGGAGAGCTCCTGGTGCCGTTGACGTTACCGGGTTTGTGGCGCTAGGTAGGGGATTCTGGAGAGGCCTCGATGTTCGTGTGAGTGGATGGGAATCGCTGGCTTGAAGACGATAACGAAGAACGGCTTCTGTTGCGATTATCATAAGAAGGCAGAACACAACGAAAAACCAGAAGAGAAATTGGCGAAGACTGCATGTTCTCGTCATGGCGTATGATGTCAACTCTGAACCTTGGACAGGAAAAGGAATGTATCTTGCAGTTTTAGATGTGCGTAATGGCGGAAACCACAGCGAGTCCAAGTAAGAAACAAGACCCAAGGCATGAAAGCAGGGCTAAAACAATGCAAAGTTTGACGGTGGTATTTGAAGCGGTACTGCAAATGCAAAGAGAGCAAGATCAGGTGGTGCGACGGTAACCATTGAGGCGCAGTGCTGAGTGCTGTGTTTCCCTTTCACAAATAGTCCATCCAAGGTAATCAGCCAATCAGAGCTATGTGTGCACAGGGCGAAAGCTAATCCTTCCAGGCTGAGGACAGGTCCAGGTGTGGTCCCTAGCCGCATAGACACGGGGCGACACAGTTGTCTGAGAGTTTTAGGGGTATATACCCCAAGCGTATCGATACTGTAGTCGGGATTGCGGATCACTGGTGTGGATCTCGCACCTTCTTTTCGCAACCAGATATCATCAACCACGTCCTGTTACCGCTCATAGCGCAAACGAACAACGCGTATGTCTGCCCTCAGTATGCGCAGTCTCCGCGGCGCAGCAAAGGTCAAACTTCGGTCTACGAGAGCTTTGCAAGCGAAATACGCCCGTAGACCTGCGTACAAGACCCGCGTACAAGACCCGCGTAGTCGAAGATTTAGGCCTCCACAACAGCTGCCAGCAACGACCGCACGCGGTGTAAGCGGTAAGTCCATTGGGCAGGCACGCATACAAGCAGCTTACGACAAAGACGAGTGGAAAGGATAAATACAAAAGGTGTAAGCATTAGAAAGTAGAAAAGGAACAACGGAACTGAGCTAGCGCGGGTCGATCCCGAGGTCTTAGCCTCTCAGACAGCAACCTTAATTTGACGAGATGTTGCGGTCACGCGGGAATGCTTGAACGCACTACACTAGACGATCATGTTTCTTGTAGTCTCAGGAGCGAGTTAATCTGGGTCGCGCTCACAGGCGTGATTATTTTCATCCTTGTCAAGCAGCTTTGTCGCGTCATGAGGGCTTTCGTGGAGAGACAACTATGATGTCAGCCTCCTAAACTTCCCGGGAAAAGCGTACGTCGTTCTACCATCTATTAACTGAATATGTACGCCAAAATGACAAGTCGATGAGTGATGACTCACTCGATACATATAACTTGTTGTTCTACTGATTGGTATCCTCGTAGTGGTAGTTTTCTCGCGCGTTCTTCGCGTCTTGCTCCCGATTTCCGTTGACAGAGCACGTACAGTCATCTAGGCCAGCCCGTACACAGTCCAGACATGGTGTCTCGCACCAGGTTGCGCGCCTATCAACAAGTCGAAGATAGTTATGGTCTCAGCATTCCTTGGGTGCTCATTGAATTCTACCCTGCAGACTCTCCAACGGCCGATACAGAGCAACACAAGAAGCGTCGTGGATAACATCTACGCAAGCGCTCCATCTACCATTATGGATACGCAACCGGGATTTGAGGTGCCGCCCTTGAATCTTTCAAATCATTGTGGTACATCAAGACCGTCTTGACTGAGGGCCTCGCCACGACCCTTAATAACCTATTCGATTATTGAAGCAACTGGCGGTTGAAGCTAGCCAATGTATTCTACGTCTCGAAGATTATAACCGGTGCCGTTTCCAGTGCGCTGTTAATCGCAAGAGAGAGGAAGAGACGACGAAGAAAGCGCAGAGGTAGAGAAGAAGAATGATGACACGGATGGTGAGACTCAACTGTCAGAGTACCATGGTGGTGGTCATCTCACTTGGATGAATACAAGATGCTATGGCGGGGCTATAGATAATGGGTCATGGTACTCACGCACCAGCTCACGCATCTTCAATCACAGTTTCATCTCCTCCCATTCTCCACCTTGCGGGAAACCGAGGTGGAACCTTCCGCACTTGGCAAAACTCAATACTGCTTCTTCGGCCATGGTAAAATCTGTGACCTTGCCCCCAACCTCTTCGCTGGCATCCAAGAAATGTGCGTGGATCCTCGGTCCACTGATAGCTTTCATCCAAGCTGGTACCACGAATCCAAATATAGTGCCATCGATCGCACTCCTGCTGGGTCCATTTTCGAAATCTATCGAATCGAAACGACCAGCGATCTTGAAGGGCATGAGAGTATTGACACCCTTTGCGGGACCTACATCGTCAGACGAGACGAGGTCGTCGAAGCCTTCGAGTGATATAGACGGAATCTTTAGGCGAAAACTTGGTTGGTAAACTGTGACCAATGCAAGAGGAAGGCGTGCGTTCATGGGCGCCGAGTTTGCTTTGCCATCTTTGGTGAGCGCATATGCTTGTCGGTCTTTCAGAATCATGAGGCTTCCATCTTCATAGACACCAATGCCATCGGTGCCATGAGAAGTCAAGTCTGCGGTCCGTGGTTGGCCTTGATTGAAGCCAGCGTTGAGGGCTGAGTATGTGGAGAACTGGAAGATGTCGTTTGGTATGGAACCGACCATATTGGGAAGTGATGAGAAATCTGTGATCTGTGTTTAATCTGATATCGTCTCGAATGTGCTGGAGCTGGAGGTTGGGTTTAGGGTCCGGGGTTAGCGGAGAGCCGATCTCCGACTCGGCTATCAGCGTGTGGGCGTCATTCCTAGAGAATGTCTGGACACTCGTGGACGCCCTGTCCTATTGTATAGGTATGGCGGTTTAGACTTACCGCTTAGCCTATCCATAATAGAACCGCGCCATGGGAATTAGCTGTCAACCAACGCTAAGCGTCTAGCGTTCCCGTTGCGTGTTGCAATCTGAGGCACTCTTCTTAATCTACATGTAGTGCATTTTTCTCTTTGTAGCCTGACGAATTGTAGTTACAGGATTGATATGCGACCAAAAAGGCCTTCGGAGCCTAATTCGAAGCGGCTCCTTGGATGATTCATTGGAGTCGATGTTCATGGAAGATTGGAGGTGAAGGGAAGGCGGATCGGTTTGGCCAATAACACATGCGCTTATGTAAGTAAATCTAGCGCGAACCCTCGGAAGCTCAACTTCAGTATCCAAGCGGTATCTTTCCTAAGCAATTGCGCAGCCCGTCTGCACCAACACCTCGCCCGATATGCTCCCAGTCGCCCTTCGCGCCCTGCGCTCCCGCGGTGCAGCGGCTAGCTCCCGCTCCTTCGCCCGCTACACATCGACAGCAACGACCAGCAACCAGGTCCCCGCCAACGACCCCGTCAAGCGCGATGCAAAGCCGAATGTCTCCGAGACCAATGCGCTACCCACCTCTTCCGAGGGCTCTTTTGACAAAGTCCTGCAGGAGTCTCCGGAGGAGGCCGAGAAGATGAGGGTTACACAGGCGCCAAACTACAAGGGCATCTGGTCGCGGAGTCAGAATCCCAGGGAGGTCGCCATGAGCGGGCCTAGGTTCGAGCAGAGCATTATGGAGGACCAGGTATGTCCTGTCAATCCGCCCATTTGAACACGACCGGAGGATCGGCGTGGAGCAGTCAAGTCGACACACTGCAGCGAGAGAGCACCTACTGACACAGCTTGTTTAGCCTCGACCATATGCCGCCATCGAGCTCATCCACAAGCAGCCTGTTCGCTGGACCCACGACCGCACAGTGTCTTGCGACGGAGGTGGTGGACCTCTCGGACACCCAAGAATCTTCATCAACGTAGACAAGCCCCAGATCTGCTGGTGCACATACTGCGGACTGCCATTTGTAAGTTTCTTCTCCAACTATGTGTGCTTGAACTCTCAGTGCTCGCGTAGTCTACGAGTGGACAATTGCTGACATTTTTGCAGGCACATGAGAAACACCGACCGCTCCTTGAAGCCACTCCCGAGCACGAGCTATCATACCCGCTTGGGCCCAAAGGTGATGCTGCAGAAGTCAGCGAGACGCAACAGGTGACGGATGAGCCGCTCGCGCAGCGATAGAGTACTGTAATCATAAGAGCGCTCGGAGATGGTGTACATATACAGTGCAATGGAGAATTTTCAATCTGTCATCTATCGTGTTAGAACTGTGGTCTTGCCCAGTCGCTGGAACATCATGCGATATGGTGTTCGAGCTCATAGAGACTCGGGAGACCTTCTGCGCCTCGCTGCTTCAGCACGGGAAATGGGTGCAGGGCTCGATCCGATTGAATGAATTGAGTCGAGCAATCATACATTGCACATCATTGTCTGTCAATGCGAACCCCTTCAGACCCGAGCTAGGAACTCCACAAGAAGATTGACCAATGTTGATGATGCGCGTCCCTGGTGCCCAGTCCTCATCTAGCTTATTTAGTGTTGAATGTGTTAAATTGAGACAATGTTGTGACCACGTGAAAGGCAATCCTTATGATCTTCCTACTCTCCTTTGTTCCTTTGTTATGAGGTATTGTTGTATAATTGCTTGTCATAGTCAACACGGAATCGCCAACTAAGTTGAATTACTTGAGTTCGCTTGCTTGCTCTCACAGGTCTGCTAGGCAGTCTTCCGAGATTGTGCTGCGAAACGCAATGCGCAAAGCCGGAGAGTGCTGGTAGTCGATCTTCGCTGTACAAAAGACCTATGACATTACAGCATATCTCATTCGAGTCGGGAGGAACTATATTGGATTTTCCTTCGGTGAAGTGATTAGTCAGTGGCTTTCGGGACTCGAGAATATGAGTGACATCGTAAAGCGTAGCTTCATTTAAAGATGGCCTTCGCAGATCACTATAGTAGCGTCCGATGATTTTGACATCTAACACTGTATTTTGTTTCTTCTTCCGTTTCCTGTGCAGCCAACAATAACTTCCAGGACACACGCTGCAAGCTTGGAGAGCTTCAAAACAAGGCCCCAGTTTTGACTTGCGCGTAGCTATGCACGTCAACTCATATTTGCATACATCGAGCACGTGCTCAGTCCTGCTATCATTACAGCAAGAAATACATGAACCGCTCCTCAGAGGTAATTGAGTCCTAATGTAATAGTGACTGAGAAGAACAGGGGAAGTTGAAGCAGGCCGAGGGATTTCGATGATGGCTGGTCCAGCTCTTTCTATTGACAGGCCCACATTGCCGTAGCCCTAAACATCAATGCCACTTCTGATCCTGAGGAAGAGCACATTGTTCGCAAGAAATATTAGTGAAAGTAAAGAACGCACATGCCATGTAGCTTGCCATGTACTAACCCCACCAAGACATATCACCCTCTGACGTCACAGCACCCCACATAATCCGGCGACAATCGACTCTCTAAACCTTAGTTCAATTCAATGCCGCAGCCACACTCGACAACCTCGCATCTGACAACGTTTTTGATCGTATTCATCTTCGTAATCGCCCTATTCCCAGGACTCTTTGTCGGTATATTCTGGGCGCCCTACAACAGTCTCGCAAACTACCTTGTACCGACGCCACAACCGCGCAAAAGCATAGTCTGCACAAGTCCGAATATCTGTGCTTCACCACCAATCATGTCTTGGTATTTTTATATTCCCCTATCGTTCCCCAGACGTGATTCCGTTGCTAAAACCTCCCAGGTCACAGAAATCTCTCACCCTTCCCAGCCGATCGCGCGGCTCTTATCTCATAACCGACCACATCCTGAAAGAAGTCCCCGAGATTAAGAACTACAAGACCGGCCTACTCAACCTCTTCGTTCAACACACTTCCTGCGCGCTATCTCTGAATGAGAACTACGATTCGGATGTGCGCGCGGATATGAGCACGGCGTTGGATCGCATTGTGCCAGAAGACAAGAAGGGACAGGGACTGTACCTACATGATGCAGAGGGTAGTGACGATATGCCTGCGCATGTGAAGTCTGCATTGATTGGCGCGAGCGTTACAATTCCTATCACAAATGGAAGATTGAATACCGGCACATGGCAAGGCATCTGGTACCTCGAGTTCAGGGACTCGAAGCACACACGGAAGGTTGTTGCGACGATTCAGGGTGAAAAGATGTGAGCTGGAGAGTTTGGAAATCAGGAAATCTGCGAGTGATGTTGAGTCTATGCAGAACCACGGATGTCTGCATTATGCATCACGGCGTGTTAAATGTATAACCAAGAGGCTATAACATTCGAGTAGGGGTGTAGAAGTGCTGCCCCAAGAGATTAAGCAAGATACTTTGATACCGTGGTTTATCGTCCAATAGCAGCTAAATTGCCGCCTCTGCAAGTCGCCAAGGAAACACCTGTAATAACGCCTGTTCTGCATGATCCTAGTCCCTACGTCGTAATGGACTGTTCATCCTTGAGTCGTCGGCCTGTATATACATGAACAAGATCATGAAAACAGTAGATCCTGTTGTCCCAGTTTCTCCCCGCTGTGATCGCTACCGTATCTCATTTCATTCTGTGTCGTCTCTGTTGTCAATCCTCCAGTGCTGTTGTTGAGAGCGTCGCTAGCTGGCCATTGACTTTTCAATCACGCGCGATGAAATACAAGGAAGCCGATATCAGCATCCATCATCCACCGACCGGGATGGCACTCGTTCTCGATCTGGTAGTAGGACCTGAGATGCCACTCTCCGTTGACTTCGCGACACCAGAAGGGATCGTCGTCGCGTGCATCGGCTGGCCTGATCTTGCGCGGATCGTACGAGCCACGCTCAGTCGCAATCCTCCGACTCTCCATTTGGATGTCCTCGCGTGTGGGGCCTTGCTGCGCGTGACTGTGGACGTATGCTGGTCTCGTCTCCCTGACCGTTTGTGTGACGGGTGTTGAATAGTTTTGAGCCTGGCTATTCGTCACGTGGTAGGTAGTGGTAGTGGTAGTGGTAGTCGGTCCGGGTGGGTAGACGTGCGCTGTGTAGCCATAAGTGGGTACTGTATTGTAGTAGGTCCTCTGGTAGGGGCAATAGAAGTTAGCAAGTGGGTACAGCGAACCATACAAGTTGTAGTTGTAGTAGCCATAGACACCTCCGTAGGAAGGATAGGAGTAATTCGGGGGATAGTAGTTGGTGGCGTAAGTTTGAGGGTACAGGGGACGGGCGTTGTATACCGCAGGTTGGTAAGCACCTACCCCATATCCTACACCCATACCAACGCCAACGCCTCCAAACCCACCGTAGCCAAAGCCGCCTCCAACGACGCCGGTGGGTGTGGCGCCATTGGCGGCCTGGCCGGCATAGGTGAGGAGGCCACGTTGTCCGTATCGGGGATTATAGATGTACTGGTGGCGGGGCTTTGGGTATGCTTCCATTATGATGATTGATAGCCAGTCTTTGCGAATATCTGGTGGTGATTGCAATATTGCAAGTTTGATGGGTAGGTGTGAATGCCAGAATGGGGTACTGCGAGAGAAGAGACAAGGTAAAGGTCGAAGTCAGACACAACAAGATCGAGCACAAGAAGTGGTTGCGGCAATTGAGACTGAAGCCAAGTCACGACTTAGGGTGTCATGCGAGCCAATGATAGCGGGGTAAGGCAGCGGTGTGGTAAAGGGAAGGCGCAAGGCAGCGCGATCGGAGCAAAGAGAAAAGGTGAACAACTTACTATCGCTGAATTGACCGCCAAAACATCGCGGGTCCCGACATGATATCCAGTACCATTTGCATACCCAGACGAGTAGCCAGGGTAGCCACCTCCAGCAAGACCTCGAGGGACCATGGTTTGAGAGTACCGGCCTGGAACGCTGCGTGAATATCCCCCAGGCACGACACCCAGCGGATATCCGCCGCCAGACTGCGAGTACGAATTCGGACGAATGACCGCGTTACTTATGTGGCGGCCTCTAGGAGGGCCAACATAGTATCGCGAAGGATAGTATGAGCCGCCGAGACCATACTTGCGGCGTCGGGACATACCAAAGCGTGGGTGATAGTCTTCTGCGTAATAGCGTTGGCCATTGCGGACCTCGAACCTGGACTCGTAGCTGTAATCGTCATCGCTGAAACACATGTTGCTAGTTGGTGTATTGGGCTGGAAAGAGACTAGAGACGAGGAGAGCAAACAACCGCAAAGCCGACAGTGGGTGGAACAAACGGAGACACATGGTGTGGGCTAGGATTTGAGGGAAAGAGAGACTTCACCGCAAGTTGGACGAATGGCCGTGACTTTGAAATTCAACTAGAGAGTTGAGAAATGCTTACCACTTATTTGAATTTGGCAAGCTAATCGGAATGTACATAGACATGTACAATACAAACCTCTAAGGCCTGCTAAAGGTCTGATGGCAAGTAAAAGGCCGTTAAAGGTCACGTACTCTTTCCACTACTAGTCTTGGGTGCAGCGCCTCCCTTGACAGCTTCAGTGCTCTTTCCCTTCTTCCTGAACATGCCGCGAAACGCCTTCAGAAATGGGGAAACTGTCCATCTTGCAAAGGTCGGTGTAGCCCAAACGCTGAACACAATCCTTGGAATCAAGAACATCTTGACAATGGTGTAAGCAGTCGCGAACTCGACCACGAGCCTGACACCACCTTCACTGATGTTCCAAGCCTGATCCACTTTCCTCAATCTCTTTGTCTCGCTGCCAATCCCGTCATCGTCTGATGCCGACAGCAAACCGCTACCCTTCATCCATTTCCGCTGCTTGTCATCTTTCTGGATCTCGTCGACTTCACGTTCAGCCTCCAGGGCTTCGTCACTACGTATCCAGCCCTTGCGCTTGAAGTAGCGACCAAACCGCTCAACTCCCGAAGCAATCCAAGCCCCTTCGGCGAACCACGGCGGTAGCCAGTGCGTGTAATGAAAATAGCCCGCGAGCCCGAACAAGGGAATTATGGCCGTGAGTTCGTGGAGGATGAGAAATGACGTTATGTGGGTGACTGGCGCGTTGCCGAGCGCATTGGTGTACTTGTGCAGGAATCTTGGTAGGCGGCGATTGAAGCGCTCGATGCGCGACTGGGAGGAGGATGGGGGCGCGATGGGCTCTGTTGCATAGCGGCGCTGGTGTGATCTGCGCAGTAACTGTGGCAGGCGTGCAGTCGCCCGTGGAATTGTTCGTCGTAGCATGTTGCTCGTAGTCCTTCCTCCTCTTCCGCTCAACCTCCAATCCCAGGTGGCTCTCTATGCTGTGTGCTGTGTGGTGACTCCATGTTGGGGCAGCTGTCGGTACCTGCGTCAAGTATGACGAAGTTGCCGGGACGTTGACGGGCCGCCCCACCTCGATCGCGTCTACGGCTCAACCATAATCATCTATACTCCTATACATATGGACCAGTCTGCTTCACTTCAGATACGCGATCGACGATGGCAGTAGTTGGACGATTCCTTGACTCGTGTTCCATCTTTGTTAGAGCCCCCATTGTCGCGACTCTCATCGCGCCCTGAACATCAACACCTAATCAGACGCCTTACGCGACCACTGCGCCGTAAACACGCATAGCCAAACATTGAACATGTATCATAATTATCAAGCTGTGAACTTCAGCATAATTCATCCTCTTGCTTATCTTCTTTCATCTTAAGCAAAGTCACCTTCGTCTCTTCAGGAAAAGTCGTCTTGAACGCGTCAGGACCGAGTTCGCAAAACAGGCATGTTGTTGTTTTACGAAGATGAACCTGGGTCGACCGAGACTTCACAAGCATCCTTCGAATGGAGCGACTTTAACCTGATACCGAGTATCGATCCGCTCCTGCAGTACGGTTCTCACGCGTTCATACCATATCCATCCGCCATCGCGCGGGACAAAGTGCCTTCCAATAGCTGCGCTCCCCCTACAGCTGGCCATGCATCAACACCACATCTGGCAATCAACCATCCATCTTCATGGACATACTGTGGTCCTCTACTCCAGCCAGACGAAGCAACCCTCCCACCGTCCTTTCACGCCTGGGCAGATCTGACATTCTCTTCCCCTTCCACCATTATCTCCCACCTCCTTCCTCTTCTCTCCTGGCTACAAGCTTTCCTTATAGAGGCAAAAGTTCACGACTATTGGCTTACAATCCGCTGTACCGCGCCAACCCACGAATACGACAAGCCCTGTTGGCACACAGACGAGAACTTCTTCGTCTATGATTCGGAAGCACCTGGTTTGGGATTTTCACCCACTAGCAAAGAGAGGTGCTGGAAACTATGTACTACACTTCTTGGTCCAGGAACCTTATTCCTAAAGGACAACGAGACAGCACTGCGAGTAATGCGAGAGACGAAGAAGAATGAGAAGGAAAAGATAGGTCTTCATGCGTGTACATCCATACGCTGTATAGGTTGTTCAACGTATACAGAAATTGTGCGTGATTCGCTTGTAGGCTCTCTGCAGGATATGGAGGTTGAGTCTCCAGCAGTGGGAGAGGTAGCATATTTCCGGGTAGGCGGCGAAGAAGGTGCAGTGCACTCGGAACCGCGTTGTGATACTGATCGCATATTTATCAATATAATCCCAGGAACGGAAGACGACTTGCGGAGGTTGATGCAAAGGTTCGGTATGGAATACCCACGTGCATGGTGTTTTGGTATGCCAGTTGGTTTTGTGAAGAGTGACGAGGCATGCGCCTTCAATAGCGCAAGAAATTGAGTATCTGTATATTACAAAGCATAGAGTAAAACCAAATGACAAAGCGAAGGCAGCCGACTAAACGTGTTCAATACGTGTGACTCATGCATTGGTCAAGAGAATTACAACTACGCTAACACTGGAATGAAGCTGTAATCTCTCTCTTTTTTGTTTGTGTACACCCGCGTATTGCGATTCGGAGGTCTTTGCACATCTATCTCCTTTACAGCGACGCAGCCAAATCATCGGCTTGATGTCTCTCACAACTTCTCAGCAACCTCGACGAATTCCTCAAGGTTGCGTACCGGTCGCACACCGGAGCTGACTTGCATGCTTGCCTTCCACGCATGTACGTCTTCAATGAGAACAGGATGCGATGCATCCACTATGCTCTTAACATCCGCCGACGCATCGAGGGCCTGTGGAGCCGCAGGGAGACCGGAGTCCGCGACACCCAGTGCAGCCTTGGCTTCATCAAGGACCTTGTTAGCGACCTCCTTGTCCACCTTGAGGTCATCAGTAAGATGTGTGGCAACGGCATCTGGGATAGCATCCTTAGACGATACGTCTTTTATACGGGCCTGGAAAGCCTCGTCCTTAGCTGTGATCTTGTGTTCGGCAAGGATGATTTTGAGTGCAGCTGCAGCTGCAGTCTTCCTCTCATCGAGCGAAGGCTCCTTTGCTTTAGCCTGTGCTTGGAGGTGCACAGATAGCTTGGAGCGCTGAGAGGATGATGTCGAGATGTAGTGGTTGTAGAAGTCGACCATATCCTTCTTTGTGAGCTTCTCAAGAGTCGCAGCATCAACATCGGCTGTAAATTCGTTAATACTATACTAATGTCGGAGGGTTACGGTAGGCATACCTTGCAGGAAATCATAGGAATCACTATAAATATGATTCCAAAACCTGTTGTCTTCAGATGACAAATTCTTCAGTTTTGCCAGCCTCTTGTTGATCATCGCGCGTTTGTGACTTTCAAAGTCCTCGTCACTCATATCATTCAAAGTCTGCTCGAAAGTGTTTAGGAAGTTCTCGATGCGACCCTCAAGGTACCGACAATCTTTTTCACTCTGTATAAGGATACGATATCCTGACCAAATGTCGTGGAAGCTAGGGCCAGAAAACACGACGTAGCCAAGTTGCTCGATGGTACGAAGCTGATTGAAACAAGGCTCATCTGTCATCTGTCCAAGAAGTAGCAGTTTGGCGCGCATGACGCTGTCGTATCGATGGCCGGCATACAGACTGTACTCGATGCAGTGGTTGACGTTCTCAGGGTCCTTTAGTTGCTTCTCATAGATGAAGTTACTGCCGGACGGCCAGATGAGACCCCGACGCGTCGGTACTTGATTCGCTGGTAGCCTCCTGGGTTTGATGGTACGCTCTACGAGATCAGTGATCTTCAAAGCCTCCTCCTTGTAGAGATTACCGTGTGCCAAGACCTCAATCTGACACTGCGCTAGAATCTGTGGGAAAAATTGCTGGACATCTTGCGCCGTCACGTTCTCAAGTTCTGGGAGCAGTTCGTCATTCATTACACTCTTCTCACTCTTGAACTGTCGAGAGTAGGTACCGACTTGATGGAAAGGCTGTCCGTACTCCCAGTTGCGTAGAGAACGCAACATCCGGTCGTGAATAATCTTGAAACGATCTTCCGACACCTCAAGATCTCGTACTTGAAGTAAGACCTTCTCCAGTAATACATGGAGCTTGTCGTTGTAACCGCTTACAGTAATCGAAAGACCACTGATGTGGTTGGTAAAGTCGTAGACCAACCCAGAAAGGTCGGCGTCGTATGAATACTCTACCAGAGCGTCGTTCACAAGTTCGCGATACAGCGTGCATAGCAGTGTAATACGGGCTGTGACGTTGGTGATAGGCGTTCTGAAGTAAATGTGCACGTTGGCCTTGGGTACCCAGAACTGATCGTCCTTCTTCCACCAGATACGCACGTTGTCGTCATGGCGTATAAGCTTGGGCTTCTTGGTCGGCTGTTCAACATCCTTCTTCTCCACTTCCAGTCGGGTTGGAATAAACTCATTCCTATGTGGGAAATGCAACTCTGCCGGTCGGCTCTTGCTTTCGAATGCTTGTTTGATCTCGGCAAGGAAATCCTCTGGTATCTTCTCGACTTTGTGTTCTGTGCCATACCATTTCTCTTTTTGGTCCCAACCGCCTGGGAAATCTTGACTGATAATCGTCATCCTGAAGTTGTCCGGCCGGAGGTAAGACATAGCTTCGCTAATCAGCTCGGAATCAAACTTCTTGATAATTGCTGGTCCGCTTAGCAACATCTTGCGGTCGTACGGCCTCTGCATGATGCCTGCTAGACCACTTGCAGTCCTGCTTGGCGGACTCTTTTGCTTGAATCGGAACTCTACTTCACTAATCCGCATTTGCTCTTCAACTACCCACTCTTGAGGCGGCTGATCGCGCATCAGTCCGATATACTGGAAGACAAGTTTCGCAACCTCCTTGTAGTTTTTGAGGCCCTCTTCGGTCAACTTAATATTGACGGTAAACAATCCAGAGCCTGGACATAGAGTAGATCCTCCTGCCCCAAGCCCGTTCGCCCATCCTTTTGCCTTGATGAGTGCAAGAATACTGCCAGGGCCCTCATGACCGAGCAAGTGACTTAGGTATCTTGAAGGATGTGACTCGTAAAACCTCTCTTCATCACGATACGCAAATTGTAGCTCTAATGACCGGGACTCCAAAACCGGTCTGGCGAAGGTCTGTGTTAACAGTTCGTTCTCGGTATAGACAGGCATATCCCAACGATTCTGGCCAAGATCTTTGTTTGGCACTTTGGCGAAGATCTCTTCTACCCATGCCTCCAGTGTATCTAAACTCTCCCGACCTAGGACAACCAACTTCATACGGTTCGCCGAGTAATGCGTTGAATGGAACTTGATGAACTCATCGCGGATCTTTACTCCGCGTGCTATTGGTTCGTCGTGTAGAGTCTTGTAGCTTCCCGTGGAAAAGTGGTTGTAGGGATGTTCTGGATTTGCCAAGGCTTTGTTGAGCTGGTGCATCCTCCAGGTGTCGTTTTGAAGGTTCTTCTTGTTCTCTGAATCCACCGCTTTGAGCTCGCGGTCGACTGTGTCCTCCAAGAACAGGGGACTGATGAAGAATTGGCCAAAGCGATCCAGCCCTCCCCATAGCGGCGATTCGTCTTTGGACTCTGCCAGGTTTGTTTGTGATACATCTGGTGAGGCGGCTTGGCTGCTCGTAGGCGTAGAGGAAGGATATGAAAGTTCGAAGTAGTAGTTGGTCGACGTAGAGGCCGTGAAGGCATTCGAGTATCCGCCGTGGCGCGTCAGATACTGGTTGTAGGCGTTTTCCTCCGGGTACTTCTCAGTGCCCATGAATAGCAGGTGCTCTACCGCGTGCGCGATGCCTGGCATGTCCGGCGCATCGCTGAAGCTGCCCACGTTGACGTCCAGTGCCGCGCTAGCCTTGTCTGTCCCCGCCTCGTGTATCAAAAGAACCTCTAGTTGATTCGGTAGGGTGATGATTCGGTACGAGCGATCATCGAGTTGTGGCCTCTCCAGGTCTTCTATACGCTGCCGTCCTCCGACTTCTCTTCCCAACGCTTCCGTCATCTTGGCTGATTGGCTGTTGTTCCTTGGCGACGTTGCGAGGCTACGCTGTGTGGTAGCTGGCGGGACGATTGTAGCAGCCTGGCGACTACGAGGTTTATGTATGCGGCGTGGACCGTGGCGACGAGTGGCAAGCGAAGTAGAGGCTGAGCAATGTGATGACGAGACTGTGTACTGTGCAATCGACCAGGCAACCGGGAACCTGGGAACAAGTGTTCGGTGTCGTGGTACGAGCGACAGATTTCCCAGAGACTGTCGTGCGCCTAGCGATGGGAGCATCCACAAGACTTGCGGTGGAGGCCGGGAGTGGTTGGACAGAGCTTCCGGGGACCACACTTCTACCAGTGACTGCTGCCTGGTGCTATTCGATTGCGTGCTCCCGCGGGGATTTCAAGGGCGGTGAGACAGACTGGGATACTGCAGCGGGGAGGAGGGAGTTGCTGACTGAGGCTCTAAACACTAAACAATGGACAGACAGCGAATGCGGCGGACCCCCGGTGCTGTGGTAGCGATCAACGTCAGATACGGTGGGCCCTGCATTGTCGATAAGACGGCCGATCCGATCACCGCTAACTTGCTGCCAATTACCCGTCCACCGTTTCCCCTCGTCTACGTGACAACATGGTACCCAAAGCATTTCAAGCAGGTTACGCGAACACTACGGGCTTCAGAAAGGTTGTAAAGGCAACTATATACATCAAGAAGAAGGATGGCATGTCAGATGATGACTTCATCGAGTATTACAACAACAACCATGCTCAGCGAGCAGTTCCCATTCTTCAGCGCCATGGCATACTCAGCTACAGCCTTGTATAGCCACGAACAAAGCCAATTTCTTGTACCGAAGCTGAGACCGCCACAGACATATCATCTAGAGCGAGATCGCAAAGCTATACAAGACATCATGCACGGCAAAGCCAGACTTATGGATTATGACGCCATCTGCACCTTTGTCTTTCCCGACTATCTGGCCCTGGCCAAGTTCATGTACGATAAAGATGGAGCCGCGCTCAACAGCGACCATGAAAACTTCATGGACGACAGTCAAATGAAGATGATGGTCGGAGACGAGTACATGCTGATCGAAAATGGGGATAAAGTCGGATGACCGAATTGCAATCGAAGACGCAGTCTCCATGGGGTATCATTGAACCGTACCAAGTGTACAAATGCATCGCCAAGATGTCACCGCGTCTACCTCCGGCCCTTGCCTCTGCCTCTGCCTGCAAATCCACGTGGTGCCGACGAGCAGTTGGCTGCGATATGTCCTTTCTGTCCGCATTTGTAGCATTCCATGTCGGCCATGCCACTGAAGTCCCCTCTACCTGCGCCTCCTGAGCGTCGACCGCCTGATATCGATGTCAAGCCCTGCAGGTTTCCATCGTTGTTCTGTCGCTTCGGTGTTGTCAGGGCTGATTCGTCGCCTGTACTTGGGCGCATTTTCTTTGATTCGCGCCTCTCTGACGCCATCTCGCGCTTCGTCTGTCGGATAAGATCTGCCGCAGGATCTTCTGAATCATAGTCGTCCTCGGATTCCTCGGATTCTGAATTTGAGTTTTCAGTCTTAACCAAGGGTACGGAATTCTGAAGCACGTCAGCTCGATCGTTCCACCAGGTCTTTTTATACGCACATCTGCCTTCTTCTTAACTCCACCACCGAATTGCATTCTTATGGGCCTGATCTCCTCTTCCTCGTCTTCCTCATCGTCCTCCGCATCCAGCTCAGCAAATCCCGCTTGCCTAACGTTCATCGCATCTTGCCTCTTCCCTTCGAGAGGATCCTTGAAGCTCAATACCCACTTCGTCTCGCCTGCGTGCTGTGCGGCCTTGTCTAGTGCAGCCTGGCGCTTCGCTTCCTCTGCGTCCAACCCCGATTGTATGATCTCCCGGTCCGAAGTTCCTACTGCAGAACCATTCGAGAGGCGCGCTTTCTTGGCGGGCGGCCCGTCAGGCGTCGAAGGTGAAGACTTTGCGGCAGCACGCTGCATGAACTACTTGCGTTTTAGCAGATTCGTCGGATGGTACGGTAGCCTTACATACCTTCATTCCCATCAGTCCCTTGGACATGGTTTTGGGTGTGTTTCCAGACATTTTGTAGTTGGTCACAAGTCTCAACGTTGCCTGGTAGGGTTGATTAGAATTTGGTGTTGCTGTCTTCGTTGCGCGTTCGCGCAGTCGCGTTCAGCGAACTTTTGGCGCACAGACCGTGTCTCTTTCGCTATCGATAACAATGCCGATGCCGATATGACGGCATGTAGCCCTGCTGCCTTCCTCTCAACCCCCC